TACAGCTGTCTGTCTCTGTGCTTGTTAGCTTGAATCGTGACCTTTCAGACCCGTAGTCTGTAATTATGGTTCGGCTCTGTTTCAGATCATCCACAGTTGTTACGGTTAGAGAAGTGAATCAGCGGACTTCGGACTGAGCAGGTTCAGTCCTGTTCAGAGTTCATCAACCTTTTAAATCTGATAGTTTGAAGGAGTACAAGTACCTGACCAAACTAGGAGACATATATCCTTCCTCTGTTGATTTGTTTGCCTCTCCCTCTGTCATTTTTTGTATCTGTAAGCACTGTCAAAGATTCAAACCCTGTGCGTTTTTGGTAGGCAGAGCCAACCTAGCATGGAGGAAACCAGTAGCAAAGGCTAAACAGTATGAACATGTCTAAGGCTTCCAGGCTTACATTTAGAGGGGAGGTGGTACCATCACTTATATACTCTATAACTTAACAACCATCAAGCCAAATGTACCTCATGGTGAATTAATCTCATGTATTTGTAAAAAGAAAAAAAAAGAAAGGGAGAGAACAAAGATGGAATAACGAGTGCAGTCAAGACCTGCCTTTTCCTGTAAGGTGTGCTATTATAACATTTCCTAAGATATAGCGCCTCATAAATAAAACCAATCAACGGCTGTGTTCCTGTCCCACAAATCTTCACAGCTGACATGAAAGTCGACTCATCAAGATTTAAATACAGATACAAAAGCTTATCTTTGATCCACTGTCAGGTCTTCTGGAAGAGGAGGAGGAAAAAACCTCACTCAGCACGCCTGATTTAAGACACAGCAGGAATTTTAATTTACTATCTGCATTCCCAGAGAGAGGGCCTGCTCAGTGACAGGGCTGTATACGATTGTTAATGATGATAACAGTGTTAAGGAGACTCATCTGTCTCTGTTAATGAGCAAATGAGTGAGGTTATGAGTTAATTCCTGTAAACTGAGATAATTAGGGTGAGGGGAGATGTCAGAACACGGATTGGCAACAGAAAAAAAGGAAAGAACATCATTTCATGTCAGTTGTCAAGTGAACAGAGGTAAAAAGGAGAAGTTTACAAAGACAGAGAAATGTCTCTTTTAATCCATAATTGAGTTTTGAGAGTCAGAATTTCCTACAATCAATAAATTAAATAGAGTTTTTGAACTGATGACAGAGGGACCAGAATGAGCTCTCACAAACCAGCAGACATTAAAACACAGTCATTTCACTTACAGGCTTTTCATAAGAGACACACGCACTGATTCAATTAAAGGGAGAACTTCAAAGTCAAAGGAAAAATAAAAAAAATGCACATCAAGTAAAATTTAACCAGAGTGAGAGCAAAGATAACACCTGCATTTCCGCTACAGGGCCGGTCTGAGGTCTACAGAGTGAGCTTATAATCGTTATCATAACGCCGACAGTAGGTTAAGTGGGGGTTCTGGGCCTGTTATTTTTTTAGGGTGAGCGCACTGTATATGGCTTTGTCTCATTCTAGTTAAGATGCTCTGCTTCAAGCAGATTGGAGAGCCACCTAAAACCTCCTCACAGCAATCATCTGAAGGCTGAGGAGAACCTGCTGATAGCTACAATAGGAAACCCCAGGATACCCATCTGTAAGACCCTGCTTAGTACTATGACGGAGAGTCTGTGGAGACCCTGCCTAAAGTCCTTAAAGGGATAGTACGGGTTTTTCAAAGTGGGGTTTTGTGAGGTTCTTGTCATTACTGTATTATCTATAAGGTGTTCTGGTCAGCGTCACTCCAGCGTGGGTTTTATATGGGGCTCCTGGAATTTGGGAGCTCAAGGCAATTGGTACCTTAGCCTAAAGGTAAAGTCCACCCCTGATTGTAACACGTGTCAAAGTGACAACATAATGCTCTACTATGAGACAGCTCAGTCTGGGACTATAAATGGGGCCTCTTCAGAGACTTTCAGCTTAGCACAGGAATTGACAGCTCTACCTTACCCTGTGGGAAATCATATGGTACGCCATCTTGCCTCTTTTATAAAACCACAGATAGTCCACGTTCAGTTCCATGCAGCTGTGCCGCAAACCCTGATTGACCCCGTTGACCCTGCCGGCCCTTGAGTGGAAATAAGGCACTCTGAGGTACTTACCTTGACCCCGCGCTGGCTGAGGAAACACAGAGACGAAAACCAAACCCAGCAGGCAGAGGCTCAGTCTGACTGAGAACTGCATCCTGGCAGCAGCAGAAAGGAGGACAGCACACACCTGATGGAGAGGGAGGACAACAGGGACCAGGAGTAGGCAGATAAAGGAGGACAAAAAGAGGACAGGGATCAGGAGACAAACGAAAGGAAGAGATGAGGAAGAGATGACAGGGTAAAGAGGGTCAATGAAAAAATGTGAAAGTAAAAAGAGAGAGATAGGATGGAGGAAGTGAAACAATAAAAAGAGGACGACAAGGGCAAAAGAGGGGCAGGGAGGAAAAAGAGGAATAAAAGGAGACAGATAAAGGAATTTAAGCAGCGTGAGAGAGGACATACAGTGGGTTATCTCTGGTTCTTGAGCAATAATGAAGCAGTTAATCAGTCAGACTGAATAAACTCTGTGCATGTTTGTGCAGTTAGAGAAAACCTGCTTTTCATCACTACAAGTACATACAAAAATGTGTGATTTTATTCAGTGTGCAGGTTTAAACGCGCAGAAATGTTCCTGAAAAACTGGTGATAAAAAATATTTCACCTTTCAGCAAAATGTCCTCTCTGTTGGTGCCAAGATTAAGACGTTCACATATATCACTTATTCAACCTCCTGACCCCCCCCCCCTTACATTTCTCTTTTTTTAAATGATGCACTCTTTTGCAACTTTTTAAAATCCTTTCATTGCAGAAATGATTTCATTCAGCCTGCAGAAAGCTGAAGGTGCAACATTTGTTACTGACTTTCACAATAAAAACAAGATATGGGTTATTAACAAAAACTGAAAACAACAGCTTAAGATGTTTTTAACAAATAGATGCACAGCAGGCTCATTAAAGCACCTGCATCCAATCTTTCTCCCAAAATAACACCTTTTGTTTCCAACTACTGCAAAAGCCAACTTTTAATTTCATGCAATTTTCAGTAATTTATTGTTACAGCTGACTATTAAAACTTGGCATTTTCATCACATCTGCACATCAGTTTCAAGGCAAGCAATGCATGTGGTGATAAAATCTGCTCAATCAATCACTCGTTTCATTTGTAATATGTAATCATGAGGTAGAATTAAGATTATAGGCTGTATAACATTGGATTATAGAGATGTTTAAAGGCACGCTGTCTCAGCGTAGTTACCTTGAGAAAAATCACTGCAATATCTCTGAGATATTCCCTCGAGGATTTAGACTGATGGCAGTTCACTTAAGTGAGTTTACGATCACATTTAAACACCTGCCCATTTAATGTACAATTCAACTCTGAGTATCTGATTTTACTCTTTATTTGCAGTTAAGCATCAGTAATTATCCGTGGAAGCGTAGGTCTTTACAGATACAAGATGAAGTACAGTAAATACAGTTATTGCACACTTTAACAAATCACTACCATCATGCCAAAGAAAACTTTATCAAACAGCGTAATATTACTATAAGACTCCAAATTTACCGCAAATAAAGCAGCGAAGTTTCCCCTAATTGAACGGAGCACAGGTGAGCTGTGCACGCTGCGCCATCAGAGGAGAGGGAACAACCCCACGCGTGTTCAGGTGAGGAGGAAGACTACATGGATGTAAAGGATTGTTTTGCAGATGTGTGCGGGCGGTAAATGAAAAGCAGACTTACCTTCTTAGATCATACGTTTCCCGGCTCCGCAGCTCTCCTCCGGACAGCTGTGCTGGAAGCTCACTAGTCCCCACAGCGTCTCTGATCCACTCTGTTCACCAACTCTCCGCTCCCTGACAAGCACGAGAAAAGTTAGACCCACTCACACAGCACACTACCGGTCACAGATTTCAAAATAAAGGGCTCCCGACAAACTGTTTTATTTATTATGGCACTGTTCATACAGTTAATTGATATCCACAAAATATATCTTAAATATGATATACTAATAGTCAAAATGTAAATCTAAAATATGATTATATTTAAATTTGAGGTATTTTTTGGTCTATTTTAATTAGTACTTCTTATATACACTTTCACACAGCTGGAGGATCTCGTTTGACTTAAATTAAAATAGTTTTCATTATTTTATCAGTTTTGGTGCTTCATTTCCAGATGATTTTTTAAACATTTTTCAGTATGTTTTAATCAGTGTTATTATTTTGTTATCCATCTGTATACAACTTAAAACAAGTGTTAAGGTTTGAGTCACATCCCAGGTAGTATTAGTGTAGTCTATTGATCAATGAAATGTCAGTGTAATATTTAAATTAACAAAACAAACCTACCTTATAGCATGCCCTTTTTACATTTTCTGAAAAATGATATTTGTTGCCAAGTAAGCTTGAGAAAGTTCGGAATGTATGAGCCATGGAGCTAGTTGTACTCCTGCTAGCCTGAGGTTTACGAAGTTAGCTTGCTGCCACTCTTTCTTCCGTTACTCGGTAGGAAAACTTAGTTGTAGTCTTCAAAAATCAAGGTTTTTGTTTAACAGGAAGATGACTCACCAATGGTTTTCATTATTTCTGTCAAAAGTTGACTTATGACAAATCTTTAAATCCATTTTCACATTGAGAAGAATTAACGGGGAAAAGGATTTAACGGCTGGTGTATCACCCAAGCTCCTCCCACTGCGATTTTTTTTAGCCAATCAAATCCTTCCGATTTCCAGTTTCGTTCGGTCTCGGTTCTCCTGCCATTAGGGTTGACTATTGAATCTTTAAATCCTTTTTTTTTTTCTTTTAATTATTTTTTCCACAAAAAGACTCAGTCATGTAATGATTCTCTTTTCCATAAAGAAAGAAAAGAAAAGAAAGAAAAGAAAAGAAGAAAAAAGGATTTTACGGTTCTCCAACGGCTCGTCAATCACCAAAGCTCCTCCCACTGCGCATTTTTTAAGCCAATCAGATCCTTCCGTTTTTCTAGTTCAGTTCATGCTCGGTTGTCTTGCTGTTAGCAATGACCATTGAGTCCAAGTCCCCCTAAATGTATATTTTTCATTTTAACTAAATTAATACAAGATCCATTTAAATAAATGACGGTCAGATAGGCGCCGTTGTATGGAAATGAGAGAAATATAAACTCTTTGATAGTAATCGCTGTTTTTTCGACACCTACGGTGGCCGTGAAATTCGCGAAACGTCTCTCCCACAGCGTGTAGGTTTGTCCGCTTTGATCACTTGTAAAAAAATGGCGGTTGCCGTTGATGTCTACGGTAATGAAAACAGTGTTTACATCTTTTTTACATATATTCATGTAATTATTTTACAGCTAAGAAAATTGATTTAATGTTGATTTCCTCTCCAGTTTCTCTTCATCGATCCCCGAAATCTAATCACCCACGCTTGGCTCTTCAGTCCCTCTACAGCCGTTAGCTGTGAGTATGATTACACTGTTCTGGGTTCAGTTCAGCAAACACCCCTAACAGATCTTGCCCATGTGATAAATATAAGATTATAAAACGACACGGTGTAGTTTTGCTTTTAAAGTTAAGACCAATTTGTTGTCTTTCCTGTGTGACTCTTGTCTGATTTTGTCGAACTTCACCCTGCTGTCGGTTTTCTCAGTTGAGACTTGCAGAGGACTGATGGGTGTTTCCCGCTTCATTCACCATCCACCCCTGCAGCTATTCATTCCTTTTACCTGGTTTAATGCGAGGCGAGGCTGCACAAAAATGTGTTTAAGCGGCTGTGGAGGCTGCCTGTGTATTTCTGTGACCCCTGGCTATGGTGCTGTATGACTCCCCAGGGCTCGTTTTTAATGTGCCTCTGCTCTGTGTGTTCTGGGCAGGTGGCTCCTTGTAAAAGTGACGATCATGGGGGGAAATGGAAAACCTCACTGGTTTCAGACTCTCCTTCAACTTCTCAGATGGGTTGCATAAGTCCATTGACAGTACAAAGTGTTGTAAATTTCACTCTGACCTCATTAAATCAAACATACAATCTTTATTTACACTCGAGAGATCACTGCAGCCTTCATTTACAATGACACCAAGGTTCTTTATTCGGATGTACTAAAACAACTGCTGCATGTTTAATTCAGTAGAATAATATCACTAGCATTGAAAGCCTTTTTCTATAAAACACAGTAACTTCCACACAGAACTGCAGCATTGGACATACAGGTGTCTTTATCCCTGAGACTGCCTTGAATGAATAATGAGCCTCTGTCTGCTGGAGATGAGCCGCTCAGTTTCTCTGTACCTTGTCGACCAACAGAAGAGCTGCGGTCTCTTCGTGTGTCATCTGTGAGTTAAATTAAGATTCAGCCTTTTCTGTTCAAACTCTGAGTTTCAAAACTGCAGCTTTAATGAGGTTCCACATCTTCTCTACACGAGTCCACTTCATGCTGTCTAAATATTTTATATAAGGTCAATATGAGCTACAAAATGCTGGTATCCCACCGATCCTTAAGCCTAAAACATACAGGATCTGTATTGAGCGCGTTCCTTATTTGCTCCGTAGAGCAGCATTTGGTATCTCATACAGGATCTGTGTATTTGGAGCGTAGCAGCAGCGTAGTGCAGCCCCGGTCAGCTGGGCTCAGTACAGAGGAAACAACATGCTCACAACAGGTTGTTTTTCCTTTCTGTGGTCGATTTCCTGCTGATTTGGATTTAATTCATTGACCGTTGAGCCTCTACTGTATGATAAATCCAGAGCCAGGAAGGATTTCTCATCTACAGGAACTGATACAGTCGGGGGATCGCATATGTGCACATTGGAAGCGTAGAGCAGCAAAAATAGACTCGCCACATATCTTTAGCAGAGCTGCTCTTGATACGATGCTGCGATGGAGCTGAGATGCGTCCTGTACGCTTTGCTGCATTGATTACAATGGTAACCTATTTGCTGCATGATACGAGACACTGCTGCCACATTCCAAATACACATCCTCTATGTTTTAGCCTTTAGGCTCCAGTGAGCTGGTGGTTTACAAGTTCTTGGCCACAAAGCTGTGCAAAAAGTAACACCCACCAGTTGTTTTTCTGACTTTAAATTATTGGAAAAGCCACTTAAATGAAGCGTTTCAGGCAGAGGCTGAGCTGTGCTGAAATGAGGGTTTATATGTATACCAGTATAAAATAAATGAGGAGTTTTTTTCAGCCACAAATGATGCAAAGCTTCTCTGTGGGTGTCTCAGACTAACACAGTGAAAGGTGATAATAAGTATGAAGCACTGAGAAACAATAGATACAAGAAAAAAACAACTCCAGAATTCAAACATGGTAAAAACACTGAGCTGCTTCTGCTGTATGGGTGAATCACATAATTTGGGTCGTTTTCAGTTCTGACTCATTCGACACAATCCTCTAACAAAACAGGTTTCTATTCTTTCTGAAGCAGTGAACTTGATATTTGTGCATTTATGAAAAAAATAAATAAAAAATCAGACTCATTTCTGGTTCCAACAACAGCGTCTGATGCCAGACAAAATGTGTGTTTACTGCAATCAGCGCCGTCGTCTGTGCGTGTAAACAGAATCTTTTCTCCTGCAGTAATCAAGCAAAGAGCTCAGACTTCATTATGAGACAGGAGAACAAAGTTAAACACCCAAATGAGCTACAAGTCTGTTTCTGTTACTCTGTAGAGATGGAAAAAAACAACAGCCTGGTCACCTGCAGAGTCACAGGTACACTTGCACATCACACCTTGGCTGTGACTTAGTGGGAAATAACGATCATGTGTGTTTGTGAACTCTGTTTTTTTTTTTTCTGTGACATCCAGGAGCTTTAGTGTAGAGAACCTTTTTTCTTTTTTTCTGGATCAAATCTTTAAAAATTGAGTTTAGATATTTACTTCTTTTCAGTCATGAATTTTACTCAGTTTTACTCTCAAATCGGAGTAAATCCACTTCTTTAAGATGAATTTTATAGCTTGTATTTGTACATGTGGATGTGTTGCTTGATTTGACCAATAGGAGGCAGTGCAGCAATGTGATTTCTTGTCTTTTCAGCCCAGCGGCAGTTTTAAAAAACTCTGAAAGTTTTGGTCTCTGTCATATCAGAGGAGCAGTCTTTGAGGAAGTGCTATCATAGAGAGAGAAGTTAGCATGACCCTTTAAAACAACAAGTCTGAGTGTGTGTTTGACCTCAGATGTCTTCATGATGGTAATCTTGACAGTTTTTGTGTTTTAATGTACATCTTTGTGTCACTGCTGCCTCATGAGGTAAAATGAGTGTTTTTTTGAGTGGAGTTTGGTGGCTGTAAATTGAGGGTATAACAGCGTCTCATAAGAGTCTCATTCATCAATAAAAAGGCTCTGTCTCCGCAGGGATCCCTGTTGTAATGTCAGACTCCTAGAATAACCATTTGAGCTTGTTACCAGTAAAAACAAACGTTTGATGTTTTTTTTCTCTCAAGAGTGAGTTGCAGGCTTTACACACAGCTCAATTTGCCTCCGTCGACTGAAGCAGTCTCAGGGAGCTCTTTCCAAACTCTTTGTGCCTATCAGCCACAGTCTGTGCACTTGGCTTTGTTCCTTTTCAGTCTGAAGTACTTCATGACATTTTCTCTGTTTTTCTCTGATTTAGTAACTTTGACATTTGTTCCTTAACTTGTTGTAGTTTAGAAAATAAGTCTTGTAGACAGAGAGCTTTCCTCTTTAACTTTTTCATGGTTAATATCGTTTATGATTTTAAAAACTCAAAAGAAATCAAGTGACAGACTGGCAGTCCTGTATTTAATAAGAATATGACAAAATCGTGACTAGCAGGGCATGGTGAGGCACAAAGGTGCAGAAGTAGTTGTGGTGGTCACGTCTTCATTGTCTTTTCTTTAAAATATCACCTCATGGGTTTAATGATCCCATATCATCATAACTACAATATTTTAGTATCGTCACACCTCTAATATCAAACTTATCAACAGCTAACCACCATACAGCATGCATGCAGAGGGGCGGAGTGAGTAAAGGGTTAACTGTCATTCTTCTTCTACCTAATGGAGTCCTGTCAGGAAGCTGCTCGCTACATCCACAGGTTTTGCTCAGGGGCGTCCTCGGGGTATTCTGGGGGGCTCTTGCTCTTTCACATCACATTTATCTCTTTCAGTTTTCAGCAGTCAACCCCATCGCTGCTGCGGCTCCTTGTTTACATTCTAGTTATCGAGCTGTCCGCCACAATCACAGCACGGCCTGCTGATGTTGGAGCGACTGAAATCACTCCTGAAGCTCAGTTTGGCAGCTGCAGCCGCGCTGCCACGCACCATCTCGTCTCTGTCATCAGGAGCTGTCAGCACCTCTGTTATGATCCGAGCGTGACGCTGCTGAAGAGAACGCCTTGTCAGCTTCAGCTGGGATGTTCATTTTATGTTCACAGACACAGAAACTTTAAGCATCCTCATTTATTTACAGTTTTGAACTCCTTCAACCAGAGTGGTGTCATGACACCCAGACTCAGAACCATTCTCCTCCTCTCTGGACCCATGAGTTTAAAAACCACCACAGTGAGTCTTTCCTGCATGATGATCCATGTCTTAGCTGTGTGGGAGCTTTTAAACCTCTTAACCTTCCCCGTCCTCTAATTTACATTTTATTTTCATTAGGACATTGAGTTTAATAAATCTAATCAAAGCTTTGACCTTCCCAGGAACCCCCTCAAGGATCCTGATGGTTCCCCTTGATTATAAAAGATTATCAGAACCTGTAAGACCCCCTTTTTTGATGCTCTGTAGTCAGTGTCGGAGTTCATATCATTAAGAGCTGTTATTGTTTCATTCACCTGTTTTCATGGAGCCTGATGGACTTAAACGTGAGGAGTGATTTTTAAAGGTTTTCCATATTTTCTCGGACGTTTTTCTTCAGTGTTTATAGTCAACAAGTTGCACGCCCTCTTTTGTTTGAACAAAAACAGTAGCAGGTTGAATAAAGAGGATGTCAGATCCACCAGCTATCAAACAAATGAGACTGGGCTGTAAAACGTCAGATTTTGGTTGTTATGACGACCGTTTTAATATCAGACACTAAAGCAGTCTGAAACAGTCTCTCGTGGTTTGTGATGCTTCCCTGTGGCTCCTACTTGAGCTTATAGTTTAAGTTCTTAATTGCGGTTTTGGTCTGGACCTTCTGCTGGTTTGTGATGATGTCTAACGGTCTATTCTGGATTCTATGATGGTTTCTGGAAGTGCCAACACAGTCTGTAAGATGGTCTGCAGATTGTCGGTGATGGTAACAGCCCTCTTTTAGGACTGCATGATAAACAAACATGACATTTGCAAAAAGGTGATAATTTTGTGGTTAAATGGGACAAGAGCAAGTCAGTCATGTAGAATTGGTCCGGCTTCACAGTTTCAGATGAAAAGCAAACCACTCCCTTCTGCAAAGTCTGTTTTTTATGTTTTTTAAGATTTTATGTTTGGCCAAAATCATGCAGTCCTGCCCCTTTAGATTTCTGTGTAACTTTGATTGTTTTCTGCTCAAATCTGAACAGACGTTATTCCATAAAGCTCATCCTAAAATCAACGTCATGGCGTTTATCTTGGAGACAAATGACAAAGCAGTTTCTCTGTCAGTGCAGAACATAGACGTTAAACCTTTCCACAGTTAATCCACTGAATGTGTCGGTACAAGCTCCGAGTCAAAAACCACTCACCTGGAATTCTCTGAATCCTCCAGGACTTTCAGGAATGCTATCCTGTCCCACTTATCGCTGAGACGAGGAGAGGATGTGATCATGAGGGGCTGGGATTGGCGAGGAGTGAACCCTCCCTCCGCTCCTGAGGTCATCATCATCAGAGGTTGAAGCTGATTTTGAAATAGAATAAATAAAGGACGGTCTTCAGACTTCAGAAATATTCAGGGAGGAGAAGAGCGCCGAGGGGGACGTTGCATAACCTGAATGTGAGCCAACTCCTACTGTACTGCTCTCCTCTTGACCTGCTGCCCCCTCTCTGTGCCTTCAGGCCTTACAGTTTATGCTCTTGAACCTTGCAGATGACCTCTGACTTCTGTCAACTTTCCCCTTTTTTTATGAATTTGGCCTAAATCACTGGGAGGATTCCCCGAGATGACAGGAGAGAATGTCGGTAATAACAGTCATTTTCCTTCTTGGGCAGGAAAGTTGCAGCAGAGAGCCGAGTTCAACAACACAGCAGCTCTGACCCGCAGATTTGACAACATGATATCAGGTTTGGTGAAGAAGGAGGAAAAACATCTCAGTGCAATTCAGAATAAAAACAAACACAAACTTTAACAAGCAAACATCCCTGAAAAAGTCTTTGTATGGATGTCAGCAGATGTTGATCCTTAACCTGTAGATATTGTTTAAAACTGAGGATGCAGCATCTATGATTTCCAGTTCTTCGTACGGCGAAACGTCCAATGTAAGTCCAGTTGTCCTTTCCATAAGAGTGTTAGATGATGATCCATCAGACCTCAGGACAGTTCAAGGACAAGTGATATTAAGCTCCAACTACAGAGCCCTTTTGCTCCTAAACCTGTAGATAATGTTCAGCATTAAAGGGATATTCCGGCGTAAAATTAGTGTCAAACACGCTGTAACACCAAGTTAGACACCCCCTCGAAGGATGAATGTTGCAGACCGCTTGCTTCTCTAGTTCTACCAGCTTTAGTAACGACCGCAGGATAGCAATACAGAGAGGTCTGAGGAGACATAAACAAACCTTAACCAAAACGCCACTCTATAGCCACAGATAATGTTCAGAACAGCACCTAACTTTTTAACTTTGCCTAAGAGACTAAACACAACTCACCTACTCTCTTCCAGCAGCCGCTTGTTTGAAGCGAGACCTCAGGCCAGTCCATTACGGACTACAGCGGGGTGACGCAGCTCAAGGAAGAACATTTATGATCATTTCTTCATGGAAATGCAAATGATTAATGATTAATATGGTGATGCAGCAGTCCGTTTCTCTCAGTCCGGTCTTTGGGTCCAGAGAAGTTCTCGGCAGTAGTGGAACATGTGACTTTCTCTTTGCACCTGCCTTTGTGGAAATAGCAGCATACCGTGTTCATACTTCATGATCTCATGTGGGGATTTCCCCTCCAGAGTCATGCCTGCTTTAGATTCAGTTCAGTTTTAGTTTTCAGCTCTTTTTGGAGAATAACTTTGATGAAATCCTGGAAACCTCTGCAGTTCTGCTCTGGGGACCAGGACTCAGAAATGGTTGAACCTTTTGCTCCTGCAGTCTCTCAGAGTCTTGAACCTCTGTCAGCCTCTCCTAAAGCTGAGGAGCAGGAGAGCGTGAATGAGAAGAGCTGCTGCAAGAGAAAGGGACTGGACACATACTGCCACCTACTGGCTAAACTATAAACTGTCTACTGAGTCACCTGGACTCACTCTTGAGGGTGTTCTAATATCACCTATATCATGATCTTGTAACTCCAGCTTTCAGCTCCAGCAGCAGGAGGGCCTAAAATCTAAAAGAGTTAATTATTTTTAAATAAACTGAATTCAAATCCCAGAAGAGTTTGATTTCAGGCTCATTTCTCTGTTTAAATGAGGTTAGAAGTGGGAAGTCATTTCCCAACCAAACAAATAAAAAGACTCATAAAAGAGTGAGATAAGTGACATAAAACCAGCAATAAAAACATAATAAGAAGGTGAGTCACAAACTTTATTAGGAGGATCATCTGCCTGGAGTGAGACTTACTTAAATAAAGATTATTGCGTTTCCTAAACACATCCTCACAGCAGACCCGTAATTTTAAACAGCATCCAGATGAAGGTTTAATAACAGGCTTTCTCAAACCTCCGATTAAAGAAGAAGCTGAGAGACCCAGACGGAGAGTTAAACACTCTTTATTAAGTGGAGAGGAGAAATAAATTAGAGCCGAGGACAATCATACAAATACAAAAACAACGAGTTTTACAGTGTAGAGATGGAAAAAAGGGAAGGACCGCGCCGACTGTGAGAGCCAGAGTTCAAAACAAAGTACTTAGAGGTGCTGCTCTGCCTCACTTCACCTTCACACTCCTCACCTCCTTTCTGGGAATCAGACGAGCACATGGAAAAGTAAACACAGCCAGGGATGAGGAGGAGGAGGAGGAGGAGGAGGAGAGGATGGAGGAGGAGGGGCGGGGGCACGTGTCTCCTAAAGGTGTGTGTGTGTGTGTGTGTGCATGCAGGTGTGTATAATACATCCAGGTAATAATGTGTTTTTGTGACACGCAGGGTTAAAAGTCCAAACCACCCCCACGAAGAAAACACCAACTGTTCAAGTGAAGTCAACAGGATGATGATGATGACGATGATGATACCTGAGCTCAGGTGTGATACCTCCTAAATACAGGTCCTATCTCCTAACCCTGGGTCATCATCACTCCATCAAAGAAGCTGCTGTGAAGGTTAGGGAAACTTTAGAATAATTTAGTACTTAAAAAAAAAAAAAAGTTTAAAGGAAAGTCGAGTTTGGTTTTTGGTATTTTTATGGAAAAAAAACAACACATGAGTTATGGCTGAAAGAAACAAACCTGGAGTTGGATGGATGGAGTCCAGAAAACCCTCTTTATAGCACTTCTCAGCTTCTGTCTGAAATGCTATTTTTTTAGCTGCTTTTCCACATATAGAAGATCAGACACATCATGTGGGTGTTACTTTTTACACAGCTTTGTCGTCACAAAACCACCTGACTGTTACGTTTCTGCAGAAAACATCTGAGGCTAGCTGTTCGCGCCCCCTCACTGAAGGCTATTCCTGTCATGACTAAGGTTTTGAGGTTCTGGGCCTTCATGGAAGGTCTTCAGGAATAAAACAGTCTGAGGTTTCAGGTGCAGATCCAGCTCAAACTGGTCTTTGGTTACAGAGGAGTCATCAGTGAGCACGAGAAACTCTCTGAGACAAACTTAATCAAAATGCAAAGTGAAGGTCGGGGAAACAGAATTCACAGCTTTTAGGTGGGCGTGTCTGAAGCTGAGGGGGGGGCTTATCCTGAGAGGACAGCACCGCCTGACATCAGGACCCCCCTGCTGATTAGCATGACCATTCAACGCTGTGTATATAATAAAAAAAACAGTCCAGCATCATAGGTCTGCTGTCAGCAGCTTCTGGAGGAACCTTTCCTGTCAAGGCCTCACATAAAGTGGAGTGTCAGAGGTTGAACATCAGTCTGAACCCTCATGTTTACAGTTTTCTTAAAAAAAAGAAAATAGAGCTGTGAATATTTTCATTACTGTTAAACGGCTACAGAAATTCCTCTCGATCTTCAAATCAAGCATAAACGATGAAATGAAGAGGTCAGGCGAACAAAATAAGACATGAGAATAAGGCACTGAAATGGAGTGACTCTTTTTGGAAACCTGGAGTAATAGTTCATATATTGGAACCTGAACCATAAGGACTGATGCATTGTGGGACTCCAAAGTCTTTGGGTCTCATGATCAAATATTAACCGAGTTGTCTTGTTGTGATCGTCACACTGCTGTTCTCGGCTTTTACTCGATCAAGTCCAGCCATCATACTTCCTTTCATTGCTCAGTTGTCAGTTTCCTCCATCACCTCCATCACCACCGTTCTGGGTCCGGTCAGGATCAGGTGGCTGACAGTCCGGTAATCCAGATGAAGAACGTTAATCCCGTTGACTGAAACCACAAACTGACAAACCTGTCGGTGGAAAAGAGCGTGAGACAAAAACGACAGAAAGTTAAATATTGATCCATCATCGCTCTGTCACATCCCCGCCGATAATAAAACAAATCAACTTCATTTTGGATATCCACGTCATCGTTGTCTACAAAAACTGGAGCCTCAGCAGATCATTGAACTCGCCATTTAGGAACAACTACATTTCCCATGATTCTTACTTTCATCCCGGCAGCAGCAGCTGGACCACTGGGCTCCACAGCCTGGATGTGACACGGCCTGTTTCCTCGTACGACAAACCCCCAACCGACGGCATCGCCGACAACCTGAAATCACAGAAAGAAGTGGGACCTGTCTTCACTCTTCACTCCTGCAGAAACAAATCCTGAGAAATACAAAACTAAAAATATCAATAAACATGAAGACTTGCTACTTTTCTGACTTACTGTAAAGGTTTTCTTGATGTAGGGTCCACCTGGTCTCTGCAGCTCCTCTGTGCTCACCGGTCTCTTTAGGACTAAACATGAGGAAGATAAGACCCCCACACATGTTAGACACAAAGTTACCATTACTATAGAAAAATAATATGATTTAGAGTTCCTTTTAGCATCTGTTGAGTTCCTGAGTGGTTCTTGTTGCTCAAGATTCATAACCAGACTGAAAATGACCCATCTATGGTTTTTAAAGTACTATTTTAACTCTCGAAAATTCAAGCGCTCTGCATGTAGAAGTCTGTGAATGAATGAAAACAGAGGTCTTTAACGCCCATCTAACCTGGACAGGAAACCCTCAGGCTTTGTTAAACCGCTGTTAAAGGAGTTTGGCTGCAGGGCGGGGGGCACCGCTCACTATCCAGGGCTTCAAGTGTCGCCCATGGTTGGTGATTGAGGGCTCCTGGACTTCTTTTTCAGAGTCTGATCTACACTTAGGAAGGAGGAGTGATGCCCTTGATGATCTCTGCAGCTAAATCATCTCGAGGTGACCAGAATGATTATCCTGTTTGCAGCCAAAGCCTCTCGTACGATGAAGAAAAACCAAACCAGACTTTCCTGCAGATTCTGTGAAAGGAGACACATTAGTACCTGATTTGGGGTTGAAGAGCACTGAAGAGGAGGAGGAGGTGGAGGAGGAGCTGGTAGGAAGGTCGACTCCTCTCCTGCTGTATCTGCTGCCATCACTGCTGCTCCTCAGCCGGGCTCTTCCTTGACCGTCACACTTCACCTCCTTGGAAGGAGCCACTGATGGAAAAAGAGAGAGAGAGAGAGAGTGAGGAGGCGATTAGGGGCGAGCCTTTGTGAATGAAGGAGAAGAGAGTGACCCAGTTTTGTGTTTAACTTCCTCAAACTGTTCAGTTTCTGTTCCAACACGCCCTGATAAAGACGGACGCTTCCTTAAACTGATAAGACCGTCAAACACAGATCCCTGTGAAGGCTGTAAAACAATAACCTGTCTGTTTAAAGATGGACTCCAACACTAACTCTGACAAATACAGTCCCGCCCAGCTTCGAATCGGTCAATCAACACTTTATTTTGTTGTTCTTTACTTTTGTGAAATCCGTTAATTTTCTTCTGTATTGTATTTGGATTTTATCGTCGTCTCATTCGGTTGTTTGCTCAGAGAACTTGAGAAGGAGATCGCCCCGAAAAGCTCCGTACACAATCAGAAATAATGAGAATGAGATGATTTAATTAGATTTGGACTTGAGTAAATGTTAACACAAGGACTGAAACGAGAAAAACAAGCTCTGCTAATCATTCAATTTGCAGATAAAGGAGGTGCACAGCCTCCACTTTCTCCTCCCGATTTAGTCACTTCTGATAAAAGAGAGAAGGAAATTTAGACTCTGGATTCATACAGATCTGAAATCATTGTCAGCATTAAGAGTTTGTGACAGGATGACCTCTTACAGGTTTATGATACAACAGTCATAAAATGACACCAGCACACTTCTCAGAGTAATAATGAATCTGCAGCTTCCTCTGGTGATTCAGGTCATGAGGATGTTTGTGAAAATGTTCAGGCCTCATATCTACTGTATATCTAAGTCAGAGTTTTTGGTCTTTGAGAACTGAAGTTGTAGAAAAATCCTCCAAAGTGGAGATTTTTCACAACTTTGGGTCGTTATTTTCAGGTGGACAGTAAACGAGTAAATCAGGCTGAATAGTTTGTTCTTCACCGCTGTGTTCCCAGTTTACATTATAAAGTTCAAAAGAAGACGCTACATACAAATGTGCACGATTCTTCTTCTGTGTTTAATGACAGAAACTGATTACATTTCATCGCCACCTGCTGGTCTGGCATGCCTTTAGGAGCGTTCTCAACCATTTTTGCGTCATTATGCAGACTGATGTACATTCAGAGACTCCTCTGCTGTATATTTAAATATCTGTATTGATGACGTAGCTTGAACAGACAAACTGAACAGGAGAGGTCACTTCTTCACGCCATTCAGACGATAAACTTTGGATAAACGATGAAGTCTTTGCATCACACTTTGAAAACAGTCAAACTGGTTTAGTCCAGTTTATTTTAGACGTTCATATTGTCGCTCTTTTGTGGATGCACCACTTCAAAGTAGGATTACTGTAGTCGTAGGCCAAAAAATCAACACAGTAATATATCATCGTCCTGACTCCTTAATCATAACCCCCTCAGTTGGTTGAGTGGGTGAGTGCGTCCCATATATGAGGACCATGGTTCCCACAGCAGTCCTGGGCTCGAGTCCGGACCATGTTCTGCGTGTCCTCCCCCCCCCCCCCTCGCTCTATCTCCCCATATTTCACCCTGTACTATCAATAAAAGCCAAAAAAAAAAATCCTAAAAAAATATATCACAAAATGAATGAGAAAAAAAAAGCGTGTGTAGCTCAGAGTTGCTCACTTTTGGCCTCTAGTGGCCATTCAAGGAACTTCACATTTAAACAGTTTCTTAGTCCCAGAGGTTCCTGTTAGACTGCTCCTCTAAAACTCTTTTAATGTTGTTTAAACTAAACCAGATACTGACTTTGTCGTATCGATGAAAACAATGATTAGTAGTTACCTGCCTTTTTCTCCCCGATCAGACAGCTGTTGAAAACTTAATGAAGGAGTAGAGCTGCTCTTACCTGCGGTCCGAGGTCCCATCTCTGCTCAGTTTTTTTTTTTTATTATCCAGAGAAAAGTGAATCTGCTGAGGAAGACTCCAGAGGAGGACGACCTTTAACTGCTCATACAGACAGACTGAAGCGCTGATGAACACATTGACAGACAGACTGTGAACCTGTGAGGGATCTCAGGTGTTAAAGAGTCTCTGCACAGACCAGAAGACGGCTCGCAGCGTCTCCTCCATCAGCTGGTCAGTGAAATCTGTCTGTGAGTGTTTACAGATCTGAAAGCGAGGGTAGTCATCTGCTGAGAGAAAAAAAAAGAACGTCTGTTTGTGTGTGAGCTAAATATTAAACCACTGAACAAACATGGTGACCCTCAGCTGGAGGAGGAAGGAGGAGGAGGAGGAGACTCTGTACTGACGGGGTTTCTTTTCCTGAATATTTCCACCTCAAAATTATAATTAAAGGGAAAAAAAAACAGTTTTACTAATCAACCTTAAAAAAATCTTAATGTACACAAAATATGTATGAATGCACAATATACAGAGATATATTCACCTACAGTAAGGTAAAAGGCCAAAGTAATGTATGACACATGGATCTCAAATTGTTTTACCAATTTAGAGATTTTTGAACAAACATTGTGACTTTAGGAATTAAATCTCGTTTATTTCAAATTGGATTAAATTTTATAGCCAACGACACATTAAATAATTTACCAGGAACTAAAAAAATTCTTGTTTTTTTGTCAAAGGTTTCACATCTCAATTATCAGACATAGAAAAAAAACCTTCTGGAACAAACTGAAGGTCGTCTGAATGAGAAACTTTGACTTCTTGGTTCCTGCCCACTTGGTGGAGTTGTATCAAATATTCAGCAGGTAAAATACCTGATGAAAAAATGTCAGTTCAGGTGATTAGACTTCCTGTTGCGTTGACACCACGTCGATGAGAAGCTGATTTGAAGGTCTTGGCGTGATATACACGTCCTTTTTTCTGTAAATTGGGAAATCAAAAGAGTAACCACTGAGTCAATTTCTAAAAAGTTTTGCCAAAACCTCAAAAATATCAATATCGGACTCTTGGGGCGTGTTACAGTCTCGAAATTTGAGATTCACTGGGAATATAATGAAGAATGGAAGAATAATCACCTCCGGGGGTGGGAGTAAGCACTAAGTAAGAGACAAAACACATTTTAAAAGAGTTTATTCAAACCAACAAAACTAGAAAATCCCTGCACTGCAATAATGAAATTTAAAAAAATGAGTTTTCATTTCAAAGACTTCAGTCTGCCGATTTCTACTTTGGCTTTTACACATAGCACACCCTACCAAACAATCTCCTCTGCCTCACCTGTGAAGTCAGTTCTCAATATTTGAAGGTTTGTGGTTTCTATTTTTAACATCTGAACCAGAACTGAGTGTTCCTCAGACTCAGGCTGAATTATATCAATAATATCTGTGTTTGACCTCTCGCTCCGTCAGTCTCTGCAGGCCACAGTTAGCGATAAAAACGATGATTTCACCACCAAAGTATTTCACTGAGCAATGTCAGACAAAGGTTTGAAACAAAAGGGAGTTTTTTTCAGGTCTGTTGCAAACCGTGTTTAAAGATCAGGTGGACGTGTGAGGTCTCACATGAGCTCCAGTCTGGTTGCCATGCAGACTTCAGGAGGCTGCAGGTGGAGAGGAAAAGGAAACAGATCAGAGGAAAATCGCAGCAAAGGCAACAGAGGTGGAGGTTTCCATCAGTCAATATGGAGCAGGGAAACTAAGACTCATAAAAAAACAGCTTTTTACTGTAAAACACTAGATTTACATGTAAAAACTGTCCCAGCTCTGATTCTTGCTGCTCACTTTTAGCTATGGTGTTTGGTATGATGCACATGGATTACACACACAAATGGTCGTGCGCGGGTAAAAGCGTGTGAACCGCTGACTCATTTGGACAACGTGGCGAAGCGTGACAACGATGAGGAAATACGCCAAAACAACAACAACAAGAAGACTGAGCAGACAGTAAACATGCCTCTGATAAATCCACATTCTGATCGGATCTGTCTGCAGAAACATTCCTGACTCTTGACATCACAGCTGATTAGCGACCAATCAGAGCGTTTCCTGATCATGACTGTTCAAACTGAAGATAACGCAGAGATACGGGGAACGACAGCAAACATGAAGTCAAGAGATCCAGGAATAGCTCAGGTGTGAACGCACCGCTCCATGTTTACACACTTAGACGCATCTTCAGGAGATAATTTGTGCAATTCAAAGATCCAATCCTGCTGACAGAGAAATGAGCGACGTAAGCTTTGAAACTTTGTCCCAGTTACTAACATACAGCCTGCTGGGACATCATCCAGTCACCCACAATTCTTTGCACTGAAATTCCCAGCTGCGTCTTTGCACAATTGAGGCAAATGTCACAACATTCCTTCTAATATCATATACTGGTTTAAAGGGATATTTCATCGTAAAATTAATTTATTTACAGACGCTGTAGTTCTTCTGTCTTAGCGTCTCGGTCTGATTGTATTTCCATGAAGAAATGATCATAAATGTTCTTCCTTGAGCTGCGTCACCCCGCTGTAGTCTGTAATGGACTGGTCTGAGGTCTCCCTACAAACAAGCGTCTGCTGGAAGAGAGTAGGTGAGTTGTGTTTAGTCTCTTTGCTAAAGAAATGAGTCAAAGTTAAAAAGATGTTTGGTGTCTAGTACTATGTCTGTGACCCTATATGTCCTGTTGATGAAGTTAGGTGCTGTTCTGAGCATTATTTGTGTCTATAGAGTGGCGTTTTGGTTGAGCGTGTGCCTCTCTGTATTTCTATCCTGCAGTCGTTACTAAAGTTGGTATAACTAGAGAAGCAAGCGGTCGGCAACATTCATCTCTGGAGGGGGGGGGGGTCTAACTCGGTGTTACGGTGTGTTTGAACCAAAATTAATTTTACGCCGGAATATCCCTTTAAGCGAGAGCAACTGCCGGTGCACAGATTGCAGGACATTAGTTGTTCTACTTTCCCCTATCAGAGACATTACCTGTCATAATCCCCGACCCTCCAGAGCAGACTGAGGCCTCGTTTATACGTACTCTGTTATTTTTAAAAATGGAGACGTTAACCATCGTTTGAAACCTTTGTTTGGACACAAACTGAGTATTCGCCCCTGAAAACGATGCTTTTTAAAAACTCCCGTCAGAGTGGAGATTTTGGAAAACTGCATGTAAACAGAGAAAAACAGAGATTTGGGTAGCCAACAGCAGATAATGCGCCAGAAACTTGGTGATCATGGATGCCTGCAGAATAGCAGTTGCATTTATGCTGGTGCAATCCCTTTGTATTTGTTTGCATTTGCAAATACAAGTTGACAAGACGTTGTTGTTGCTGCTATGCAGGGTTCTGATTGGCTAACATGGGCTTGAGCTTCTCGCTACACTGCTACCTACAGGTTTTGGATGATCTCGACTTCATATATACACCGGTTAGTGTAAACGAAAACTTTTCTGAAAACGCAGTGTGTGCACACAGTTTTATTTTTTAAACAGAGAGGGCGAAATGTCCATTTATGAAAACAGCCGAACACGTGTCAACGAAGTCTGAGACTGACCCCCAATTTCGACCGCATCTGGATCAGCTACGAAAAGGCCATATCCGCCATTTGTAGCTGAGCGTAATTATTCAAGTTAATGTGTCGATTTCCACCGGCTTCTTGCGGTGGATGCGGTGGAAATCCCGGGTGAAGCTGACATTTTTGCCTCAGTGTCAAATGGCAGATGATTGATCATGTTAAAGACTTCACACTGTTGTTAAGTGGGTTAGACCAGAACCAGAATCAAAAGAGGACTTTCTCTCCTCTAATAACTGTTTTCTTTGACTCTTAAAATCAGCGGTGGTGTAACTCGGTCCTCATGAACAGTCTGGTGATTTAAAGCCGAGTGTGTTATTGATTTTATGGATCAATGCGCTCCCAGGCTGCAGGATGAGAACAGCACAATCAATAAGCAGAGTGTTATTTAAAACCTGCAGAACATCTTGTCTGTATGTGTAATCGTTGATTTACTGTGTGTGTGTTTAAGGGCTGATATTACACCTGCAGGAGGTAAATCAAATATGGAGGGAGCTCACACACTCCAACCTCTCGGATATCTCTGCAGATTTACCAGAGACTCGTTTTTATTCACGACACAGGAGTTAGCTGTGTTTCTGAAGACATTAGTGAACGATTTCAGACCTTTACCCACCCATCAAAAAGGGTTTGTAAAGACATCTTCACCATACATCTATAATAAAGCCCAGTTTTCAACGTCGTTTTTGGGCTAGATTACGGGCCGACGTGATGTAGCCTGAAAAAAGACGTCTATATTCTCAGTAAGAGTCAGATAAGTAGTCTTTGAAGCATGCCTCATCTTTGCCTTGTCAGCTGTAGACCTGCCTTCCTGCTCCTCTGTTTACTGTAACAGGGACGCTGCTGCCTTCTGCTGGAGAGAGGCCAATAACACAGTCTGAGACTTGAAAACTTTCCTGACTGTCTTCATCCTAAACCAACAGATCATTGCTGTCAGGTACACCAAACCTGTTCCATCAATAATGTGGGAGTTTAGACAGATTTAAAGGGACATGACGCTCTTTTTCAGGCTGTAGGAATTTAACTCAACCCAGAAATTCTGGTTTTGTCTCGTCGGTCTTTAAATTCTTTCCAGATTACAGTCCTAGAAGTACACAAAGACATTACGTTATTGACAGTTAAGTCGAGTCCAGATCACCAGAAGAGAGTCCCAGTCAAGTTCAGGTGGATCTGAGTCTGAGTCTGAATCCAGACTGACCCTGTTGGACCTTTTGAATGTACAGAAAACACATAAAGAGACTTAGTGGCAGTTCAGGACCAGTCTGGATGTTTGATTGACGGAGCTCAGGCAGAAGTTTACCTCCTGGATCTCAGCACTTACCAAGCGATCTGTATCGTGTCTTCAATCGTATCAGCTTGAAATTTGCTCTTCGTGCCACTTTCACAAATTTTTATGGTTGGCAAACTTCTTCTCCTTCTTATAAAGTTTGTGAAGTTCATCTTCCACCTGCACACACTCTTGGAGAGCTCCAGTGTGTCCATCTCCTCAGCTCTGGTGATGGACTGGAGTCCAGTTTAAAGAGAGCAGCACAGGTGCATCATAGTGTCTGTTTCTCTTTCCAGTCAGGAGGTGAGCAGCACCATTTCGACTGAGCTGCAGGTGCTGAATAGACGACTGCCTGTATCTCTAAATCTTCAGGAGAGAAAGAGAGAGGCCTTTCTTTGGCAGCTGCCTTAAATATAAGAACTTCACCGCAGATGAAACCTGACCGTCTAATTCAGGAGAACGGTCAAAATAAACACCAAGGCTCTTGACAGAAGAGCCAAATCAGTGAGAGAGTCCAGAGCTCTTGCTTCCAACAGTTCGGGGTGTCCAAATACAATCATCTGGGTTTTATTCTCATTTAGGTTGGGGAGGTTTAGGCTCAGCCATCATTTATTTTCTCTCAGACAATAGAGCGAGAGCTGTAGGGAACCATCACTCTTTAATCTAAGAGACAAATGCATTTGTAAAACATCCTAAAAGCCGTGAAATCTCACCTTATTCTTCTGAAAAATAGACCCCAGGGGACTAAATACAGAGGGAAGAGACTAAAGAGGTCCCAGCTGGTGGTTTTAAGGTGATGTTGAACAGATTAGAGACGAGTACATCTGACTGCAGCTGTTCTGCTCCTTTGATTGAGATCTTATTCTGTTATATATATATCTTTATTATATGATAGACGTTTAATTTAAACTGTGTAACTTTGTAAACTCTGCTGCCTTCATCAGGACCCTCTCAAAAATCTCCTTTTTTTTCCCGGTCAGATGAAGTTTGAATAAAAATGATTGTTCCCTTCAAACATCTTTAAAAACAAAGTTCAGAGCTCCAGAGCTGCAGGTTTGTGTTTTATGAGACGTTTGTTTTATTACTCCAGACATGTGGGCAGTGGAACAGGCTGTCCACGCGTGTGTGTGTGTGTGTTTGTGTATGTGAGTGTGGGTGTGTGTTTGAGCATAGTGAAGCAAATATTAACCTTGTCCAAAGTACATTAGTGTTCCTGAATTACGATGCACAAATGTCAGCAGAGTTAATGTATTTGAGGCTATCCTACCCTGAACCTCAGACTCTGCAGGCTACCATCAGGCCTGGAGATCAGCTGACGGCTAACAGAGAGCTGAATTATGGGTACTGATCAGAGACATGATGCTGATCATACTGATAGTGTGTCAGTGTGGTCTGTAGGCGACTGAGGAATCTGTGCTCTCCAAACAGACGGCACAGGTTTGATGCCAACACCACGATATTCAGCACAACTGCACAGACCCTTTATCTGTTAATACTGAATATATGATGTTGCTTTTTTATCAACTATTTATGTGGACGTTTCAAAACCTTTTAATGCTGTTTCAGTTTTATCCAAGATGATCATTTTTGACATGACGTTTAGGAACACTGTGGCAACAGACGGTTTCTTCACTGAGGTGGGGAACAATTGTCGTTAATTTCCTAGAGATGAGATGAAAGAGTCGATTCTTGCTGAGCCAAATGATGTAGACCACTAAAAAGAGACTGTGCTCCCATCAACTGTAGCGTAGAAGCCTGAGAAAGAAGGTCTAGAACATGGTAAACCAGATCGTGAACAACTTGAGCGTGATCACATGGTCTTTGTGGATTTAAACTAATCTGCGGAAATAATCTCCTAATTTCTCTCCACTGTTTTGACATTTCTTTTCTTCCTCACTCTAAACAACTTGTGAAATAAACCTGAATTTTTACTGGGCACCATCTCACTCTCCAGAGTCTGTTATTAGAGCCGTGTCCATGGCAACGGTGTGATCTTCAAAGCACTGGTCTGCTATTGGAAAATACCACAACACTTCCTTTAAGAGCTGCTATGTAAAGACTGATATAAACAATGAGAAAACACAAATATAAACAAAAAACACATTTAAAACCTAATTTCAAATACATTTTATTGATTTAATTTAAAAAATAATTTTAAAAAATTATAAAACAGGATTCCTACACAAGTACGGAAAAAATCTGATCAATTTCCAGCTCTTAAAAAGTATGGTGAATGAAAAATAAAGTATGGAAAAATATGTATGTTTCCAGAGTATTACCACGGCTCTAAAATACCGTTTTCGTCAATAGAAAAGAAGGTATTTCCATCGAAGGTAAAACCATCCTTCTAAACTGGAAAGCAAGAGATCAATTAAACATAACCCACTGGAAGAACTTACTCGTAGATCAAATCTCAATAGAAAAAATGTCAGCATCACTTAATCATAACACACCTTGCTTTAATAAAACCTGGTCTACATTTATCAATAAACTGACTTTCAACGATCGCCGGACCCCCCAAACCACAGCATCCATAAAATCTGGCCCCATCTTACTCACATCCACATAATCAGCACAAACACATCAACACATCTGTATCTGCCCCCATGCGTGACATCTGACATCCTGCCGGACCCGCTCTCCACTTGAGCTTACAGCTTTTACGCTGGTCGGTCAGGGGTCTCCTTGATTTAGAAGGGGGTTTGGAGCAATGGGGGGTGGGGTGGGGGGGGGGGGGGTGGGGGGGGGGACGACCGAAGGGAAAATGAAACAAAAGCTTCATACACACACGTGCACACATTCACATGCATACACACACTACTTTAAGATACTGTTAACTGTTTTTGTTTCTGTCTTGTCTGTATATGTACCCACCATCACTATTATTGTGTTTTTGTTTTGTTTTATTTTGTTTGTATGATATATAAAATATTTAAAAAAAAAAAAAAAAAGAAAAGAAGGTATTTCCAAAAATAATTCTAACAATGAGGGCATGGAACATGCCTGGAAAAGTATGGAAATTCTAACTGTGTAGGAACCCTGATAAAAGCTATCCACGGATTTAAACAAACGCTAACTGTTTAACTTTTTAACAGCGTTTTCAAATACATAATAACGGGATAAACAGTTACCCCTGAAACGATGACAGTAAAACCCAGAATCGGTTCCTCGCTGGTCTCACGGATGGTTGGACACTTGTTTGTTAAAGAGTCCAGAAGTTGCTGCACACCTGTCAGATCATACCTGTCGGATAGTCTGACCCACATAAACGCAGAATCCAGGTGTGCTGAAACTTAATCTGCTGCCTGACTTCCTGCCAGGATCAACCTGCTAATCACAGCCTCAGGTGATGAAGGACGCGTCAGCCAATCAGATCGTCTTGTGGCTTTTAGCAGGTAATCTGCACCTGAGGGTAGAGTGTGTGTGTGCTTTGTCATTCAGCCTGAGGACACACACGCTGAAAGAAGAAGGTTTTATCATTTTAAATCTCCTTAATCTCTGTATTTGGTCTTCATGTCTCTGCACATCTGTGTGTGTGTGAGTGTGTGTTTGTGTCCTGCATGCAGCCACAGTGTGAATGTGTGTGTGTGCGTGCCCACGCATTTGTGAATGTTTATGTCTGTGTGTGGTCTTTGTAAGACGAGGATGTTTCCCCTGAGGTGGTGGATGTACAGATCACTTTCAAAGCGCAGAGATTTGTCCTCCCCCCCCCCGTGAACAAAATGTTCCCTCAGAGCGCGGCCTGTCGGAGAGAGCCCAGCCTCTAAGAGCTCTCCTCTGTGTTTGTGAAAAGAGGCGAGATGCTGCAGCTTTCTGAGCTTTTCTTCCGAAATCACAGAGCAGACAAACAGCGTGAGGGGCTGAGAGTCGTCCTGCGGAGAGAGCTCAGGTGGAGGGATTTACCTGCTGCAGAGACAGATTTGCTCACAGTGAGGTGTCTTTGTCTCTTTGTTTACAGAGGACATCACCGAGGTGATCGTGTAACTCCCTCTCTGAGCTCTCTGCAGGATTGAAGGGATCTCTGAGGTAGTTTTATCATCTTACAGAGTCAATAAACTGGTTCTTATGTCTGTTTTAACTCTGACTTTGTGGATGTAGAAAAACACACAGCAACAGTTATAAACCTGAGAGCGCACTTTGACTTCATGGGGACGTACTCTAGCCTGACATGATCAGACACACAAACGTTTTCAGGTGTGGAAGACAAATCCTGTTGGACTCTGTCGTTGTTTTATTGTCTTATTTTCAGATTTATTATCTTACCTTTAGATTACTTAATCTCCTAACATGCCAAACTCTCCTCTCATTGACCAAGACTTGGTCTGACGTTGTGAAATGAGGCGGCTGCAGGTGTGAGGCTAACCTGTCCCGGCCTTTTGAACAAACTGTTGGCCTGATGAAGGTCTAATACCACAACATTGTGAATAAATTCTCCTTCTCTTTACAAGTTAGATAGCGTACATGTGTTTGTCTTTGAAAACTGTTTGGGTTTACCATCTGGTTATAACCGGAGCGAGGTGTCTTCAGAATAATGAGGCATGTCTCAGAGATGGGCTTAGGATAGGGAGCTTGGAAACAGGTCAAAAGGAGGAAAATGTTAACTGAAGAGTGGTTGGTGCTTATGCTAGCTTTTGTTTAAAGGTGGGGATCTGAGGAAGTGCCAGTTTTAGGAGAAAACCAGTTTTCCTCTCAGCTCCTCCTCTCCCCTCAAGCCCCGCCCACAAACAGACGCTCCTGCTCGCTCGTATCGTTCCAGTTAAATTCAGATATAATGCAGATAAATCCTTCAGATCATTACAAATGGGGCCCAGTCAAGGTGAAAGTCAAAAGCATTGGTGCTACTGTAGATGCCAACAGACTACCAGCAAACACAATGTTTGCAGGACTTCTACAATGAGGATAAAGTGACATAGTCCAGGACCCGAGGGAGGACAGTTTAGCGATGGCGCTACAACACGCTACAGCAGGTCCGTTTGACAAGAAACACTTCTGTTACAGACACTTGTCTTACTTTGTTAAAGCGGTTTACCTGTCCAGCAGAAAGGTTACAGGGTCACTAAGATCCCCAAGCGTCCCCCATCGTTTATGTTGACCCGGCTTTTTAGCTCTTGTCCGGTCTACCTCCGTTTTTAAGCGCCCGTTATTCCTCCAGAGTCTCCGGTATTTACTTTGTTTTCTTGTACAGATGTGTCCTCTTTGCAGTTTTTAAAGTTGTCTGTCATATCAATGATCAATCTCTTAGAGAAGTGGAAGAGAAATAGATTATCTTTTTTTTTTTTACTTTTTAAAACTACCTGTTCAAAAAAGATCCAAAACATCCTCCCATAAGGTGGATTAGGAAATAATCAAACTCTGAAACAGAAATCCAGACACCAGTTTTTAATTCTTTAACTCTTCCGTGTAGATGTAAATGTTTGTGCACATCCATCCCATCCTCTCCATATTCCTTTAAGACGGAGTGGAGAGTGAACATTATACAACTGCTGTCCTCCCCTCCACCCCCTCCTCTGCAGCTCGGAGCTGCTGACTGTGTTGGACTCCGGAGCGTCACCCCGACCTGACGCACTCTTGTACCAGAGCGCAGCTGTCACCATTACTTCACGCTTATTGGCCCGAGACCGAGAGGCAAAGGCAAACAACTGGAGAGAGAGAGAGAGAGAGAGAGAGAGAGAGAGAGAGAGTTGGACCTCTGCTCCATCGATCTGTGGAGGCGCTCACAGGAGTTTCTGCCGGACGTTGGTCACAATTTCTGCGCTTTCGCTTTTTTAAGGAGGAATGCCAAAAGTGGATTCAGTCTTTGAAACATGCTACTGGGAAATTTGGTACGGTAAGACTGTGGCGGTTCTGATGTTTGAGTCTTTTGGGGTTTTTACTCTCATTTTGAAACCCACCTCCCCCTCTTACTCCCCCATATCGCGCTCGTGCTGTATCGACCTGCGGGTGAAGGGTGAGAGAGAGAGAGAGAGAGAGAGAGAGGTGCACTTTGCACAGTGAAGCCTTTAAGTTTGGGAGCTTTACCTTAAGAGAGAGAATTACATAACTGAGCATTACGGAGCAGAGATGTTGGTTATTTTTGTTCGGACAGACTCTGAAAATGTATGATGATGATGATGATGATGATGGTGAGGGCAGTGAGGAGGAGGAAGAGGAGGATGATGGGAGAGCTCAATGTCAACAGTGACACACAGGTTTGCTAACACAGGTTAGCTAAGCTGTAGGTCAGTGGTTATATACGGACTGTCCTCTTCTCTGTACGTCAGGATTTGATGTCAACACCATTGTTATCGTTATTATCGTTAATAATATCGCGGTAATTATCGTTATTAACATCGCGGTAATTATCGAGGCTTATTAATATGCCCAATGATTAAACCCCGGGATAACATGTGTTTAGTGTTTGTTTGACTGTCCCTCTAAACAAAGCTTTATAGAAATTCACAGTGTAATGCAGGACATGTTTAGTCCGACAGTCTCAACAGCAAAAGTAAAAAGCATATGAACTCAATATTAAATAATCCCTTTAAACACGGTCATTCACAACACAAATAATGAGATGATAAACATAATTGAAAAGGACTGAAAACAGGTCATCACTACATAACTTAAAAATGCAGATGTGCTGTGTCATAGCAGGTAAGGACAGAGAATTAAGAACTTTGGTGCTACAGTATTCTCATGTTGATAAATATGACTATTTTTAAGAGCTTGCATGAGGACGTTTGTTCAATCCTGTGTTTTTTAAAGCTAACCAGTTAGCCGCAGTAAACGTTGATTAGTGGAAGTGCTGTTTTGATTTTTAGCTGTGTGAATGTTCAGTATGTGGTAAAAAACACAACAGATAAGTAGGCCACTAGATCTAACTCTTAATTACTGCCACAACAGACATACATGTGTGTGCATGAGAGCGGTATTGACGAATGTGTTTCCTGGTACACTGAGACATGTCCCAGAGGCTGATGGCCCAATTCAAGATGATGTCCCACAATGCTGTATTGAAGTGAAGATAGGGCTTGTTTTTAGCTGAATATACTTCCATCTGTCATGACTCCGTTTGTTGAATTTCATGTTTGATAGGGCAGCCTTAAAGAAAGAGGAGATACAGGTAAAGAGAAGGGGGTTTGACATAAACCAAATCATCCTTGGACTGGAATTGGTCCAACAACCAGTGACCTAACAAAACTGGTGCACTGTCAAACTGCATTATTCGTCAACCCCGTGTGTTGTCTGTGCTTATTTACATCCAGGTCGTTGGAGGTTGCAGTATCACTTCTAGTATATCGAGAAGTATTGATCCGATTTTTGTAGTTCAGTAACAAAAGATGATTTTTCCAGTTGACCAATTCTTCTCAAACATTTCTAAAGCAACCAATCAGATATTGGATATTGGATACTGATCAGTTTGGATATGAGTCTTATTATTATTTAAATGGAAGCTCACCCTGTTCTCTGACACTTCAGAGCCACCATACAAAAAAGAGGCAGGTAGTTCCCTGATATTGACGTTTTTTGGGGGGATGACTCACTGTTATGGTTGGTAGTGGACATGCTGAGACAGAGGCATTGCTTTTCTTTCTAACCGGAGGCAGAGGCTCACACATGAATGAGCAACAGGTGCCTGTTACCCTGAGTATTTACAAACAGATGTGCTGATTCAGGTACCATTGTTTCATCCTGTCACTCTGGAAAATCCTGCCTTTTCAGTCCCATCAGAACCTCATCGAACCATCTGATCAACTGAAGTCCTGAATATCAGTTTGGTATCTGTTTGACAGCAGGTTTGTCTGTAACATGACATGACATAAAAAGATTATATTTAAGATAAAAAAGTGTTTTCAACAACCATACTTTGATAAATCCAGATTTTCCCGACAGTTTTGAGTATTCAGATCAAATCTAATGGCTGATTAATTTGTCACTGGATCCTGGAAGTTCTTGGAGAACCCCTGAGGGTCTTTAAGAGGTTTGAAATTTAGCTGGAGTTCAGTCATTACAACTGTCCAGCTTTAACTCCTACCTGAGGTGTGAGTACATGAGTATATCTTTGTCTTTGCCCGTTAAGAGTTGATATTTTATCTTAAAGCTCTGTTGGCTTTCTCTCTTCTCGGACGGTTTCATCTGCTTCCACTAAAGTCGCTGATGTCCCAGAATGACTTTGGGCATCTTTTGAACAGAGGAGCTTTGAATATTGAAATGATTAGTCGACTAATGGGCCAGCGGTTCCACAGAAACTTTGTTGTGAACATATCTGTCAGAGGATCGCTTGTAAAGTCGTTCACAGCCTCGCCTACGTGCGCCCTCTTCCCGGTTTATGTCGTCAAACTCTTTTTACAGATTCTCAAGAAGAGGTCCAACATATGGGCAGGGTGCGGATTCATCTGGTTTTTGTTTGTATTAGTATCAGTGGATCAAACATAAGTGGGTTTTGGGGAGCAATATAAAATCCGTGGCAGGGGGTGACATATCCGCTCACCGCAATGTCCCCAAGAGCCGAGCAGCATTTCCCAATTTCCAGAGAAATTCTCTGCAGTAAACAAAAAGTTGTTTTCTTCTCCTCTCTGGGAAAAAAAAGCTGACAGAGCTGACATTTTCAGTTTCAGCTGATCGTGAAGTCCTGAGATATCAGCAGGTAAAATCAGGTTAGCTGCTCTCTAACTTACTATTTACAACGAAACTGAGACTCAGTGGAAAGCCAGTACATTCACAGACCTGGTTATGAGCCTGATCCTGGTTTTGATCCTGGTTTGGGGATACGGTTTTAACATATCCTGGATCTCCACATCCTCACAAATACTTGGATCCAAGTTTCATCTTACCTACAAGTGTCTGACACCTGTTTTTGAGACTCCCATACCAAGAAGACTCGATGATCGACCGTGTTTGTCGTCAGCTCATCTGTTGAGGGGCTGATTCATATTTTTGGTTGCAGAGTCTCACTTAAGGAATAACAATCCTCGTGTTAGCTAGCTTAGATATTAGGTTGCATTTGACTCGTTTTAGCTCCCAGCTCTTTCCGACATGACCGGACTTGCTCCGACCTTTGTGTTGGAGAAACAGCGTCCTGTCGCCTGTTAACTATAAACATGAAAAGGTCAGAATTTTGGAGGTTAGCCGTAGACTCTGTGATTCCTCTGCTGCTGTGTTTGACTGATTTTGACTCTCCTTTGTTTCTTATCTGTGGACTGACACAGGTTTAAATGAAAGTCGTCACTTTAAAACATCCCTGCTGGAACAAACATGGTTGTTTTTTTAAATCAACGATTGTACTCTAATGAAACATGCATATAAATAAGATAATTAATGATATATTTCCCACCAACAGCCCCCCTCTCTCGAACACATGCCCCCTTTAAACCCGATCTTAAAGGCTCTGATCCAGACCTGCTGAAGCAGCAGAGAAGATTATCATGAACCGACTCCTCTGCTGCGTTTTTAGAGCCGAACTCTTTATCTGAAGTTTGTCAGTGTCTGAGCTAAACTAGGAATATCATCACACAGCACTCAGCTTTTCTGGAGTCTCCGCTCCTGACCTTTGACCCCTTTGGTGAGAAGGGAACATGAATGTGTCTGTGACAGAAACAAAGTCTGAGAGGTAAAAAAGGAAACTTCCCGTCTGTAGGTATCCTGGTAAAGTGTCTCTGAGCTGCTCTGTTTCTCTGTCGTCCTCATTTACGTCGAGTGTAATCGAAGGTTTTGTTTTTCCTCTGCAGGTAGTGGTCGGACTCTGTCTGTGGGGTACTGGGGTCAGCAGGGCTTATGTTTTTCAAGCCAGTGGGCCGTCGGAGGGAGGAGACAGCCCCCCGTCTAAAGTGAAAGGTGAGAGCAGACTCTCTAACTGTGAAGTCGGGTTACAGTTAGAGGGATGTGACTAAACGGCTGTCCCTGTCTCAGTCCACACACATGTGCAGCCTCTCAGTTGACCCTCTTTGTCTCAAACCAAAACAATCAACAAACACGTTAGAAAGAGACGCATGTCCAACAGCTCTGTCTTTTTACACATCCCTCCTCAGGTTTCATTTACTTCTGGACCTGCTGTTTGATTTCCAGGTCAGAGCCCGACATGTAAAAGCAGAACTTTTAGTCCAGTTAGAGTCTGACTGAGGAGTCTCACAATCGATGTTCGAGTACACTGTGGAAAAAGAAATCATAGAGAGTATAAAAATCCTGTTATAACCTCAGAGAGATTTCTCCTGGTTTTCAGATCCTGTATTTTAATGGTGCAAAGACCAGGTCTCATCTATGATCAGAGTTATTGCTTTATTTCATGTTCTCCTTTGAAACTTTGAAACCCGACAGGTCTCAGACTGCTTTTCCACCTCTGCACCTCTTCTCAACATTTCGGACAGCTTCCCTTTACCTAACTCAGATCAGAGCGTCTTGTTGGATCTTTAAACCCACAGTTTTCACCTCTTCTATCGGACTGCGTGTCTCTCTAAGGATGCTCATATATCTTTAATTCAATGACATATCAGTGTGTTTCTTATTCAGTTCAGCCTGCTTTTGACTTCAACTGTATTTCTTCTGTATTGTGTCCGACCGAGTCGCTCTCTCTCCTCCCTCCAGACTTCTCAGAGTGGATCAGCTCAGCCGGCTCCTGTAAGGGGAGGTGTTTTGAGCTGGAGGAGGCTGAACCTCCAGGATGCAGGTGTGACAATCTGTGTAAAACCTACTACAGCTGCTGCTCCGACTTCGACAAGCTCTGCCTGAAAACAGGTCAGTCTGACGCCGCCCGGTTTTTCCATGTAAACACATCATGAAGTGTCGAGAACCATTTTTATCATTCAAACATGAATATGAATCATTTTTAAACAGCTGGTGTGTAATTCATTTCAAAATAAAAGCATTGTTTACAAAATGAAGCAATCAAGACTAAAACTTTGAAATAAAAGAAACTCGTTTTCAGGGGTAAGTTTTACTCTGAAGGTTAAAATCGTCTTCATTTCATCCAGTTTTTACAGCCGAGTTTCACTTCAGAGCAGACTGAGTGTCTTCGTCAGAGTTTTTTGGATGACAGGGCTGGTGACGCAGATAAAACTTTACTTATCCTGACCGGAAATTATTTTATATTAGATTTAAAAACATTTCATTAAGAATTTATTGTGCTAAAATCTGAAATTGTCACGACACTTTTCAAAAAAGTAAAAAAAAGATCGTCTTAAAAAGCTCCAGATTTTCCTTCAGAAGTTTGGTCTTTGTGCTCAGAGTTTGGACACATCCTCGGATCACTTCGTGAAGCTGTAGGTTTCTGTTGTGGTTTTGATTTACCGCAACATTCGCCACAGTGTTCACAGCAGTACTGTAATAGTTCCAGGCGTACAAAACATGATAAGTGCTCTCTGCTGACGGACAAAAGGAGCAGCTGCCAGAAAGTTGCAAATACTAATTTTCATCTGATGCTGGTTTAAAGCTTGGCTGAGTGCAAGTCAAACTTCATCTTGAAAACATTAAGTGCACAAGGCTGGGATGTTTTCCAAAGCCAAACAATCTTGTGATTGTAGCTCTGGAGTCGAACCATGAGCCACTTCAGTGTGCTTTTAACGAGCTCTGCTTTCCCTCTAATCGGCTGATTTCGAACAGACCGTAGGGGCCTGAGATGTAATTAGTCACAGCTCAGTGTGTTCATTCACGCTGTTTTTATAAGGTTGTCAGCCTCATTGTGAGGCCTTTAAAGGCTCTTGTAATTAAATAACATATTATGAACTCTCCTCCTTCCTGTGTCTCAGCGGGGGGGTTTGAGTGCATGCCGGATCGCTGTGGGGAGGAGAGGAACGATGATCACGCCTGTCACTGCTCAGAGGACTGTCTGGAGAAAGGCGACTGCTGCTCTAATTACAAGTCCCTCTGCAAAGGTACTCGCCGTGATCCGGCGTGATACTCCGAGTGTGTGAGAGAGTGAATGTGCACATGGTAGAAGGTAATGACTCTGTGCTTGTGTTTCCATGTGAGGTGAGACTTCGTGGGTGCAGGGAGACTGCGAGGAGATCAAGAGTGCCGAATGTCCTGCAGGGTGAGGCTGACGTCAAACTTAGGAACCATTAAACGCGGGGAGAGCGTGCGCCGATAAAAACAGGCGGAGATTATCGCGTTATGAAGGCTCACTGTTAAAAATGTGCAGTCTCATCGGCACCGACCTCTGCAAGAGAGCAGATCATAAAAATTTTCCATTACAGATATTTTCCAAAGAAAGCCCTTATCGATCAATCACAATCATCCGTTTTCGCCTCCCTGTTCTGCGCAGATTCATCCGCCCTCCCCTCATCATGCTGTCTGTGGACGGGTTCAGAGCCTCCTACCTGAAGAAGGGCAGATCTGTCATCCCAAACATACACAAGCTCAGTACGTCCTGGAAATGATCAACTTCACTTTGTTTATTTTGAACCTTCAGGTTTCTGACTCGTAAAAAAACAATCTGAGGTGTTTTTGTCTTCGTCTCTTTTCAGGAACGTGTGGTACGTCGTCACCGTACATGCGACCAGTCTATCCGTCAAAGACCTTCCCAAACTTGTACACCCTCGCCACGGTAAGTGACCCAGCTCTGACCGAACGGTTCATATCTGCAGCAGAGAGGACAGGAAAGCAGGACAGCTAACATGTACAGTCATGTATGTAGGTTAGGTCAATACACGTGTTTGCCAACAGCCATGTTCAGCCTGCTCATGTTGTGATGCTGCTGCAGGCTATCATAGTTTAACTGCTCTGTTGGTTTACTCTGCAGGGTCTGTACCCAGAGTCCCACGGGATTGTGGGTAATACCATGCATGACCCTGTGTTTAATGCCACCTTCAGCCTGCGTACCAGAGAGAAACTGGAGCACAGATGGTGGGGTGGACAGCCTGTGAGTAAACTCTGAATACCTGCTTATTAGACTGAAGACTTTCAAAGGTCCGGATCATAAAAGGACCAAAACACTCGGGTCTGAAATATGATCGGCTGAGGTAGAAAAAGACATGAGACAGCGCAACACAACAGACCTTCACTATAGCTCATTATTGTACTATAAACCAATAGAAAAGCAGTGTGGGAAACAGGACAAAACTTCATGTAATTAGAAATTAAAAACTAAATTCTCATTAGCTGTTACCACGGTAACAGATATTCTTCTTTAGCTCCAAACAAGACAAGAAAACAGAACATTCATGATCACCAAAAAACAAAAGGATATGATATGAAACATGAAACATGATATGATACATAATAGAATATGCTACATGATGTATGATATGATATAATATAATATATAAAACCATATTTGATACAGTATGATATGATACATGATGTGATTTGATATATGATGTGATATAATACATGTTAAGATATCGGAAGATGTGAAATGGTATAATATAATACATAATATGATATGATTTATGATACATGATATCAAATCATACAATATAATTAATATTTGATATAATATATACTGATACCTGATATGATATGGGAAAGTATGATATAATAAAGCATATGTGATATAATAAAATAGGATATGTTCTGGTGGAATACAACATGATAAAATAAAAATTAACACGATGTAAGAAGTGACAGTTTGGTATGAAAACTCATAGATCAGGATGGGATTCCCTCTAAGTTGATAAAATCAGATACTGCATGAAAAACTATAACAGTGACTGTTTTGATGATAATAATAATAATGACGATGATAATAAAATAAAACGACCTTCAGCCTGTCCATGAGGTGATCTTAGCTTTAGAGACACAACTGATCCTGATCATTTTGTGACACATGACGAACATGTTTGAGTTTGTGTTCAAATTTAACCTCTCAGTGGAAAAGTGACATTATTAGCTAAATACAGCTTGTTTGTGCTTTCTGTTGAGTATATTAAAGGGAACCTTTGTCTTAATTTCCTGTATTATGTGTTTTATTTTTTTATAAACGGTTAATTTTTTTATTTGACAGATCTGGATCACAGCGAAGGAACAAGGAGTGAAGGCGGGCACGTTCTTCTGGCCTTGGTACTTAAGTTAGTACTGGAATATTTTTCAATAGCTACAGACCTCCAATGAACCGAAGGCCTCAGGTGGTCACAGCAGCAAAACGTTTCCATCAAATCATTGCGTTTAAAGTATTGAGTGTTGTTTAATAATCCTGTCGCTGTGGTAAAATGTCATTTTTATTTTAAACATATACGTTCAATGTCGACTAAACAGATAAATTTACACTCTAGATTAGCAAAGCCACCTGTTTGGTACACGAACAGGAAGCCGTGTTTGACTCGACCTCATTCTGAGAATCACAGAGATATTTGAACAGCAGCCAAAACCTGAGGCCATGTTTACATTGATAAGGACAAATCTGAGACCCCGGAGTGGCAGGACAGGATCCACCAAAGTATTTTTAGTCTGCCAAAAAAAATAAACAGCAGTTCCCCTTTAATCCTTTAATTTTTGTCTCACCAACGTTAAAGTCAAACTGACAGAATAAACGCTCAGAGTTATGAATCAGTGTTTTCTGTCCTTCATTGAGGCGCAGACGGATCAGTTTCACCAACATTTTGGGTGTCCATGACAAACGCGGTCACGAGGACTCGTCACATCCTCAGACAGACTGACAAAGGCCTCTAACACACACATAAAACCGCACACAGACCAAGAACAACAATACCCCATTTAATCAGGAACAACATGACTCACTGACCCCAGTCACAAGGCGGCCATCTTTTTTTGAAGTAACGCTTTACCTCTAGATCAATTATCAGCTCTGCTATAAAGGATCTGTTATATCAGTGTGTGTGTGTGTGTGTGTGTGTGTGTGTGTGTACGGTGCTGTGAGGTTCATAACTCCTCTAACTCTTTGACCATCCCTCCCCTCGTCGTTTCCTCCGTTTGTCTGCAGGGTGATTCCGCTGGAGAGGAGGATTTTGACCATCCTGCGCTGGCTGCATCTTCCTGAGGATGAGAGGTTTGTTTGACAGATTATCTTCCAAAGTTCATGTTTTAGTTTGACTTTGTATCTGGACTCGATTCACTGACATGTAAACGATCCTCCTAATGACTTTTCCTCCCTCATCGATCAGGGTTCTGGTTCTTATTTGCGGCCTCCTCCTCTTCTTCACTGTTTTCTCTTAGATTACTTCCATGTGTGAGAGTTTGTCGGTACCGCCAACTCTTTATTAAGATTTCAGTCTTTCTTCACTTCAGTTTTTGGAGCTTGAGCATAATCCTTTTGTATTTAGACCCTCACCTTTAGGAGCTCGATTTTCCCATCATGTGAAACTTCTTGCAGCTGGTGCAGAAGCGGCCTTGCTACTACAGGGTTTCCCACGCGTAGACCACACCTGAGCGGACCCTCCTCAGCACATTTACACATTCACTGCCCTCATCCGAAGAAAACTCAATCTGCGATCAATTAAACGAACCACCTCCCAGACTTCTTCATGTTCAGGTCCAGATGATGTAGTCTGGTTCTTCTCTGAGGCGACAGGTCTGGTGTGGTCCTCCCTGTCAGAGAAGTTTGGGTTATGTGAGACTCTTAAAAACTAGCTGACGCTCTCGAGGCCACGTTTGGAGGATGTGTGGGTCAGTGAAGGGGTCACGAGCTGTTCAAGTGTAGTCAGGAGACGTTAGTGTTTCTCTGTTCAGTGTGAGTTGAGGTGACAGAAACAACAGGCTCCGTTTTATCTTGTTTGCTCATCACGCAAAATCCAGGTTAAATAATCCGGCTCTGTGTCGTTTCTCTGCAGGCCGTATGTTTACGCCGTCCACTCAGAGCAGCCCGATACCTTTGGACATCGACTGGGGCCGCTCAGCAGCGAGGTGGGCGTGGCTTTTCTGTTGTCGGAGGAGGGTTTGTAACATCTGGAAAAAAAAACACAACTCCTCATTTTCTGCGTTTTTTCCAGTTGGATAATCCTCTGAGGGAGATCGATAACATCATCGGTCAGCTGATGAACGGACTGAAACAGATGAACCTGCATCGCTGCATCAATGTCATCATTGTAGGAGATCACGGTAAGACCTGAACTAGACTTGTCTGTATCACCTGTAGTTCTTCATCGCCGCATTTTAGCTCCACCCACCCTCCTTTGTCCACAAATCGGCCAATAGACTTCCATTAAAAACAGTTTTTTTTTGAGCGTGTGTTTACGTCACCATAACAACATATTACAACCTTTTTTCTGCAGTCAGTCGATCAGCAGGGCTCTAAATTTGACTTTCCCACAGTGAGACAACAGACTGAGACGCACATCATTTTAACCCCTTCAGAGCCGCTGAGCACGCAAGTCTTCATTCATGGACTGAGAGAGTTTGAAGATTCATCCACTAAACATCCTCAGAAATGAAGGAAACTTTACATGACACTAGATATGGATGTCGAAGAGTGGGATATGTGTGGAAGGAGAAGTCTGTGTGCTCCTGCGTGTGTGCATGGGTGAGAATCTGCGTCCATGTTTAGAACCGGGCATGACGTGAGTTTTTACAGTCGATAATATCAGTGTAATCACGGTCATATTTGGTTAGAGGAGGATAAACACTTTTAAATGATTCCTATCTTACATCTATCTTCTGATTTTATATGTTTATGTATAAAATTAATTTATTATGAACAAATGAATTTGATCGTATTTGATTTGGTCGAGGACGAGGCTCGAGAAAAGGAGGTGAAAATGTCGTGTTTTTCTGCTCCAATAAAACAAAAACTGGCATAAAAAGGGAAATACATAAAAATTTCTATTCATCACTTTTTTAATGGTCAGGGCTGAAGTTGTTTAAGAGATTTGAGTTGAGAAAAATAAAAATAAATGTTTAAAAATGATGATTTTATGAACACTTATCTGCGTGTCTGTTTTGGGGACAAAGTCGGCTGGATGGAGCAAACAAAGAGAATTTAAATTCACCAAAATTGGTTTAACTTCTAAACATTGACACGGTCCAGACTCTTTTTATTCAAAAAAATGTTCATTTTATATGAGAAATATGATGATTTTGTGTTTTTTACCATTAAAAATAGTGTCATGTTGCACAAAAACTGGCATAAAAAGGGTAAAAACATCCAATTTCTCATATATACTTTTTTTAATGATCAGGGCTGAATTTTTTTAAGAGATAAGAGTCAAAAAAAGTTTAAAAAAAAATATTTTTTATGAACACTTATCTGCATCTGCGAAATAGGCGGGATGAAGATTAAAATGAACAGAAACCCGAGGGTTAAGAGTCTCCATTTCTAAATGTTTGAAGTTCCTCTGAGGAGATCTTTACTGTTTATGAAACTGAGTCAAATCGACCTGCAAAAGCAAGCAAGACCACCGCCAACTAGTTTGGAGCTTCGTATGATTATTGTTGACGTCTGAGTCTGATGCTGCCAAGTTCCTGTTACACAAGATTCACAGAGAGCTGCAGAAACAGATGTTCGTACATCTACAAAGCAGAGAAGTTCAGTGAGTCGATGTGTGTGACTGTTTTTTATTAAAGACAGCACTACTGAATGTCAAAGACCAGAACAGATGTACTCATGTGTCCACAAGGGGGCGCCAAATTCTCACCAGAGGCCAAACAGTGAAGACTAAAAGGATTCTCAGGTGTCTGCTCTGTCTCTCAGGTATGGAGGAGGCTCACTGTGATTGGACGGAGTTCCTCAGCAACTATCCGCTCAACATCGACGAGATCACTCTGGTCCCGGGCTCGATTGGAAGAATACGACCCCGAGACCCCAAATCCACCACATGTAAGACGAGAGTTTTTCTTTGTGTGTAGGAGTCGTGTTCAGGAGTAAAAACCGGCTTCATTTTCAACGTGTTTTTCTTTGCAGACGACCCCAAAGTCGTGGTTGCAAACCTCACTGTGAGTAATAAACACCCAGAACCAGAACTACAACATGCAGTTTTGTATGTAGAGGTCGTTCAACTCTGTGTTCGCTGTTACAGTGTAAAATGCCGACTCAGCACTTCAAGCCGTACCTGAAGCAACATTTACCCAAGAGGCTTCACTACGCCAACAACCGCAGGATCGAAGACGTCCACCTGCTGATGGAGAGGAAGTGGCACGTGGCCAGGTAAACTGAGCGCCACTCCACCTTATTCCATAATTACAGTCATCGATAATAACTGAAATTAAGAAAGTTAGCAGTTAAAATGATGTCAGCGTAAACAAGGACGGCCGAGAAGGAAACCATCTTTAACTCGTGATGACTTATTATTGAAAAGTCTCAAATTCACTTCAAACCTTTATTTTTAAGGGCCTGTGTCCACTGACAGCGTTTTTTACTTTTCTCCGGCTCCGTTCATCTAAAGGTCCTTACACACTGGGACCGTTTTTGTCAGACGCCAATATTCTTTTTCGAACCCGTATCCTGTCAATACAAGCGTTCACATCAGCGACGTTTATGTGTCGGAGAACAGAGTGATTTTTAATAAAAGACACAAACATTACAAAGATAACGACCTGAAGGACGACTTGTGGAGAATCATAGCGTCGGATTTCTGATATGATGATGGTTTGTGTGATTTAACAGTTTGATAAATCTCTCACTAAATAGGTTCATTATAAAAAAGTGTTATCTCACCTCAGACACGCGGCTCGTCGCTGCTCGGGGTCAATCAGCTCCCTGTTTTTGGTTTTATAAATGCACTGTCGTGTTTTCATTTTCAGAAAAATGCCAGAAAAAATGAGGTCTCGATGTGGTTTCGCTGGTGACCATGGCTTTGACAACAAGATAACCAGCATGAGGGTAAATTTTTTCAACTTTACAAAGTAATCTGAATAAAAAAAACTTCACTAAGATTCACAGAGACAGCATGTTACCGTAGAATCTTCACTTTTATCTCATATCTTTTAGGTTATCTGTCTTTTTTGGTTGTTTTACTTGGTTCTGTGGGTTTAATGTGGACGTTCTTCTCCTTTTTTTGTGTAGACCATATTCATGGGTCACGGACCGAGCTTCAAGTTCCAGAAAAAAGTGCCTGAGTTTGACAATATTGAATTATACAACGTCATGTGTGGTAAGAAAACGATTTTTGTCCCTAAAGGATGAAGATGAGGATTGTATTCACTCAGTATGAAGCGATATCTTCAATTTCTCACAAACAAACGTCCACCGTTTGGACGTCTGTGATCTTGAGGTCATTAATCTGCTTTATTCAGAGATTGCACATCTTCGTAATCATTAAACTTGTGCCAAAAAAAGCTGAAAAGAAACTCTCAAATCTCCAAATCACCTGCAAAAGGACAGTTAGCGGAGATGCTGAAGGTTCGTCTCCACACCTGAAAATACTGGACTGATTTGATTGGGAGACCCCTGGTGGTTGATTTTGGTCTTTGCAGTCATCCAAGTCCACCTCAGATGGTCTTATCTTTGTTTTCCTCTCGGCTCCAGACTTGCTGGGATTGAAACCGGCTCCCAACAACGGGACGTACGGCAGCTTGAATGATATGCTGAAAGATCCGCCGTTCCATCCCACCATGCCAGAGGAAGTGACAGCTCCATCGCCAGCGTCCGATCCCGACGCCACCGTGACTCACGACCTGGGCTGCAGCTGTGACGATGAGGTTTAGCAGGATTCACTGTGTTCATATACCCCTAAAGTTCAGATTTAACAAGATCTAGAAAACCTTGAGTAAAAGTTTCTTGTTTCTTTTTCATCAGTGAAGTGAAAGCCATGCAGTCGGCAGCGGAAAAACACAGAAATAACTTTTTAAACCTTTTTTTTTTTTCATTGCAGAACAAAGTGGAGGAGATCATGGAAGCCTTCACTCCTGTACCGGATGGCATCTACAGTTACAGTAGGTTTTAGTGCTGTTTGGCACTGAATCACAGATTATTTTCACTACAACACAAGAGTTTTATACTTTGAGTTTTATCCTGCTAACAGTCTCAGTACCACTCTTTAACTTCATCAAGTATTTGTTTAGAAATCAGGAACTGTCTGGTATAAAGATTTAGATGAAAACTCAGAACTGTTGAGGACAAAATGTTTATGTTAGGACTGTTTCACGGCTGTTTTTTGTTAGTGTGTTGTTCTCTCTCTGGTTTTTGAGTGATTTTAACTAAACTGTGTGTGTGTGTGTGTGTGTGTGTGTGTGTGTGTGTGTGTGTGTGTGTGTGTGTGTGTGTGTGTGTGTGTTTGTGTCGTGTCGAGCAGACAGCACCCATCTCCCGTTCGGTCGACCAGCGGTGATGTTTGACACTCAGTACAGTTTGCTTCATCATGTGGAGTTTATCAGCGGGTACAGCAAAGAGCTGGCAATGCCTCTATGGACGTCGTACACGATACCGCGACAGGTAAACATACACGTTCCTGTGTATGTGGCAAACAGAGGACTATTACTCCATACCAACCAAGTGAGGACGTCGACTTCTGGGCACTTTGAGACAAACAAATGAGAAAAAATAAAAACTTTAGATGTTTATAATACAGTATGTGTACTTAACACACAGTGTCAGGACTGGTAAACACACACATTCCTGTCTATATGATAAACAGAGGACTTATAAGCGTAACGAATCAAGTGAGGACGTTTACTTCTGGTCATTTTGAGACAAACAAAATAGAAAAAATAAAAACTTCAGATGTTTATAATACAGTATGTGTACTTATCACACAGCATCAGGACTGGTAAACACACACAATCTTGTCTATATGATCAACAGAGGACTGATATTCTATACCAAGGAAATAAGGACCTCTACTGTTGTCCTTTTCAGAATAACTCGACAAAATAAACTGAAGATCTTTACAATGCATTAATTGAATACACAATATAATAACACACTCACACTTGTCTATATGGCCAATGGAGGACTTGTACTTCATCCCAACAAAGTGGGGACCTCAACTTCTGGTTCATCTGAAAATGAGACAATAGCAGAAAACTTCTGGAGATGTTTAAAATACAGCCTATGATAATGTCATACACCTAAAACAATGTCAGGTAAGCACATACATTATTTATATGACAAACAAAGGACCTTTACTTCATACCAACCGAGTGAGAACATTTTACACATTGTAAGAGGTTTATTCTGTGGTACATGGTGCAAAGTGAATCAGGGTGTGTCGGACCACTTTCTTGCAGTGAAGCAGTACTAAATGAAGCTGCAAAGTGAGACGTAGAGGTCAAATACGTTGAATTAGCAGGGCTAAAAAACACACACAGGCCACTGTTTGAGTTAAATTAATGTTTGAATTGATGTTAAATCCACAGTTTGCTTCATATCAGAGAGGAGTAGGCTTTTAATCCTGATTTATCATATATATGCTGCTGGATCACATTTATCTCTGTTAATATTTGTGGTCTCGATGGTCGGTGACATTTCATGTTAGCAGCTGCGAGGACTGAAAAATACATTTTAGCTGCATGTGAGCGCGTCGTGTCGTATTTCTGCGTATATTTGGAGTTAAACTGAAGATAAGCTGGTATTTGAGGAGACAGTGATGAGAGTGTTGAAGGCTAACACCTGCATGAGATCACTCATTAGTCACACACGTTTGACATAAAAATGACAACTGCGTTAAGTGGAAAATAACTGACACTTGCGCCACACGCCAAAACGCTTCCATACGGTTGAGTCTGTCTGAACCTCCTCCAGCGGCACGCTCTCGGTCCTCTTTGTGGTTTAGACCGGGTGCCAGGTTGTAAAAGTCTGACGCAGGATGTTTTCACGGACGCACAGTCACATGCTGTTGTTGATTAGAGCGAGCGACAGGGTGTTTGTGTGGACCGAGCCGCGCAACATAAACACAAACACGTCAAACACACCAACTCTGTGACTTAAAGGCTGAACACGCGTGTTTGTTAGCGTGTTTACAGGAACATGCTGACAGTTTACAAGGTGCAGCTGCTCACAAGTTCGACTTAGACTCTCTGTTTCTGCAACAGTAGCACACATGCACCGAGGGGTCCCACACAGATGCATAAAAATGTTTTTGCCCGTCCAGACTGTAAAAAAAGTGAAATACATGAGCTGTGTTTGTGCGTTTGTCTTCCAGGAGGACTCCACTCCTGTCCCAGATATCTCTCCCAGCGGTCAGTGCATTAGAGTGGACTCCAGGATCTCAGCTGAGCACAGTCAGAGCTGCACCACCTACAGCCAGAACACCCACCTCACCCACGGCTTCCTGTTCCCACCAGGTAAATGAGCAGAGAAGAAGTGAGATACTAACAAGTTCAGAGGACCTGTCTTAAATTTAACGCCCTTCTGTGATGTTAAAACTCGATGTGATCGTGTTTCTGTGTTTCTGACAGAGTTTGCATCGTCTCCAGAGTCCAGATACGACGCCTCGCTCATCACCAACGTGGTCCCCATGTACCCAGCCTTCAAGAGTGAGTCTCACACCATCGAGACCCTGAACAGAAAAAAGAGGTTTTAGCTGCAAATGCAGTTCCTGTTCTCAACCCAACAAACTCAACGATCATTAAAGATGTTTGCTCCTCCTGCACATGAACAGCGTCCAGTCTGATCACATGAGACGGACGGCGGCGGTGATGTCATATCTGAGCGAGGACGGCCTGATACTCATTGTTTGTGTAGAGACAGACGGCAAATCAGGACAAAACCCTCCCTCTGTCTCTGAACCGCTGTCTCACGCTGAGAATTCACCACTGTGGTCAACTCTGGGAACCTTTTCAGCCTCTGAACACACACCTTATCATAATTAATATGTGATTATCAATTTACTTTATTATCAATTTATGACAGAACAAAATGGGCCTCAGGATAAGTTCTGTAGATCAAGATCTCTCTATAAAATGATACAGATTTTTGGGGGCGATGATGATTATTAGGGGGGAAAAAATCTGATTACCGTCAGTCAGAGAAGAAGCTCGATCACCGCATTTTATTTCTGAAAATATCGGCCAAAATCGGCGAGTTTTGGCCAATTACCGATTAGTCTCAAACGGGCTAAAATTGGCCAATTTAATCACCTCGCCGTTAAATCAGTCGGGTCCTAATAAAATGTGGTGAACGCCTGAATTTGGACCTCCATCTTATCCGGATCAACAGCTGACCTGATTTTAACCAAAAGACTTTTTAAGGACAGCATCTAAAATCTGTCTTTTTGCCTCTCGGCAGGAATATGGAGTTACCTCCAGGGGACGCTGCTGAGACGTGCTGCTGATGAAAACAACGGCATCAACGTCCTCATTGGACCGATTTTTGACTTCAACTATGACGGCCTGAGAGACACCACAGAGACGCTAAAAGAGTAAGATGTCAGCTGGTTTACTTTGGTTCAACAGGTATTTTGGGGGGAAGGAGGCTGTCCTGGTTTTGATACATCTAAGGTGCATAAAGAAACAGAATAAAATGTGATTTATGTGATCTGAGGAAAAAACAACATTAAAAATCACAAACTCATGAAAGTGAAATATTGTCGTACAGTTTTATCCGTCTTGGACCTGTGGCTGTATTCAGGGATTAAAACTCAGAGTTTATAGTTCAGTAAATCAACTCTACTTTTCATCCCTCTTGTTTAACTCCGACCGCCCTCACCTGTCCAGGTTCGTGACCGAAGCCCCGCCCATCCCCACTCACTACTACACGGTGGTGACGAGCTGCCAGGAGCAGAACCAGACTGTGGACGAGTGTGACGGAGAGCTGGGCGTCTTTTCTTTTCTTCTGCCGCACAGACCAGACAACAGTGAGAGCTGTAATGTAAGTCACAATAGTTACCAGCAGGGGGCAGCACTGCTCCAGCTGTGACTGAGGCCGTGTGAACTCAGCTCAGAAGAGTGTCTGTCCAACTGTCCAGGAACTTACTCTACTAGATAGTTACACCTGAAAACACTTCATTTGTCTTTTTATCACAAAAATGTGATTTTATTTTCAACCGGAAAGTGTTTTTAGACACAAAACTCATCAATGAACATGACAGATTCACGGTTCGAAAACAAGGCTCCATTATTTTCCCTCTTTTTTGTAACGACAGTCAGAGTCCATGTTTCTACATTTACCTCCTGGTGCTCCAGTCAGGGTTCCTACGCAAGTATGGAAAAGTATAGGAGTAGTTTGATCAATTTCCAGGTCTCAAAAAGTATGAAAATAAACAATAAAATATGGAAAAATATCGATGTTTCTAGACTATTAGCACAGTTCTAAAATAATGTTTTCTAAAAATAGAGAAGTTGGTATTTACAAAATTAATTCTAAACAGTAGGGCATGGAAAAGTGTGGAAATTCCAAACTTTTATCTCATAATAATAAATCCTCATCAAATTTAACACTTTTAATTCATAATGACTTTAAATCTCATGATGATAAATCGTTGTCATATTTAACAGTTTTTATTAATTATCACTTTTATCTCACAATAATGTCTCTGAAATTAAAACTCTCATATTTATCGATTTTCATTTATTAATAATGACTTTTTTCTCACAATTACAAACTTCTGTCATATAATAATGATTTTTTCTGTATAATTACAAACTTCCACTATATGATAATGAATTTATTCTCCTAATTACAAACTTCTATCGTATAATAATGTTTTTTTTCTCATATTGTCAACCTACTATAATATGATAATGACTTTTTTTCCCAAAATTACAGACTTCTGTCGTATAATCATGACTTTTTCTTAAGAATTACAATATTTTACCATATAATTAAACGTATTCCCCTAATTACAAACCTCTATCATATAATAATGACATTTTTTTATCATTACAAACTTCTACCATATGATAATGACTTAATTACAAATTATGGAAATTCCAACTGCGTAGGAACTCTGTCCAGTCGCTCAGAAAACTCCGTCAAACAAAGAATATCACCGATAATTTACAGAGGAAGTTTCTGAAATAGGCACATTCTCACAAAAATACAGAAATGTAATAGAAATATATTCAAAGTGCAAAGTTTTGTGCAGAAATTAGAGTTGATTCAGTGAAACACTCAGATAGCCTGTGCACACCTCTGCTGAGTTTAGTGACTCAGCAAGAAGATCCACGTAATTTTTCTCATCAAAAGTTACTCACAGAAACCTAAACTTCCCAACAAAAGTTCAAATAAAAACACTCCTTTAATAATAATATCTTTATAAAGAAGGTGACCCACTAAAAGGAGAAACTGCAGGTTTCCTGTAAGTGGAGTCAAAGGGAGGATTCCTCCGTGACGTAAATCTTTACATAATCTGTCTCAGGGATTCCCGTCTGTTTATTTTTGACCTCCCTGAGACGCTACGAGAGCCGCTGCTGCTGCGTGTTTGAATATTTTGCATGTTTAGACAAGTGCTGTAAACAGAGACCAGAAGGAGGTCTCTGAGGAAACCTGTCAGGACAAGATGGAGTTGTTGAACATGAACTTGGCCCCAATCTTTTACCCGAGTGCTGCAGGAGTGAGTCACTCCTCTGGTTTTGTTTACACTCTGAAATCTGTCACTTACATAAACTGTGTTTTCTTTGCACTTTGTCAGAGCGCTCTCAGTATTTCCTGCTTTGTGCACACGCTGGTTTCGCTCAAACTAAGATAGTTTGTTCCCGTTTTAAAAGGTTTTCAGGTCAGATCTGCTGACAGGCCTGAAAGCCTTCCTGAGAAATCATGTGATGCTTCTCATTAAGTACGATCAGACTATTTTCAGTGGCGGATGGTTGTGCGTACGTTGATGTCTTATTGAACTCTTGGGTGTTGGTTTGTTCTCTTATATGACCTGAATATATATCCTCATATTTACATGTACAGTGCTCAGCATGAACGAGTAAAAACTTTAGTTTCCTTTTAAAATCAACATTTTCTCTGTCAGACTTTACAACAAAATACTCCCCAAATGGAGGCCACTGACTGCAAACAAGATTTTTTTTAAGTTGCACACAAAAAAGTTTTTGGTAACACTTTATATGACATCTATCTCTATAGCGCACTATAAATATATGTATAATGTGTTATAATCACGTTACAGCACTGTATAACTTTAGTTAAAATCACTCGTAGGGTTGCAAAATTCCAGGAATTTTCAAAGTTGGAAACTTTATTAACGGGAATAAATCTGAAATGTACAAAATTGAAGGTTGGCCCTCAACAGGGAACTTAAATATAGTTGGTGAAAATATCTTGTAGTAAAATCTTGACTAAAACAAACAGATTTAATTCACTGAGCGTTCCTCCATCACATGATTCACAGATGATTTGAAGTTTGAAGTTTATTTCGATCTGGTCATATCCATTCAATATATACAGTAAATTACAAGAAAAGAAAACCGGACCGAAAAGGCATAGGCTGAAGCAAAAGCTTATTATCGCCTATCCTTCTTACTAAATCAAAATATTCAAAACATCTTACTCCACACGTTAGATAGAAAACAAAAACAGAACACATCAACAAAACAAAGAATAAAAGATGATTCAGAAGAAAGAAAAAAATAAATAAAAATAATAATAATCAAATTAAATCCAGAATATAAATTATTCCGTAACCGTATTTCTCGAACCCTGGAGGTCACACTTTAGAGCCCAAAGAACGAGACATTTGAACCCACAGACTAAAGAAAGTCAAGTAAGTTTGGATAATATTATGGGGTAAATATATCTGATCTATAATCGTATTGGTTTTTATGCTTATTATGGTGGTGGTAGTTTCCTCAGATGTGATGCTGTTTCTTCAGACTCCTGACAGACGGTTTTCTGTGACCAAACACTAATTTATACATCAGTTATCAGATATTTTGAAGACCGTTCCAGTTGTTTAGCCAACTATATTTCTGTTCATGATGTTGCATTAGTGTTTGTTAGTGTTGTTTTATTCTACAGTTTTCCAATTTGGAATATCTCCAAAATTCCCCGGCTTCACTTCCCATGAAAAGTTTCTGGAAATTTACCAGAAACTTTCCGCCCCCTTTGCAACCCTAATCACTCATAAATGATCATAATGTTTTATAGCAATAATCATAAAGCATTATCCAGGTATTATAATATGTTACAACTGTTAACAACTCACTGACAATGCCCACATAGATAATGATAATAATAACTGTTGTTAACAGTTAAAACACATTATAATACCTGGATGATGCTTTATAATGTGTTATGATTGTTGCTATAAAACATTATGATCATTTAGTAATGTGTCGATAACTATAGTTATACAGTGCTTTAACGTGATTATTACACATCATAAATATATTTAAAATGCGTTATAGAGATAGAAGTGAATTAAAGCTTTACCAAGTATTTTTTTTAGAATTTAAAAATGAGTACACTTCAATCAAAGCTGCATTCTAGTGACCATATCAGCCTTTTTTTTTAATCGTATGGTAAATAAAATGTTAAACTCAACTGGAAAAATCCTTTTACTCATCTGGAAATTGAGTGATTCATAAGTTTTAATAGGGGCTGTACTGACTCATGCTGGACACTGAATATACTAGAAAAAAAAGAGAGAGCATGCTCCATTAAGTGTCTTAAAAAACACAAATAGTGAGCGAAGTAAACACGACTCTGAAGAGAGGATTAACTCATGTCGAGCGCCGTGGACTGAGTCATTGTCTTTGTAGAACAACATCTGGAAACTGATGATGATTCACCCGAAGCTTCCTCCAGGAAATCCTCTCTGAGTCTTCATACGGACGATAGAACGCGAGATGAGTCAGAGGATCATAACAGCGACCTCTCTGTGCTGCACGTGCTTTTCTCCGGTTTATTTATGCTTCTGCAGAACATAATAAGAGTCTCATCTGAAGGAGTCAGGTGTCTTTATTTCATCTTTAACAGTGAGGATGTCGGTGCGTCTGTTTCCTCCAGAGGTGGAAATGTTGTCTGAGTCAGTGGATCAGAGTTTGAAGATGACGGCTCTCATAAATACTCTGATATCGAGCCGATTGGGAAACGTTCACTCCAGCTGCAGCACAGATGTTTGTGATTAGGAGCCAAGGTTCGTTCGCGTAGAAATAAACACATTTTGGCTCATTTATATGTGAGGAAAAACAGCAGCGCACAGTGACTTACTTACCCAGGTGAAAAGGTGAAAAAGCTGAACAATCCGTCAGGAAATCAGGACTTTAGATTTCAGCGAGGATTAAAAGAATTTAAAAGCTTCGGTCTGTTTCAGTGTTTTGGTCTGTTTCAGTGTTTTGGTCTGTTTCAGTGTTGTTCAGGAACAGATCGGGAGTTTTTGTTTCTAGGATACCATCTGAAAACCACAACACTTAATCCTGCTGACTTGTAATGTATACAGGAGTTTCCTCATCTCTGTCAGCGTGGAGGCGAGACAGAAGGGAACCCTGGTTATATAAAACTCCAGCGCAGGCTGAGGCACGCCGGGCGTAAACACCAGAGTTCAGATGTGTTGACTGAGCTTTATTCTTTCTTGGAAACAGAGCGGCCGTCAGTGACTCAGCTTTATCGACGAAAATGAGTCAAATTTTGATTTCTAAACAATCTGACAAATGTGATCGGTGAGTCAGTGTAACCCTGAGGGTGGAGGGACAGAGGTGAAAGTGACGGCTCAGGCGTTTCAGTCTGCAGACCATCGGGATTGAAAAGATCTTTTAGATTCTTTAACAGAAAGTTTTCTCTGGTTTTAGTGGATCTAAACTTACAGATACAGATAAAAAGGCGTTCATCCACCTTTTTTTTATTTTTTATCGAGCGTTCTTGAAAATAATTTGGTTTATTTTAAGTATTTTATTGTGTCACTTGAATCTGAATTTCACTCTCAGTTTTGCACAAATTTTCCTGAATGATTAAACATCAGGCACCGGTCTGCTGCTCCACCTGTGATTAAAACATCACCTCAGTGACCTGTGGAGGGCGACGTTAGTCTGACTGGATCAGGTTGTTGCAGGATGATGGTGAATCAGAGCTGCTGTAAGGAGGTCCAGAGGTCATCGTGGAGGATTGTGTAGAAGGAGTTAAAATACTCAGACAAAACAAAGGAAAAACTGCGGGTCAAAGACTTTTGTAATTCGACATTTACACATTTGTTGTTTAGGAGTTTTGTGGAGGAACTGAAGGAGACGTCAGGAGGAGGTGTTTAGGATGTTTGGAGGAGAAGAATGAGGTCAAATGTTTGCTACCACATTGTCCAAATTTGTGTTTTGAGGACTTTTGCCACAGTGTTGACAGGCAGAGGTGAAATATCCCGGTCTCTGGTGGACGTGTGTGTCCCTGTCTTCTGTTTTCCTCTTTGGATTTTATTTCCCATTGTGGTTGATTTTGTCCAATCAGAATCGAGTCTGGAGGAACACACCTGCGTAAAGCTCACAGCAGCCCCTCTTCCTGCGTTCTTCCTCTTCTCTGGAACGTTCAGATTTGTTTGTGAAGACAATGTGCTGAACTACATGTTCTACCAGGAAAGCCCAGACTGTTCGTAGAGCTGCTTTCCTGTCAGGAAGTTCTGAGCGCATAACTCGAGAAATATTTCAGCGTTCAGTGCTCCTCGGGGAATCCTCTGTTTACGAACTCGTCACAGCTCATGAGGTCACAGCTGACTTTTGAAGAAATCAGAAAACTTCCTGGAAGGAGTTTTGCACAGAGTCTACTATCGGTCATCTTCAGAGTTACTTCACAGTCACCGAACGAGAATGACGCTTTGGTGTAAAAACACAGAAACACACCGACACCGACCACTGTCGTATAGGAAGTTAGTAGCAATACTTCAGTCTATCTGTACTTTACTGGAGGTTTTTTGTGTTCCTAAGTTGAAAAAGTAAGAAGCAAACAAGGAATTTGAGGGGCACCATGAAAACTGATCAAATAATGTTTGTCTTATTGGTCGACTTAAGTACTGTTACTGTATTTTTCACTCTATCGATGAACGCGTCTATTCAAGTCTATTTTCATACATTAAGTCAGACTTATCTGACTGCGGTAGCTGCAGCGCTCCGACAAGCCAAGAGGATTTTAAGTGTGAAAAATACGGTATTTTAAATCAATTTTAGGTCTTTTGGTCACATGACAGTGAAGCTATTGAAGGAAAACAGCCTTTTCTGAGAACATCAACCGGTAATTTATTGACGGTCCCTTATTCAACACCGACGTTGACAGTGAGGGTGTCGAGTAGATTTAACCGCGCTGCTGTTGTTATTCCCGGTTATGGAGAGTGAGAAGACACCGGTAGATCCTCAGAGAATGTCCGTCAGATATCCAACCTGAAACTAACTTCACCGCAGTATTTACAGGAAAATATATCCAACCTGAAACTAACTTCACCGCCGTATTTACAGGAAAATATATCCAACCTGAAACTAACTTCACCGCCGTATTTACAGGAAAATATATCCAACCTGAAACTAACTTCACCGCCGTATTTACAGGAAAATATATCCAACCTGAAACTAACTTCACCGCCGTATTTACAGGAAAATATATCCAACCTAAAACTAACTTCCCCGCCGTATTTACAGGAAAATATATCCAACCTAAAACTAACTTCACCGCCGTATTGACAGGAAAATATATCCAACCTAAAACTAACTTCACCGCCGTATTTACAGGAAAATATATCCAACCTAAAACTAACTTCACCGCCGTATTTACAGGAAAATATATCCAACCTAAAACTAACTTCCCCGCCGTATTTACAGGAAAATATATCCAACCTGACACTAACTTCACCGCCGTATTTACAGGAAAATATATCCAACCTAAAACTAACTTTACCGCCGTATTTACAGGAAAGTATATCCAACCTAAAACTAACTTCACCGCCGTATTTAAAGGAAAATATATCCAACCTAAAACTAACTTCACCGCCGTATTTACAGGAAAATGTATCCAACCTAAAACTAACTTCCCCGCCGTATTTACAGGAAAATATATCCAACCTGACACTAACTTCACCGCCGTATTTACAGGAAAATATATTCAACCTAAAACTAACTTCACCGCCGTATTTACAGGAAAATATATCCAACCTAAAACTAACTTCACCGCCGTATTTACAGGAAAAAAAACATTTGTTGCCTCGGCTGATTTTTTTTATGTGCACATGTGACCCTAAATACATTTTACAATTTGCTCACATCTATTTTTAGTCGCACTGTCGAGTCCTCACTCCACTACATTTCCCTATTTTTACTTTGTGATGATGACAGCGTTTAGTGGAAATAACCTTTATTCACTTTAACCTAAAGTTGATTTACATTGAGTTTGATCATCGTCAGTCAGTCACTCAAACTTGTCATCAGCCACTTGTAGGTTGTGCAGTTATTGCACCCACCTAAATGTCCAGTGTCTGTTTGATGATTCTCTCGTCATGCTCGACTTCTGTCCTAAGGTCCTTCTTGACTGGAGGGAGACGTTCACTGAAGTCACTTTCTGGTTAGGTCACTCAAACCGTGCGACCGATTCACTCTCTGGTGTTGACGAACAGCACACAGAAATGCCAGGATGTGTCAGACCCTCAGGATTAAGAGTTTACCTCCAGGAAACACGGAGAGGGTCATTCCTGGGTTTGGAAAAATGTCATGAATGTACCGAAGGGGGTCGTGTCTCCTCTCATCTGCACCGCTCACAGATTAACCAAAAGCCACAGGGACCTCTGTTAGTTTTTGATCAGCCAAACTATTCAGAGAACAGGAATTTACCGTGACGGGATGTTTACAGTAGGGAGGCTTGAAAAATGTTGTAACTTCATAATAACCACCGCCTGACCAAATGTTTTGGTTTCATTTCATTAATCAGCTCTTTCTGGTTTCATTTCCAGTCAAACTGATTTTAATCTATACAAGCCGTGAGTCGAAGCCTCGCAGCGTCTCCAGATGACTGCCTGAGGCTCTTCAGATGCAGAAGTTTTATTTCTGTTGATCCAATATTAAAGTAGAAACATTTATAGTTCAATTATCTCTTCCTGGAGTTCTTACTTTTGATTGATGTGAAGTCAGAACCACTTTTGTGGAAAGCCTTGATCATGTGTGGATAACCAGAGTTCACTTGGGTGGTTTGACTGTAATCTGATTCCACCACATGTGGACAAAATTATGTTTTCCTGCAGGTTTGAAAGCTGAAACAGTCTGTGCAGAATAGTTTAATTTGTGTGAATGATTCTCTCCATTTGCACCAAAGTGACTGCAAGAGAGGAGGGGGTTTCCTTGGAGTCAGGACCGAGTCAGGATCGGCCGTGTTTTCTCATCGCTAAACAAGAGTCGGCGTCCGTTTGCATCCCTGCGTTAACTTTAAATGTCAATCACTCAAACAGATTTCAGAGATCAGACACGGTTTAAAACAAAAAGGAAGTTTCGATATTTTCACATTTGCTAATCGGATACGTAGAAGCAAGAGCCGTCAGCTGATGTTTGCTGAGTTTTTGAGTGGAGGATAAATGAGGCGGAACAACACTCAAAAATCGGCGCGGCAGTTTGAACGCGCTCCACAGACACAGGCGACCCCGGTTTGACTCCAGGCTGAGGATCCTGTCCTGCTTTAAGACCAAAAACTGAATCATTTTAAAGAAGGACGTCTGCAGAGATTTCCCTCTGGATTTTATACCTGATGGATTTCACACACTTTACTTCAGCCAAACTGAGTTCGCCTCATACAGTCATATGTACTAAACTCTAACACCACCTGTTGATTCAGGGTTCTTACCTGCCCGTCCCGTCACGGCTGTTCTCTGGTTTCTCCTCTAAACTCTTGGAATTTTTACGCCCCTCAACTTCAGGGTCAAAAAATGGATGAACAGGAATTTTGACAGCTTGCGTTTGTGTCCCACTGTGCCGGAGTTGTCAGGTCTGCATGAGTCAGGGTAAACCTGCACCGTCACAGAAGAGTGTGAGTGTGTGAGTCAGCACAGAAGCTGGTCCTGCAGAGAGTCAGGTGAGGAAGCGAGCAGGAAAAACAGAAACCACATCAAGGGAAGGAAATGAGGACAGAAATGTGCAATAAAGAAAAAAGAGGAAGGATGTGAGCCGCAAACGTCTCACCTCAACATCCATTTCTCAGGAACAAAAGCAGAAAATGATCTTTCAGAAAATGAGTTTCAGTCGTCATGCGTGTTGGTAGGATTCTGTTTGTATTTGAGTGTTTTTATCGGAGTGTTTTGATGCCCGCAGCACGGTCAGTAACAGGCTGAGATTATAAGATCATTATCTTCTTCTATGGTATGATAGTCGGGTGTTTTCGTACGCCCTGTTGGAGCAGCTGCAGCACAGCCAGGAGACACAGAGTGCCCCCGCTGGGGCTGCAAAGGGGCCGAATATTTCCAGAAACTTTCCACGGGAAGTTGAGCTGGGGAACTTTGGAAATATTCCAAAGTAAAGTTCAATATAAATGTAAATATTATTATATAATTATTATTATTATTATTTTTTCAATATGCTGCTGCGTTTTTGTAGCATCTTCACACGTCTCCTTCATAACCACCACCGGAGGGATCTCGCTCCGTGCGTAGGTGTGTGTGCGTGCGACTGCTCGCTCAGATAAGAGCGTTTGTCTCTGTTGGTGATGTTCCCGTTTAGTGTGGCATTGTGTGCATGTGTGGGTGTGAAACCACTTCAGACAAACACGGCAGATGAGTGTTTTAACCTTTATGAGATTTTGTTTTGAAGATGGTTTATAGATAATCATGTGGTCATAGGTCACGTTCACATGAGGACAACGTGGGTAGACAAACAAACGACAAACACTGAGTCAGAGAGAGAGAGAGATATGATTTTAGCTGAATCAATCCCGGGTACATAATGAAACAAAAACACGAGACTCGGTATTATGTTTATCTCAGCCCGCCCGAAACTCTGCTTCCTCTCTGCACCTCCTAAACAACGACAGAGGTGGAAAAACCCTTCAGACTATTAACTCCATTCACTCAAACACCAAATTAAACATCTTCTCCAGTCTCATCAACCTACACATGGTTTCGCTTTGACAGTCTCTGGATCATCACGCACTCATAGGTCACTTGACGTCAGTGATGTTTACCTGAAGTATTGTATAAGAGAGGGTCACGCAAACAACAAAAACTGGGTCACAAGTTTCCCGGCATGTGAAAACTCCAAATCTCAACCTGTTTCTTCATTTCTGTAAACCCTGAAGTTTAATAAAAGCCTAAAAATCATCAGGAACTTTTTCTCTAAGTTGAAATGATTCACAGATTCACAGCTGAGGTAATATTTTGTTTTACTTTCAAACAAAACTTCAAAAGAAAAAACTCTTTCACAACAAAAGAAGAATGTAAATACATGATCGAAGCGTCATTGAGAAACCAGACGACAGATTAACAACACAGAGATTCTCAGAAATTCAAGTTGTCTTACGCTCTGACCTGAGTGGAGGTCAGAGGTGTTCTTCAGGGCGGGAAAAGCTGCTTCCATGTTCTGTTCTGAGACAAAGAGTCCCTGCTGTCATTACAGGGAAACCAGACATGGTCTGTGGTTACTTGAAAGTCTTTTGTCCCTCTGACAATAGCAGATAAACCGAGTTTCCCTTTGGGGAAACATTAAGGTGTTTTATTGTCAGATCTCTTTCACACTATTTCCTGTAAAACCTGTCCACAGAGCAGCTCCCTGAACGCGTTTCATTTCTCTGGTTTGCATCAGTTTTTGAAAAGATGTTCAACTTGGACTGGATGTCAAATCTCATAATTTTTTGTCTCATAATGATAAATCCTTTATCATATTTATCACTTTTTATTAATAATGACTTTTTATCTCATCATAAATAAATTTTGTTTCATTATGACTTTAAATCTCATAATAATGTCTCTCCATCCCATAATATTAAAACTGTCTCATATTTATGGCTTTTATTATAAGGATTTTTTTTCTCATAATTACAAACTTCTACTTAATAGAAATGACTTTTTTCTCACAATTACAAACTTCTGTCACATCATAATTACATTTTTCTCATAATTACATACTTCTGCTATATAATTTTTACTCATAATTACAAACTTCTGTCATATAATTACTTTTTTCCCATATTTCAAAACCTCTACCATGTAGTAACCACTTTTTTCTCATAATTACAAACCTCTACCATAAAATTTTAACTCATCATTACAAACTTATGTCATATAATTACATTTACTCATAATTACAAACGTGTGTCTTATAATAATTACATTTTTACCATAATTGCATACTTCTGCCATATAATATTCACTTTTTTTCTCATAACTACAAACTTCTATTTAATAAAAATGACTTTTTTCTCATAATTAAAAACTTTTACCATGTAATTTTTTCTCAAAATAACAAACTTCTGTCATATAAGTCCTTTTTTCATAATTTCAAACTTCTACTGCTTAAAAATTACTTATTTCCCATATTTCAAAGCGTCTACCATATAGTAACCACTTTTTTCTCATAATTACAAACTTCTACTAATGTAATTTTCTCATTCTCACAAACTTCTGTCATATAATTATGACATTTTTTTTCATAAATACAAACTTCTCATATATAGTAATGACTTTTCTCATAATTACAAACTTCTTCTCAATAGAAATGACTTTTTTCTCACAATTACAAACTTCTGTCGTATCATAATTACATTTTTCCCATAATTACATACTTCTGCTATATAATTTCTTACTCATAATTACAAACTTCTGTCATATAATTACTTTTTTCCCATATTTCAAAACATCTACCATATAGTAACCACTTTTTTCTCATAATTACAAACCTCTACCATAAAATTTTAACTCATCATTACAAACTTATGTCATATAATTACATTTACTCATAATTACAAACGTGTGTCTTATAATAATTACATTTTTACCATAATTGCATACTTCTACCATATAATATTCACTTTTTTTCTCATAACTACAAACTTCTACTTCATAAAAATGACTTTTTTCTCATAATAACAAACTTCTGTCATATAAGTCCTTTTTTCATAATTACAAACTTCTACTAATGTAATTTTCTCATTCTCACAAACTTCTGTCATATAATTATGATATTTTGTTTCATAAATACAAACTTCTCATATATAGTAATGACTTTTCTCATAATTACACATTTCTACCATATGATAATTACTTTTTTCTCATAATTTGGACTGAAGTTACTACCAAGGATTGTTTTCACAAAGCTTTGACTTTTGATACTTAACTTTTTTTATCTCTTTCTTAAAATCGCGGCTTTTATTAAATTCATATTGACTTTTGACCGTGGCTCTGTTCAGTTTCATAGTTTTTCTCTTGACTCAAATGAATCCGTTTTCCCATCGTGTTATAATGATAAAGTGATTTGATACCAGTTTCAAAGAAATCACACTTTGTTGACAGCCAAAAATAGCCCACTGTGAAAGACTGAGTGTGTGTGACTTGTGCGGGAAGTGATTGTAACGTGGAAGAAGTAAGTCTTGACATCAGTGGCTATTCTGCAGTACATTGATAACAGACCAGGCATGCACAGAGCTGATAGAAAGAACAGTCTCCTGACACAAACAAGACGGGGGGGACTGTCATCAGCCAAGAACAAAAACAGAGGAAATATGACGATAATGAGATAATGGGAGTTTGTTTTTTTCTCCCGTAGAACATCAGCGGGCTTATTCTTTGGTAAAAACTTCATCAGTAAAAAAACACAAAGCAGGGACTGATTCACACAAAGTCACAGACAAACCTCACTCTCCCTCAGGAAAAGTGATAGAAAATGAAACTTTGTTCTCGTAAATGTTGTAAATTCCTCCTTGTCGTGTTTGTCTTCGGTTCAAGCAGAAGTGGATTTTTTCAGGCATTGTCAGAGTTTATATGTTTGGGCCTTCTGTTTTGAAACAAAACAACGTGCTGCGGTAACCGGAGGACAAAAAGTCACAAAGTTCTTTGTCTGAGTTGAACTTTTGCAGCAGAGTTATTGCAGTTCTTTAAAGCTGAGTGTACCATCATAAAAGCAAATGTCTGGACTTCTATGTTCACAAAGTAGGGCTCGAATATGCCGAAGAAATTCTTGGTCGACTAAAACCCTGAAATTTTCGACCAAACATCGACTAAACTCTGCGGGGGATGACGCGGCTCAGCGGAGTAAAAATATTCTGATATCAACACAAGAAGCAATTCAACTAAACACAAAAGGGACAATTCTCTTTATTCAACATTCGAGATAAAGTGGACGCTCTTCAATCTTCCTGTCTTCAGCCGGTCTCTGGTGGGTTGGGCGAATCCAAAATGGTGGAAACAAGGGGGTGTTCTGAGAAGGGCTGTTACCTGTGAAACAGGGGTGCTCTGAAAACACCCCTATTAGCACTTGGTACATTCCCCCTGATGGAATAAACCACAGACTGTAAACTGACGTGGAAAAAAATCGAGTCGACCAACGAGAATTTTGGTCAACTCGGTTCATATCAACCATTAAGTCGTCTAGGACTTTCAGCCCTATCACAAAGTTAACGAGAAATGGATTTGGTTTGAATTTCCCTTCGGGGGTTCATAAAGTTCTTCCTGTTCTTGGGAAAAACACGAACTTGTTGGTTTATTAAGAACAGTCTTGTTTCTGAAGCGGACAAGTCTTTTTTGTTTCCATGTCATCGTTCTGCATCAAAGATCTTTGACTCTTTATTTCTGTTGTTTTTGTTTTTGAGTTCTCCATAAAAAAAAAAAGAAACGTGTGGTTGTGAAATCTGGCATGGAGAGTACATCTGTGGGTGTGTCGTGTTTTGGTGCAGAATAATCTGCTGCTGGATCTCTCAGCCTTGCTGCTGGTTCTTGTAGAAAACATGACCTAAAGGTGTCAGTGGGTTATGGAAGGGTTCTGGCAGTCACGACCAAGTCCTGATGAAATCTTTGTCTTGTGAACTTGCTTATCTTGGCAGAGCAGAAAGAACATTGGCACAGCCAAACCTGCGAACCTCCAGGAAATTTCCATCTTACTGAGGAACTCTGCCCTGGGAGTTCCTAACCTCCTACTCCCTGCTCTGAACTCCACTCCACTGATTATAGACTAACATCACTTAGAATGTCGATGCAAAAATAACTCATCGATTTCAAATATAGTGCTTCCTGTACCTTTGTTGGCCACTCTTCCACAGTACGATATTTTCATCGGGCTTTTTAGACCGAACGTAAACCAGACCCAGGACCACTGCAGGACAGGGCCAGCAGAGGTTTGACTGTTATCATCTCAGCTTTAATCCCCGGGTTTTAGGGCAGGGTGTGCCCCCAGACCACCTCGACACAGGTAGACACGTTTTTACTGGTGTTAACAGGCTAAAAAGACTTAAAAGACTCAGGTACGAAATGGGACTTTGGGGATTTTGGGACTCTTTTCTTTGGTCACATGCTGATCGAAAGTTGCGCTCTTGCCAACGTTCGCTCCGTAGACACACTTTATCGGGTCACATCACGACTAATGGCGGGAGCTTCCCGAAAAATCTGACTCAAATTGTCAGATGGGGGCGGGGGGAATCGATGTGGTCTCCCGTCATGGACTCGGTCTGAAGCTGTTGGTCCATTAATGAGCGATTTCCTGACATATCCTGAGAGCATTAAAGACGTTATTGATCCAGTTTGAGTGCATGTCCGTAAAGACTACAAGACCTCATGGAGTTAACAGGTCAGCATTTCTCTGCAGCCTGTGTGTGTGTGTGTGTGTGTGTGTGTGTGTGTGTGTGTGTGTGTGTGTGTGTGTGTGTGTGTGTGTGTGTGTGTGTGTGTGTGTGTGAGATAAGGCTGATTTGCAGTGTAGAAGGGAAACTGAGTGTAATGATGAAAAATTCCCTTTAAATTCTGCAGCTCCTACGTTTGTTGGACTGGATCGATGTTTCACACTCATTTCCAGAGAACTGAGGTGGTTTCCTCCAGCTGTTAAAAACCACATCCTCGGATTGATGAGGAAGTTCGATATAAGTTTAAGTTTAATTGGCTGTGATGGCAGATGATAAGAATAAAAACAGATTGTGAACTCTGCCTCCTGTTTTTGCAGCCCTGCACCTGATAGGGTGAACAGATTTTTTCTGTTGTTTTTTCTCTTCACTTTGTGGAGATCGCACTACAGGACCATGATCGCCATGGAAACGAGGTTCATAATAATTACCGATCTCTCCAATCGTTAACCGTGACTTTAACAGGCAGTGAGTTTGTGAGTGTCAGATCAGAAGACCAAACCAGGGACCCGGGTTTTAGAGTCTGGGTTCAGTTCCGGCTTCTTTTGTCGTCACATAAATACGGGACATATTTTTCCTCTGCAGGATTTCTGATTTTAAACTCTTACAGATAAAGAAATACTGTCTGAGAGCCGTGAGATCACCTCAGTGTTTGTTGGTGGAAAGCTGGATTGCTCTGTCCAACGCCAGGCTGTATTACTCTGATTGTTAGTGAGTCTGTGCAGCTGCTTCCAGAAGTACGTGCACGTGCAGCCGCTGCTAATTTCATCTGTAAATCAGAGCTGAGTGAACAGATCTAGACCCTTTTACCGAGTCAATGCGGATCAGATGGGGATTTCCATCGGCTCAGAGTTGTTTGGAGTGAAAATCCGAAAGATGTGACGACATGTTGAACGTGAGTTTGCATGTGACTCCAGCTGCGTCATCTAACCACGTCATTGTGGCTCAGCGTAAGCAGACCCCCTTATCGATTTATCATTCCTCCTGACGCTGCTACATCCCTCCTCATCTGTCTGCATTTACTCCTCTGACACAGTTCGGCCTTGGCTGCATGTTCTCTTCAGAGTCCAAGAAGTAACCGCTTAGCTTTGCCTCAAGGTCCAAAACAGGGAAATGCTCCTGATTTGGTCCACATCTGATCCTCTGAGCTCACACACACACACACACACACACACACACACACACACACACACACACACACACACACACACACACACACGGTTTCTGCTTTTGTTTCTGCAGACAGACCCTCATTGTGAATCTCCAGCCGCATGAATCTCTGGTTACAAAATTAGAACTGTACGTCTTGATGGAGGATGACCTCAGGGTGAGGAAACGTTGGATTAAATCTGTGCACAATCATCAAATGAGCGTAAAGGTTAATCTCTCATGGAGCAGATGACACATCAGGACACTCCACCGTCACGTTTCCCTGAAATGATGAACACGTTTACCCAGCGGTGAAAAACCTGCTGCATACCTTGAAGATTGTCCCAGAGTGAATCTCATGACTGGTATGTGCGAGATGTGCAGGATGATGCAACTGAACACGCCACGCCCTGAGCGTGTGGCACTAGAGAAAGCCTGGAGCCTGTTTAGTCAGTATCAGTATCAGTTTGGTTTTTTGGCGTGCTGCGTCCACGCAGAGATTCCTCAGAATCTGTTGATGATATTCTGGCCTGTAGTTGTTAAACTGACACACTGTTGTTGACAAAATGGTGGACCTGGTCCCTAGCGATGGGAAGAACAGTTCTTATGACCGTACCGAATCTTTAGAATCTATTCATTAAAACGATTCGTTCAAAAGATTCGTTCACAGAATCAGTCAGTGCCTCGGAGCCCCGTCCTGCTGGGTGCAGCACACGAGTGAGTGACATCGGGACTTCGTTCATTGACAGAGCCCCTCCCCCTCCCACGTTTATACACGTGTTTTCATGTAAAGGTGCTATAATGCTCCGTTTCATCTTGGCCTCACCTCAGAACCGTTGCTCGGCACTTCGTGAGCAAAGCTACGCCCCTCCCTCCTCTGCCTGCCTCAAGTCGTTCAGAAGTCATGTGTTTTGTTCACAGTCTATCTTATACATATCGTTCATTCGCTGTGAGCAAATCACGAGATTCGCCCGCTCGCTGGCTGGCTGTGTGTCATTCGCCAAAGAGTCAAAGGCAGCAGTTCCACTCCCGACTGGCACGCCAGGCTCACGGCTGAGCTTAACTGAACTGAAAAGGAACGAATCAGGTCTTGAAATATGATTCCGTTCACGTCATTCACTCAGCAGTTCCGTTCTTTTGAGCGGATCATTCATGAACGCCACAACACTACCGGTCCCATCCTTGCCTGTGAAGGACTGAGCCTTTCAGGGAGGCTCCTCGTCGTTGTCGTCGTCGTCGTCGTCGTCGTTTTCTTCCGCTTCATCTGAGTCCGGGTCAGGGGGGCAGCAGCTTCAGGAGGGAAGCCCAGACGGCCCTCACCCAAGCCAATTCCACCAGCTCCTCCTCCGGGGGGATTCCCAGGCGCTCCCAGGCCAGGCGAGAGATATAATCCCTCCACCTGGTCCTGGGCCAGCCACGAGGTCTCCTCCCGGTGGGACATGTCTGGAACACCTCTAACGGGAGGCGTCCAGAAGGCGTCCTAACCAGATGCCCGAGCCACCTCAGCTGACTCCTCTCGACATGGAGGAGCAGCGGTTCTCCTCTGAGCGCCTCCCGAGTGTCCGAGCTCCTTACCCTATCTCTAAGGCTGAGCCCGGACACCCTGAGGAGGAAACCCATTTCAGCCGCTTGTATCTGCGATCTTGTTCTTTCGGTCATTACCCAAAGTTCATGACCATAGGTGAGGATCGGCACGTAGATCGACCGGTAAATCCAGAGTCTCTCCTTACGGCTCAGCTCTTTCTTCACCACCACTGATCGGTTAATCGTCTTCATCACTGCTGACGCCGCTCCGATCCGCCTGTCGATCTCAGGGAGGCTCCTTCTAGACCCACTCATGACTCTCACCTGTGGATGAGGTTATGATTTTTTAGGAAGATTTAGATTGAACGTGGGAAATCTGATTTGAAAATGACTGTACTCTGTTTGAATCATGTTTTACACGACATCCCACCTTCACTGGATCTAAATGAGAGAATCTAATCTAATTAGCTGAAAATCTTTATGTACTTTAGGTATAATATCTTCAAATAAGCCCACCTTTAAAAACACTGAAATATCCCTTTAGGCCTCATATAATCAGACACTACATCCCACATCCTCCACGCCCGGTTTACTACGAAAGGATTTCCAAATATCACTGTAACCGTGACTTTGATATCTTCCACCTACACACTCACATTAAACCACAAATTAGCTGCATTGTGTGGTTGTCACCTCCTCACAACAACAAGAACATATGAAGTAATTTCGTGATTAACGGATCAGCGGTTTTGATTCCAGAGAAGAATGTGATCTTAATCCTGATTAGCAGCTTCAAGCAACATCAGCATATGAGTGTTTTTAAGGGTTCATGCCAAAGACATCAGACTGATGCAATAAGAGTTTTGACATTTCTCAGACTAACATGCCTGGACTACAGCTCTGCCTAATTAAACAGACCACCTCCATGAATGAGTTTCGCCCTTTTATTGCATCAGTCGGATTGTGTTGCATCTTTTGCACCAACTGTTGAAATCACTCACGTGTTTATCAGGAAACAGGGACGAGTTGCAGCATCAGATTCAAAACGACTGAATATTTACATCAAGTTTATCAGTTTGAACATTAAATATCTGATCGAACCCGTATCCTGTCAACACAAGCGTTCACATCAGCGACGTTTTCCCGTCCTGCGATATTGCTGCATTTATTTTTTCTGACCACGGTCGATTTTTCTAAAGTTTCACAGACTGTGTGTCCACTTCTGACCAATCAGATTGCATGTTGTTGCAACATCAGATTCACCGGTATATCCAACATGGTGGACCGGCTGATTGTTTCCGTGTCGGAGAACAGAGTGATTTTTGATAAAAGACACAAACATTACAAAGATAACGACCTGAAGGACGACTTGTGGAGAGTCATAGCGTTGGATTTCTCATATGACGATGGTTTGTGAGCTTTAACAGTTTGATAAACGTCTTTGTTTGAACTTTCATCTGTGCTAAGTAACTTTAGCTCGTAAGCTAACGGTTGTTACCATGGTTTAATGTGTTTATCTGGTTCTGGTCCCGACTCAGTCCATGCTATCATGACAGACAGACATCTCAACACTAGAGTCTGATCAGAACTGAGAAACACTCAGTCTGCTGTCGGCTCAGTCTTCTCGCTTCCACCCGGGACGCGTCTTTTTACCCCGGAAAGTCGCAAAATCACATCGGGCTTGATGTGTTCAGTCAGGCGCGTCAAAATTCGCCTCCGAATATTTCGTGTATTTGCGTCGTTCCCGGTGTGGAATGACCTTTAATCACGTTTTACACGACGTCCCAAATTCATCAGAATAAAGGTTTGTAGACCCGCCCCTCCTTTGACTCTTAGGTCGACATGGTGTCACAGTTTCATGTTTGTCTTCTCAGGCAGGTTACTCAACAGTTAATTGAAGTGAACATCGTGTAAACTGACAACTACTTTTGTTGTTAAATGTCACGATCCCACGCTTCAGCCTAAGAAAACAAGACCTGCGAAATACTGGATCCTTGCCACGACTAAATTATCTGTCAAACCAGTTTATCTGATCCGTCATGGAAATCCAGGTCTCAGCCGAGGATCGAGGAAGAGGGATCCTCAGACAATCAAGTGAAGGTTTTTTTAAAGAGACACACCTGTTTTCCCGGGTCAAAACTAAAGTGGAAACCATGACGCTGCAGGTTGATGACGGTTTCCTTTCTGTCTTTGCAGAGCGCCGAGGATGAGTCACAGTGGGTCGAGGACCTGCTGAAGCTCCACACGGCCCGGGTCCGTGACGTGGAGATCCTGACGGGCCTGGACCTCTACCGCTCCACAAACCTCACCTACATCAGCACCCTGAGCCTGAAAACCCGGCTGCAGACCTTCGAGAGTGACGACTAAACGCAGCGAGATAAACACACACACATATACAGGATGTAGCCCCATTTTTTTGTAGAAGTTTTGCGTTTTCACTGCATGCTCACTGGACAGTCGGCACGGCGTTGTCCCGCTCCTGAGCGGCGGCTGAGACGTGCTTGGAACAGGAAACACTTAAACATAACAGAAAAGATTGACAGGGTGGTTCGGTAAGTCGTAGTTTGGAAGATCAACCAATCAGAGAGAGGATAAGCTAGCACAGCCTGACACAGGAACGGACTTTCTCTACACTGCCTCACTTTCTCTTCCTACAGAGCAGCCTCCTGAACACACACAGCTCTAGATAACCGTCGTAGCTCCCTAACAGCGCAGACTTTGTACCCCCTGATAATCCTTTAGGTTCTGTGAAACTTTAGACTTTTTCTTTCCTGTCATGTAAAATCCTGTCTTTGTTTTTACCGAGGACTGACTATGAGGACCCGACTTACCAAACTGATCTCAAACTAACTCAGAAAGTGTACATGAAAGTGGCAAAAGATGGAAAATACATTAAAAAAGTTTAAGTCTACACCACCAGACCCTTTCAAATCTGTGCCGGGGGCCAAATCTGGCCCCTCAGTGACTTCCACCTGCTTTGATTTTCTCTTGACTCATTCAATTCCAGGTTCACTTTTGCAGTTTTCACCCAGTGCCACCATTCACAGCAAAATTTCTGTATCTTTCAGGACCAACAGACTATCGTGTCCCTGGACTAGAATTAAGTGCAATATCTCAAAAGAAAGGGGTGATTCTCAGGAACTCAAAAGATCCCGTGGATTAACGTTCAATGGCGTGATATCAAGTTGTCTTTAGCCACAGAGGCTAAACATATAAGCAGTAGATTGTGTCCTTCCAGAGGAGGAAATCTACTTCTAGACTTCTAGAATCAGCATCTCCTCATCCATGGTGTCATCAGGGTGAAATGACGTCTAAAAACCTTTCACTTGTTCGTCTCCGCCCGTTTGCATGGTGTGAAATACGATCCTCCTGAAACACGGAGTGTTTTATTTTGAAAAGAAGCCGGATGTTTTATTTTGTGTCTGTGCCAGACTGCCTTTATGCGGCATGCTCCGGCGCCCGGAAAAAATAGAACTCTTGTGATCCGCAGAGGAACGGAAAGAAGTCGGTGTAAATTGACACGTTAACTTTAACGGTTACGATCAGCTACGATCGGAGGATACGACCTTTTCGTAGCCGTTCCAGATGCGGTGCCAGTTACATCCCTCCTGTGAAGCTCGGTCTTCAGTCACGTCTGTTGTTGAGCAGAGAAATGAATATTTCACAGAAGATCCAAGAAACATGAAGTTTTAAAATACCAACAGCTGCTTCTCCACAAGTTTAAAGATTCTTTCTCCAGAGCTGGATACAAAGTCGTTCCTTAAGATCAAGCTTTGGAAAACCCTGACCTGGATGAAGGAGAACCTACATCACCTGGGACCTGGACTGCAGACCTCTAAAGGTGCGCTTTGGTATCTGGATCTGAAACAACAACAACAACAGCAGCAGCAGCAGCAGCAGATCCTGAAAGACCTGGAAGCTGTGAGGTAGCACCTCCACAGATCAGACTTTTGTTTCGGTCCAAATCAACACCTTAAAAAAATGTCGCGATAAAATCATCAAAATTATCTTTTTTTTTTCAAGGCGGTCTCCTCTCTGGAGAAGTTTCTGTCACATGACTGCTGACTGGATTGAACAACACTCTGGACATCACTAGGAATGCGAGACGGCGTCCATCAGTGCAGCGTAAACGTCTCGCCAACCTTAAATATCTGGTAGTTTTTTCTTATTGACCTTCAGAGAGAAAACCGATGACAATAGTTTCAAATATCAGCTGAGAAGATGTCAGTGTTTAGATCTGTGTATTTACTGCCAGGCTGCTTGGATTTCTCATAAAGGGTTAGTTCCACATTTTTGTTTGCAAAAACGAGAGGATGGACGGCGTCGTTACGTGAACAGCGAGTTAGCTTAGCCGAGTTAAAAGTTTAGCAAACTCTTCATCTCACAGACTAACAAACTCAATGTTGTGTTTCCTCCACTAAACCTCTAAAACAACATCTAATACAAACCAAACCATGGAGCAGACACGAACATGAGGACCAGGACTGGTCTGCGTCCAACAGGTTCAGAAAGTCATTAGTCTGTTATTAGTTCTGTAGAAATTCAGGATTTCTGAGAATGTTTTTCATGTGCTCCGCCAACGTGGGTGTTCGCCCAGATCATGAGGTGTTCTTGCTAAAGGGCCTGAAACAGGGCGAACTGTTTCAACAACACAGTCGGTGGAAAAATCCAGAAACATTGAGCCGATGAAGTCAAGCGTGCAGAGCAGTTAGGAGACCGCTCATTCCTCTTTTTATTTAAGTCAACGATTTTTACATTTCAGCTCAAAAAGAGTAAAATAAACATAAACAGACCAAAAGTCAGAATGACCTTCATTTCTGCTCCTTTAAACACTTTCTAAACATCTGTGTTCTCCTTCCCTTTCATCTTAAAAATTAGAGTTTTCTTTGGCTTTAAGCTGAAAAACTGAAGAATGATTCAGATTCTGGACATTTGGTTTTGACTTTGGAGTTCTTTTGGTGTAGAGTTCAAAAATGGACTTTCTATTAAAAAAACTATAATAATAATAATAATCATACTTATACTGCTCTTACATTAATGAAGTGTGAAACTGGCTCATATCAGAGCTGCAGATTTTTTCGTTTCCCTGCTGAAGATACCGGAGCGGTCCGAGCCCGGGCAGTCTGGGCTCACTCATGCTGCTCCTGGATCCTGTTTTCTTTCCTTCAACAGCCACTGGCCTCTTTGAGATCATACCAAAGTAATTTCTGAGAAATGTCTGAAGGACTAAAGGTGACACTGATTCTCCCTGACGCTCCAGCCACAATGTGGAACCAGAACAGGAGGAAGAACTCCGTTTGCCCCGTGACCCTCCGTCCTCTTCACCAGAAACTGTTGGTGTTAGTCAGCGGGTTGTTTTCGAGGATCATGTTTGAATGTTTGTCTTTATAAATTGTGGTTAATGAGGTTTTGATCAACATTCAATTGTGGTTTGATGTTTTATGGGAAATCTCTTGTGTACGATTGATGATGACATCTCTGTTTCTGAGAAAGCCACCTCTGATGTATGGTTGTTCTACAGCGATGCGAATGAGACACAGATCCTGAAGTTTCCCACGCCGAACAAATTACGTTAATTTGTCAGTAACCAAACCCATGTTGGCAGAGGAGGCGAGTGAATCAGGTAAAAACACTGTAACAGTGGAAACTGATTCTCATTATCGAGCTCATTAAAGGCCTGACGCTATTTACAGTAAAAATTCAGACACATTCGCAGACAACAACGTCAAGCTGCCATTTGCAGCCAAATTCATGAAACTGCAGGCAGCAGAAGAGTGCTCCTCTTAGACAGTCAGGGTTTCCTAATCCTGTTTGGTGGAGTAATGCAAACTTAAAGGTGGGGCCGACAGGAGTCTGTTCCAAAAGTTTCTATTTTTTGTCAATAGTTATTAGTTATTGATGACATTTGGTAATATCACGATATCTCTGTGTTCTCTTATGTCTGTGTCGTCAACATTTGAACATTTTTGAGCAGCCCGCTCTTTCTGACTGTAAACAAAGCCGTTCTCCACCTCCTCTAACCTGATTGGTTGTGAGGCAGACGCTGCTCCCCCGTGTCGTTCAGGAGCCCAAACAAAGTTAGCGTGCTACAATATCGGACAGTAGAAACCAACCAGAAAGTTCTGGAAATTGTCTGAATCCTCCTTTGGCTTTGTTTTCAGGGATTTTTGGCTTTAGGGGAGTAAATTCCCGCACCTCTCCACATCAGACTAAGACTGAATCACCTAAATGGACTCGGAACAACTGAAATCGATGAAGACAGAGTCGTCCAGAGACCTTCAACGTTTACATTAAACTGCAAAAATAAATATGGAAAATCAGTCTCCACCATAAGGACATTGATCACAAAGAGTATTTACTTTTCCAGATGTGCAGCAGCAGGGCTGTTTATGAACCAGTAAATGAGATCAAGCTGTGACATCCATTGTTTCACATCAGTGTGTCCTTCAGCAGCTTCTTCTCTCTCCAGTCCTCGTCTCCTCCAGGTATTTTTATTAATGAGGAGCTGGATCACGACTACTGAACGTAAACCTGTTTAGCAGGTGAGACCAGACGTGGATATAGAAATGAATGAAATAACAAAATCATCAGAAGACGGAGAGAGTGAAGAGGGAGAGATCTGGAAACTGGTTACAGTGACACGAGCCACAAATATCATGATGCAGGTCTGGGTCTTTGGCAGCAGGAGTGATTTTGTGACTCTGAACCAATAATGAGACCAGTACTAACCGGAACCATAAAACCGTATCAGTGGGATAACCGGAGCCTTATCTCACCTGTTTATTACCCTGGTTATTATTTTGCATATTAACTTTGTAAACATGAACCCAGTTTAAAACATAAAAAGAGCCGTACACTGACACCGGGGTGTTTTTTTTCTGTTATAAAGATTCAAGCTCAAACTTTGTGACAGAGCTGCACCGTCATGGCCGCCACCGTCACTCACTTCACCAAGTCTCAAGAAATTTGAACCGCTTATTCCTCAACAATTCATTTAAAGAAAACAGAGGCGTACCGTTACACAATGAACATTTATGATCATTTCTTTATCATTTCCTTGAAGTAATAATCACCATATCAATCATTTTACAGACGCGGTAGTTCTTCTGTCTTACCGTCTCAGTCTGATTGTATTTCCATGAAGAAATGATCATAAATGTTCTTCCTTGAGCTGCGGCACCCCGCTGTAGTCCGTAATGGACTGGCCTGAGGTCTCTCTACAAATAAGCGTCTGCTGGAAGAGAGTAGGTGAGTTGTGTTTAGTCTCTTTGCTAAAGAAATGAGTCAAAGTTAAAAAGATGTTTGGTGTCTAGTACTATGTCTGTGACCCTACATGTCCTGTTGATGAAGTTAGGTGCTGTTCTGAGCATTATTTGTGGCTATAGAGTGGCGTTTTGGTTGAGGGCGTGGCTCTCTGTATTACTATCCTGCGGTCGTTACTAAAGTTGGTATAACTAGAGAAGCAAGCGGTCGACAACATTCATCTCTGAAGGGGGGGTCTAACTCGGTGTTACGGTGTGTTTGACCCTAAATTAATTTTACGCCTGATTAGCCCTTTAATAAACTCTGTGGAGTGGCTGTTTTGATTGAAAAGTCTGTTTAGAGACCAGCATAATAACATAATTTACTTGATTAGTTTCCTCTTTGTGGAGACGGAATTATGAAATTCTTCAAAAGAAAAAAGGGCCGTGAGGTAAATCTGTTCCTTCCTCTTACGGTAAGTTTCTCCCTGAATGTGTCAGCTTTTCCTGCTCAGATAATCAGCTGTTTGAAGGGCGGTGTTCGCCCAGACTCTTTTATCAACGATTAAAACTGATAACCCATGAGGGTGATGATTACACAGGCATGCTCAGGAGTTCCCCTCTGGTGTACAGCTGCACAGTTCAGGCTAAAAGGGCAAATAAAGTCCTTTTTTTTTGTTTTTTGATCAGTAAACGTGTTGTGTTTTAGCGATTGGCCGATGGCGGGTTTTGGTTTTTGCAGAATGAGGCCGTTCATGCTGACACTAAACCCACAATAAACTTTCTGTTGCCTTCAGTGGGATTAAAATATATCTGAGGAATGACTCAACAATCACGGTCAGGTGAGTTTTAATACTGAGGTCTCTGCAGCGGCCGTCCATGCGAGTATACTTGTGTTTTTATAGCTGATACTAATTTGCAAAACTGGGGTGTAACTGCGACTACTTCAAAGTGTGACAGGCCGACAAAATTCACTGCAAATAACCGAGACTAGATATCACCACGGCAGAGATCTGTGTGACAAATGTGACTGTCTGGCTCCATATTTTATTGGAGTCGCACACTCTGGTAAAGGTCCAAACCCACGGGTCTTCAAATATGATCACAGCTTATCAAGAGGAGATATTCATCACAGTCCAGAGCTCAAGGTTCCTGGTGTCTGTGATGTAACCTGCACAGTTCCAACCAGTTTCATTACCGACAGCAGGACTATCAACAACTTTCTTTATTACTTCAAACTCTCGATCGCCTCTTATCGATCCAACAAATCCATAAATACTCCGAGTTATCAGCTGATATTGATCTGCAGATTCACTTTGAAGCTCTATGATGAGAACAATAAGTCACAGCTAATAATTACCCTCCTCACCTCGTGTGCATCAGGTGAGTTTCTGCAGGTCAAAGGTGACAAAGAGCATCTTCATCATAATCATCATCATCATCATCATCATAATCAGGACAACACAGAAACGTGAGGTTATCTCACTGTTCTGCTAATCAGTAACTTCTCTCCGGCTCACGGCGAGTTCGAAGGTCACTGCTGTTGTATGATCTCTTTTTTTCCACACGTAGAAGAGGAATGTGTTTCACTTTGTCGGCGCGTCGTCTGCAGCAGCCATGGGTTTCACCAAGCATTCGAAGAGAAAGAACATCATCATCGTGAGTATCACATTCGCTCTGATTTAACAGTTAGGAGGGGGGCGGGGCAGTGAGGATTTTAAAGCAGCTTTTTATCATCAAATCAAGAATTAATGAAGATTTATGAGCGTTTTGAATGAATGAAAAAGGGAATTGAATATGGAGTTAGACGCTGAGATTTATCCCACAACAACAGATTCATGCTGTAAAGTCATGATTTATCAACACTTTCTTCAACATCAGGGTGAAAAGAGGGAGATTTTCCAGAGTCTCAGCTTGTTCTAATAGCTGTGCAGTATTTTTGGACGTTGTTCTTAACTAAAAAAACAGCAAAACAAACTTTATATTCCAAAGAAACTGAGTATTTTCTGTATGTGCATGAATGTAAGCACACCACAGTGATGAGGTCCTACCTTCAGTGCTGCTTCGGTCTCCCTGATGAATGTTTGTGAGTCTGTGAACATATCAGCTCCACTTCTGCTGAACTCATCACCCAAAAACAGAGAAACGTCCTTTGCGGCACGCGAGGCCGTTTTGACCCCGGCTTTTGTGACCCGGCTGGCCTCAGACAGTCTGCACACAATACACCCGCCAATGCTGCACATTCACGACTGTGCCTCAACCTTTCAAGAGTACCTGACTGCAGACACAGCGGAGCACAGCTGGACACCAGCTTGGATAACAGCAGTTTTGAATCAGGCGACTTCACCAGCCGGAGTTGATCTTTGCATGTATTTCTCACAAACTTTAACTGAGGTTGATATTTTGAGTGACAATAATTGGACTCCTGTGGCTCTGCGGGTGTGCAGTTCGACTTCTGTTGGAGCACGTTCAGTCAGAAGTTTGTTTCTGCAGTTGTGTAACACAAAAGTCATGGTTGACGATCTGAAAAGCAGATTTGAAGAAACCTTCCCAACCCCCCCAAACCTGTATCGCCCTCCCCACGACCAGGGCTAGCTAGTTCTGGATCATACAAGGGCAACTGGCAGCCCAGGGAGCTTGTAGATTGGCAATTTTTGCAACTTTTGTGTGACATCGAACGGACTGACAGTAAATGTGATGTGGCCCCCCGGATTGAGTGTGGAAATATAGTGGCCCCCTCCATCATCAAAGTTGCCCACCACTGGTCTAGACTCTAAACGATCTAGAAGCTCACGTGTCCCATCATGAAGTCATCGTCTGTTTAAAATGCAACAAAATTGAGGGCCACAACCACCACATCCCCAACCAAACCACAACCAATAGGCAGGAGAGGGTATCACATTCCTACCACGTGTGCACAAAGCAGGACGTAACGTGACATTGTCGAACAATGGTGACATTTGTCACATATTGATGACGTATATGTTGATGAACGCAAACTGAGCGTCCACACTGCAGTCAGATCAGATACATATCTGATTTATATCCACATACAGAAGAGGCCTGGGTCGGATTAGAACCAATCAGAACTGACCTGTTCACACTTAGATGAAAAAATCAGATATGAGTCACAGATGGTTAAAACATCAGAGTTGACCTGCGATGTGAACACACGTTTAGCTGCTCAGAGCTCTGAGGAGGGCCGGGAGAGTGGGAGGGGACGATTCAGAACTACGGGAGAGGGGTGTGTCGAATACAGCGAGGTGATTGGATGGACAGGCGGAGCAGGAGATTGACCAATAGGAGCTGTCCGGGACGGATGGCTCCTATTGGTCAATGTTTTCGCAGCCCTGCACCTCCTAGAGTGGACGGATTTTTTCTGTTCTTTTTTCTCTACACTTTGTGGAGATCGCACTATAGGACCGTGATCGCCATAGAAACGAGGTTCATAATAATTACCAATCTCTACAATCGTCAGCCATGACTTTACTTTTGTGAAAAAGATAAAACAAAGATGAACTTTAGCTGGTGAGATCGCTTAATTCTGTCTAACAGATGAGGTTTCAGCTGTTAACGCTAACAGAGGCCTCCGACTCTTTTAGTTAGCATGTTTGCTAACGTGATTTCTCCCATTCTGAAGTCTGGTCTGCCTCCCATGGTTTACGTTAATGCAGGGTCTCTTCTTGTTTTGAACATCTTTGATAAACCAGAGTTGTAGACGTCTGTTGTTTTGCAGCAGTCGGAGGATTCAGAAAATCATCCATGAAAGGCTGGTCTGAGGAGTAACACATGTGCACACCAGGTTTTCTCATGCCTGTAGCTGTCTGGTTGAGTTTCCAGGTCTAGTCACGCACATCTCACACCAAGGTTAACATCAGTTTGATTGGTACAGACTCAAAACAAAACAGGAAGGCCATTGACTAGAATGAGAACTAAAGCAGGTCTAAACAAGATTACTCTTGTTTGTCGACTCAGACCATCAGCAGCACTTTGGTTTTTAGCTCTTTGTTAAACAGACGAAGTTGATGCAGATGTTTTTAATGAGCTACAAAAATGAACAAAACCCCTCAGGGACACAAGTGATCCTTGTGATACAACAGGTTCTAAAGCGTTCCTCCTCTGCTGCTGAACAGGTGACAGAAACGGCCCGCTCACATTCTTCTTTATTGACATTTCCCACCATGAAGATTCACAGTCAGGAAGAGACGTGTGAGACCAGTCAAAGAGAGCAGGATGAGTTAAACGTTACTCATGCATGATTTAAGTGCAGATATTAATATTTAGTTCAATACTCATGAGAGGAGTGATTTTAAACGCATTTATGTTTTGTCTTTTGCACCGCTGTGGTTATCTTGTGACATGAGTTAGAAAGGTAAATTAAATGCACAGCTGTGAGGTAACCCTGTTTTTCCAGTCTGGTTGTAGACTGTACTGAGACACTATGAGCTCTGCTGCACAGAGGAAACAGGCTGCATGACTCTGACACTCCCCCATGACCTGTTTTTGGTCCATCTGTCAGTTTCTTTTTGTGACCACTTAATTTCCCTCTTTTCTCTCAGAGTTTATTTTCTCTGGAAATCTGTTTTCTCCCGCTGCAAACCTCAAACATGTGTCTCCTTGACTTTGTATCTTTGTGTAAGTACAGCCAAGAGAGACCTGCTCACCAGATTTCAGAAGTTTTGTTGTCTTCAAGAGGAATATTTACAAAAGAGAAGATCATTTCCAACACAGATGAAAAGACAACCTGCTCCCAATCCCCCGGCTGCATCTGAGCAGCTCGACATTTAATCAAACAAAACCTCGTTTCTAACTGCGTCTCTCTGGACATTAGCAGGATCATTGCTCAGAGGTCAGTCTCTGACAGTGAACTGAAACATCATTTTTATAACCTGGATCAGTCAGAGTCTTGGTGTAAGAAGGTCAGTGTTTATTAGAAACAGGAGGAATATGAGAGCATGTCTCAGGTAGATTTGGACAGGTGTGTGAGTAAACCCTCTGCTTTCTTTCTTTCTTTCTTTCTTTCTTTCTTTCTTTCTTTCTTTCTCACGTTCATGACAAGAATTGAATTTTGGGGAAATCCGTTTTTGTGTTTCCTGTTTGTGATTCACAGATCGCAGTTTCAGTGACAATCGTGAATATCATCATCATCGGTCTTGGAGTCGGTCTGGGACTGGAGTCGAAGAAGTGTGGAAATGAAGGTGCTGTAAGACACGCACACGCTCAAACGTGCATGAATCCCTCTGTTCAAAATACTAAAGACGCCAAACTCCTGAAGTGTCAGATTGAGCTGTCCTGTGACTCAAACATCTGATGACTCGGTTGAGCAGTGAGGCAGATCAATCAATAGATTCAGATTGATTAAATTCTCCAGTGACTATTATTTTGATTTATGTGAGTTCTTGTTAGTCACACGTCAGAAGTTTATGTTGACAACATGAATCACAGGCGGTATGCAGGAACTGCAGATTGAAACCAGCTGTGTGCCGCTGCTGAAGGCACTGAGATCGTGAGGAGTTTCCAGAGAGTTGGTGCTGCAGGCTGACTCTGTGGAGAGCTTCTTACTCAGACGATCTGTGAGCTTTCAGAGCTGAAAGACTGAGTTGTTTTAAAAGTTAGAGGGAGAAAAAAGTCAATGAAAATCTTCACCTTCTGGAAAATTATCATCATTTAAGCACCAGGACTTGCTTCAAGCAGCAGGGTTGGTAAAAGTAGATCATACAAGATCACGAGGCATTGCTTCCTCCGATGCACATCATGAAATCCTCTGCAGAGTCATGAGTCTTCATTTGCATGTCTTCTTGTGCTAACTATGTAGAGAATCAGCGAGGGGAAGTTTCTCCTCAAACATGAATCTCTCTGGTCCGACTGTAAACCTTTGAGTCCTCTTAGACTGCTGCAGCGAGAAAACAAGTCTGTCTTATCTGCGGACATTTTGCTGGAGTCATTTTACTGCATGTTCGGTCTTAAACGAGTCTATGACAGTTTTACATGAATGATGATCCTCCCACTCATGCTGATGTTGTGTCACATGCTCTTGTCATGTTTTATTATGAGCTAAAACCCGAGTTTAAGCGTCTTTGGCGTGTTTGCTCTTGTAGATTTGAACTGCAGCATCTGCTTTATCATCGTCAGTACATTTTCTTTTTGTTACTTAGGCGGGTGCATTCATGAAAGAAAAAAAACACCTAACCCTAAAAAAGATTCTAACAATAGGTTTCTCAGCTGTTTTTTTTATAGAATTAGATGTCCTTAATGTCAAACTAAAGGTTTACCAAAGTTTGACCGCTAAAAAGGCGTCATTTTCACAATGACGTCCATGATAGGAAGGAAACCCAGGGGAGACACCCCAGGGGAATAGGGTAAAAGTTTCAACTAACAGATATCACCATGAAACTTCTCAAGTTTATAACTCACATTAAGACAAATATTTTTTGGTATTATAAGTTTTGTCAAATGTTATGTTGGAATATGTAAATGAGGTAATATCTAAATAAAAATGCACTAATTTGCATACATTTCCAGAACAGAAAATTCTTGTTTTATTTTGTTTACGTTTGTTGTTTAGGAGGGGGAGGAGGGGACTTTGAATATCTCTTTTTTTATCATGTATAAACTAATTCAATTTAATACATTCATCATTTTCTGTATTGGAAAAAGCTGAATCATTGATTTACTATAGTTAAGTGAACACAGTGTAACTTTGAAAAATGAAACAGCATACGAATAAAATTATTTTATGATAATAATTTTATCTTTTAATCATGATAATTAGATAGAATGTTGGATTATTGAATTCCGACTGCAGCGGTGTCACATTCTCACTGAAGCTGCCTCATTTTATTATTGTTGCTGAACATTTATTCTGAAATTTCTACCTACTGCATTGCGTTTTTGGCTGCTGTGCTAGCCGTTGTAACAACGTGCTTTTATTCTGAAATTGGAACGTTAACGCCTTTTCCGGTTAAACGTTAGTCCCGACGACGATTTCAAATTCAAACCGCCAAAAGGGACGGCGGTGAGAATGCGTACATGTAAACCTCGTTGAGCGCCCCTTGAGAGGCAAACGCTTTCTATGAGCTTTTTTATTTCTCGACGAATCTTTATAAAGTTGTTTTAAAAGTGCGGAACAACCGCCATTTCGGGGACGGCTAAGCTAGCTAGCTGCTGCTACTGCTGCGTCATCGTCCCTCTGTTTAAACGGTGAGTGTCAACGGCAGGAAAGGACCGTTAACCGCCCGTTAGCGTCAAAAAGTGACTTCTACTTTGTTTCCTTTGGATTGTTTTCAACACAATATCAATATTTCTTATTCTTAAATGACGGTTGTTGTGAATACCGGTTTTTGCGACAGCTTTAGTTCAGTAGAGTATCCAGTAAATCAGAAGATATAAGCCAACAGTTAGCAAAATTAGCGGCAGTTTGAAATTGGGGAGAGTGGGGTAAGTTGAGCCAACATTTTGTTTGGAAATGGTAAAAGAAATTGATCATTTGATCAAATATTTAGAAGCTGGGCATCAATTCATGGAGTCTGTGAAGGTTAGAAGCAAATGGGTGAAGGGGTTAGACATTTATTTACAAAAATAAATTTAGTCTGTCTTTAGTTTGATTAAAATTGTGTTCAGACCAAAAAAGATCATTTTAAATTTGTTTTATACATCAATTGTAGTATCTATAAGCTACATGAGGTCAAACTTTGGTCTGTTACTTTTGCACTAATTCAATCACCCAAATCTAAAGTATGAAGTTTTAAACATAATCAATCATAGCCCCTCGACCGCCAAGATTTTGTTTTGTTTTGGATTTTCTTCAGGTGTACACTAAGCTGTGAGAATGGCATTGACATTGTGGGTGAATTAAGTTCATTCATTCACTCATTCATTTATCTTTGACAAAGCTCCTGAGACAAATCTAAAATGTTGGTTGAATGATGTTCATTGTGTCTTCAGTTTTTTAGAGATAGTTTTCTTTTTTCCCCTTTATCCCAGACATGTAATCTTTTTCATGTACCTTGACATGTTTCAGCAGAAAATTTCGCCTTCCTCAGAGGTGTCACTTGGTGGTAGGTGTGCCGCATCATGTCAGCTTATTAAGGAAATAAGGAAATAAGGAAACTGGGCCAAGGGATGATGACCAGGGATGAGGGGGCATACATGCTCTAACACGCCTGGAGCAGCATCCTGCAGAGGCGAACAGACGGCGGGAGGTGTGACTGTCCTGTCAAATAAATGGACAGGAGGGCCCCCCCCCCCCCCCCCCCCCATAACACCAGCTGACATGATGCGCCACACTTACCACCAAGTGACACTTGTGAGGAGGGCGAAGGTTTCTGCTGAAACATGTCAAGGTACATGAAAAAGATTACATGTCTGAGATGAAGGGGAAAAAAGAAAACTGTTTCTAATCTAGAACACTGTTTTGTGTTTTTCATTTTCAGTCATCCCACACACATCCTGCAGGAATCGATGCTACGAGCCTTACGACGGGGAAGTCCCAGGCTGCAGATGTGACCAGAGCTGTAACAAGACCGACAGCTGCTGCTTTGACTATCACGACATCTGCACTGTGCCAAGTAAGACACTGTTGTTAACACCAGCCCTGTAACTTTGTCTGTAATCATGCATGTCTCTCAGGACAGCCAGGAAGACTTTTGAGCTCCAGTTTGGAAGTTTTCTATGAGATACCAGATGTGCAGTGATAGCACTGCCCTCATGACTTCATGTTGCACTCTGACTCAGCTGCTCTGAAGCTAAGAATTACTCCATCTCTCTTTTTTCTTTTTTTGTTTTCAGCGAATTGCAGTCAGGTTGTTTTACTCCATGTTTGTTTGTTCAGGTCAGCAGTGGGAGTGTACGCGGCTTCGCTGTGGAGAGAAGAGGCTGACAGAGAGCAACTGTCACTGCTCTGACGACTGTCTGTCTGCAGGAGACTGCTGCACCAACTACAAACATGTCTGCCAGGGTGAGAATGTGAAGCGAGGACAGGACCGATAAGATACAAGAGACAACAAGATAGGGGAGATCATGAGCCAGAAAATAGGCAGAGATAAGATGAGCTGTTCAACTGTAAAAAGAAAAAAAATCTATAAAAGAGAGATGCTACTGTTACATAAACTCATGGAGGTCATTGAGGTGAAATGTCGGCGGCTTTGGATGTTTTATGGGCTCAAACTTCGACTTTTACAGAGCGGTAATCAAACCCACATGGGCTTGTTGTCCAAACGTTTCCAGTCAATTTGATGTCTGCTTTTGTCGTTGGACAGTTATCTTAAAGATGAGGAACGTGTTAAGCTGGATGTGAGTTTAATCAATCAATCAATCAATCAACTTTATTTATATAGCACATTTAAAATAACCACAAGGGTAGCCAAAGTGCTGTACAGTGACATAAAAACAAATAAAACAATCAAAAAACAAGATAACGCAAGCAGAAATACAGTAATACAAAAGAATAAATAAGTGTATAAATAAGGAGGCTCATGGCAAGTGCTAAGATGATAAAAAACAAATTAACACTACAATGTACTAAAAGCCAATGAGTAAAAGTGCGTTTTTAAAAGGGATTTAAAAACAGTAAATGAGGAGGCCTGTCTAATTTTCAAGGGCAACTCATTCCAGAGCTTAGGGGCAGCAGCAGCAAACGCTCTGTCCCCTCTGAGCTTCAGCCTAGTACTGGGGACCGTCAGTAAAAGCTGATCAGCTGATCTTAGGGGTCGGGGTGGGCAATGAGGGTGGAGCATCTCCGAAATATAGGGTGGAGCAAGGTTGTTCAGGCCCTTAAAAACAAATACTAAAAGCTTAAAATGAATTCTGTACTGAACAGGGAGCCAGTGTAAGGACGCCAGGATGGGGGTGATGTGCTCACGCCTGCGGGTCTGTGTCAGGAGACGTGCAGCAGAGTTCTGTTTAGACAACATGTTGCTATCAGAGCAGCTCAGACAGTCTTGACCTCAGGGGCATTCTCAGCTGCAGCTGTTGGTAGATTACCTCTTTTGATCTCTATGATCTGTCTTATACTGGATATAAATCCTTTTTTTTCCACACCCTCCTTCTTTCTCAGAGAATAAAACCATGACCGAGGGATGAGCCAGCTGCTCAGAACATTTGACTTCTCAGCATTTATTTATTGGAAACATCCTAACCGTGAATGTGTTGTATTTTTGTGACCTGCTGCAGGAGAGACAGAGTGGGTGCAGGACACTTGTGCGAACCTCTCAGCTCCGGCATGCCCTGCAAGGTACAATGAATTCAATGTACTCTGAATATGTTCTCCAAACTTGTAACACAGCCACAGCAAATGCATCACACACTGTTCACTGATGGCTTTGAAGTGATGTTTGCAAATCCAGAAGTTATCGTATGATATAAACTTAGCTGCAACAGGACCTATTCATGACTTCTCCCAGAGAACTAGATGACTCATAATTTACAGTGAAAAAGGAGGAGAGTCAGAAGATTATAAAACCACAAAAAAACAAAGCAAAGATGGAGGAGACAGCAAGTATTTATCTGTTAAATGAATTATGGAGATGTTTCACCGAATACATTTATTTCACTTGGATTTAGAGTTTTTGGTTTCAGTTGGAAAACCCCAAAATAATAAGTTTTCTTCATTTCTTGTTTATTCATTTCCTGTGTGATACAGAGCGATGATTACACTCTGACACATCTTCAGGTGTCGAGTTGAAGTGTTCGTGTATACACTCAGTCGTGGTTTTGGTATTGGATTGAAAAAAGCTGTCTGCAGATCGTCTCTGATATTCCCACAGGACAGGCAGCTGGTTGTAGTGACACACTGCTATTTCCAGATAACATTAATTGTGTCTCATTTTTTTTGTCTGGGCATTATGACGAAAGATTGTATCACAGTTTGTCTCTTTATTTAGCAGTTATGTTTTGTCTCCGTGTAGTCATCATAAACAAACCCCTCAATGAGAAATACTGATGAGCAAACGTCTTTGTCGAGCACATCTGTACAGTCACTGGACGGGTCTGCAGGTTAAACTCTGAAAACCATCAAATAATGAAAATGGAATGTGTTTTGTTTTGTTCCATAAAGCTTTGTACGTTTGTCAAGCACAAAAAAAACCAAAAAACTCGTGTGAGTAAAATAAATAAAAGTGCTTTCCCTGATCCTCCTGCAGCAACTCTGCCTTACAACCAGTCACTGTGAGATGATTCTGTCTTCAGTCCTCTTCCTTATTGGATTATCTTCTGTCCTAGCTTCAAGGGGAAGCAGCCTCTGCTCCTGGTCTCTCTGGATGGACTGCGGGCAGAGTATCTGCAGACATGGAACGGTCTGATTCCTGTTCTGGACAAACTGAGTCAGTAAACCCGTCTCTGCACATCTGCCTTTGTTTTCTTGATTAAGTTAAGATCTTTCCTGGACCTTAACTTTTCAGGTCAACTGTTTGGCTGGAAATCTAATATGGCTTTTATAATGTCCTCTAAAATCATCCTAACTTTTTATTCCCCTGTGCAGCGCTTCTGTTTCTGCACCTTTTCAGACTCACATGTCCCTGCCTTTTTCTCCCCGTCATGTAGCTTTCAGGGCATGTCCCTGGAAATATCCAGCCTGGTTTATTTACGCCTTTGTTCAGCCGCCGCTATTCATCCCTCCTTGGGGATTGTAAACATTCTCAGTAATTCATGATGAAACACAAAGTAGAAATCCACAGGGCTAATTACACCGTGTCCCAAATTATTATGCAAATGATATTCTCAGATTTTCTAAATTGTCAACCCAAATGACAGTCAGTCTAATTTTCAAGTCATCATCTGTTAGAGTATAATGAAAAATGTTTTTGAACAAACCTCCCAATGATAACAGTATTTTATTCAAAATAAAAAACTTAAATCTACTGATCCACATTATTCTGCACAACAGAGTTTCAAAACATTTTATAGGTTGTAAAAAACTGAAAATGGTCATTTGTTTAAATTTGCAGCATTAGGAGGTCATATTTACTGAAATCAAAAGCTATTTTAATCAAAAACATCTTAACAGGTCAAGTTACATCTCAACATAGGATCCTTTATTTGATAGCAGCTTCAAAATTCTTGTTTCATCCTTTGAACTTTTTCGGAGTTTTTGGAGAGTTTCTGCTTGGATTTGTTTGCAGGATGTCAAAATAGCCTCTCAGAGCTGCTGTTTGGATGTGACCTGCCCCCCACCCTCATAGGTCTTTTGCTTGAAGATGCTCCAAAGGTTCTCAGTAGGGTTGAGGTCAGTGGAGGTTGGGGGCCACATCATGAGTTTATCTCCTTTTATGCTCATAGCAGCCAATGATGCAGAGATATCCCTTACAGCATCACATGGTTCATTGTCAAGCATGAAGATGATTTTATTATGAGAAGCACAGTTCTTCTTCTTGTACCATGGAAGGACATGGTCAGTCAGAAACTCTATAAACTTCGCTGAGGTCATTTTCACACCTTCAGGGACCCTAAAGGGGCCGACCAGCTCTCTCCCCATGACTCTGTCCCAAAACATGACTCCACCACCTCCTTGCTGACATTGCAGCCTTGTTGGGACATGATGGCCATCCACCAACCATCCACTACTCCATCCATCTGGACCATCCAGGGTTGCACGGCACTCATCATTGAACAAGACTGTTGGAAAATTAGTCTTCATGTATTTCTGGACCCACTGCAGCTGTTTCTGCTTGTGAGCATTGATTAGGGGTGGCCGAATAGAAGGTTTATGCACAACTGTAAGCCTCTGGAGGATCCTACAGCTTGATGTCCCTGGGACTCCAGAGACATCAGCAGCTTCAAATATGTATTTGCTGCTTTGTAATGACATGTTAGCAGCTGTTCTCTTTATCCGGTTTATTTGTCTGACAGAAACCTTCCTCATTGTGCCTTTATCTGCACAAACCCGTGTGTGCTCTGAATCCACCATAAATCTCTTAACAGTACGATGATCACGCTTAAGTTTTCGTGAAATATCAGAGGTTTTCATACCTTGTCCTAGACATTCAACTATTTCACACGTTTCAGCAGCAGAAGATCCCTTTTTTTCCCCATATTGCTTGAAAACGTTGGTCTGCTTAATAATGTGGACGGTCCTTCTTTGGTAGATTTTCCCTTACCTGAGCTCACCTGGCAAACTACTTATCACAGGTAAATGAGATTGATTTCAGTGATCCAAAGAGCCCTGAGACACAGTACCATCCAAAAGTTTAATAAACAAAAAATGGAACCTTTATGACTCTTAAAGACAATTTGCATAATAATTTGGAACGCAGTGTAGTTTTGATGATATTTCATTTCTAGGGAAGCCTCTGAATCACATCCAAACTGATAGTGGTTCTTGGATGAGGAAAGATTTCAGGACGGAACAAGTTCATCTGCTCTTAGGGAGCAAAAGCTGAAAGATTGCTGACTCAGAAACAACTGGCACTTCTGCTGTTAGTGATGATTTCGACAGAAATTAAAATGCAGCTCTTTAGAATGACTCACTATATGACACAAAATTAAGAAGGTGAAAAACCTCGCTTCAATCAAAGGTGGTGAAAACGATTGTTCGAGCCTGTCTTACTGACCCTCTATCGGCTCTGAAAGCTCGAGTCACTCTCGTGTAACAGTCAGGCGGTCTGAGCAGAATCAAGCAGATGACCTTGCCGAGTCTCCTCAGAGACACACGGATAAAAATTTCAGGATCGAGGAGAATAAATAGTTTTTGTATGCATGGAAAAATGTTTGAGGGCTTTCATTTCAGCTCCCTGATTTCAAAGTCAAGGTTGCTGACATTTTGACTTGAGTGATTACAGATGAAGAGAGTCATCACCGTTATACTCTGTCTTTGTAAATCTGTCCTTTCTGCACTGTTGTGAGTTTGTACTTGTCTGTGGATGATAAAGATAAGGTTCAACATGCTGCTTTTTAATTTCAATGAATAAATACATATTTTTCTTCTTATTCATCTGTGTGGAACAGGGAGGTGTGGGACATCTGCTCCGTACATGCAGGCAGCATTTCCGAGCAAGACTTTCCCCAACCACTACACCATTGTTACGGTAAAGACATGACACAAACGCACTGTATCTAAAACTCTTCCATCTGCTTTGTTAGCGCCTGACTACACCTTAGTTTTCTTACTTTCTTAACTTTTATATTTTTATTAGAACAAATAAACACAAAGACACGGGAAGAAGCCTTTAACAGCTTTGTAGCTTTCTCTCTCTTTTTTTTTTCCCCACTTAGTTTTGAGCTGCAAAGTTTAAGTCAGTTTTTCTATTCAGTGAATTAAGTTGAAAAAAAGGTCCATAAGGAGATTAATGAAGGAGATGAAATTAGGGGAAAAAAAAAACAAACAGGAAAAGTTTGTGTCCTATTTCACAGAGCGTTTTTTCCCCCACTCTTTAAACCTTCCTGTCCTTCGGCCTGGCGTTGTATAGAGTCTGAGGGCTGATTATCAATCAATCAAATTTTATTTATATAGCGCCAATTCACAACAGTCGTCATCTCAAGATGCTTTTCAAAGAACAAGAGCAGGTCTAGACCACGCTCATTGTTTGATGATCAAGAACCAACCTAAGATGGGTTTTGGCCCATCTCAACTAACATGAGAAGCAGTGGCGAGGAAAAACTTCCTTTTAACAGGCAGAAACCTTGGGCAGGACCAGCCTCATGTTAGACAGCCACCATGCCGCTGCTGGGTTGGGGAGGAATGTAGAGAGAAGAGGGGAGAGGACGGGGGGGGGGCAAGATAAGGGAAGGCGAGAGAGAATGAGTAGGGAGGGGGAGGGAGAGAGAGTAGAGAACGAGGGTGAGAGAGAGACAGGGGGCAGCAGAAACAACAGCAACAACAACAACAGCTCATGTAATGGTGAAATAAAAAAAGAGTTCAGTTTACAGGGTTAGGATATGAGTGATTATGGACAATGTTAAATTAATTGAGTATGATTACATTTAGCAGGCCTAATCGTAGTCAGCTGTAGTTTATGTTATTAATGTCAGTGAGGCTGATGTTCATGTCTGCAGTAACAGTCCAGAGGAATCCAAGAGAAGAAGGAGCTCAGGGCCTGAGGCCATAGACTGTATATAAGATGGACAGAGCCTGCCTCCTCGCTGGGTGAAGCCACTGCGAGAACAGCACCCTCTGATGGTGGGCTGCAGTACAGGTCATAAATCCCGCCCCCGCCAGCAAAGCTTATGGGACTGTGGACAAACTTTAGAAATTTATTACACAGAACATAATTTTTTCTCCCCCCTGGTTGTGATGTTGACATGTAGTTACTGTCAGACTGGTTTGTGCCCAAGTCCTCTTTTTTCTGTACAGCTCTGTTTTTAAAAGTTATTAGGGGGTTCATGTTTTCTATGATTGACACCTGGTACAGCCTATGGGCGTTCAGGGATTCCGAAGCTCTTCCGGGGGAATACGCTGTTTGACCCGAGCGTCATCACAGGGACTCTCGGCGACTGCGCGGCCGAATGCGCACAACGCTACTGCACAGCTCTGGTTTCAAGGAAGCGGAGAAAAACCCGGAATTGCCGAGAGCCGTTTGGCTTCAAATCCGTATACAGGCGGAAGGCGGAACCACGGCGTCCATCTTATATACAGTCTATGCCTGAGGCGGACAATCGTAGACAATGCGGCTAGAGTCAGGCAGGTCTGCAGCAGGTCTGATTAATGAGTTTATAATAAGCTGTCATTGCTGTGAAGTGGTTTAACTAGACAGTGCGAGTGTACTGAGTGTGTGTTTCTGAATTCAAGGGAAACCCACATTTGGTTTTCCCACTTTGTTGAAGTATAAACTCTTCAGTGTTTAGGTCTAAGAGCTTCAAAGTGGCTCATGTTGATAAAATCCAGCTGTATGATCATGTAAGTTTATCCTTACAGTCATCACACAGTATTATGCAGCAATACTAAAAGCAGCTGTCCTTGGAAATAATCAAGCACACTGTAGAGTTGGAAGAGATTCAGATACCTTCATTTTTAAAAGACATCCGAGGAATACTACATTTATCTCCTCTAGTTTGGACATTTCAGCTGATGGAGGTAGATCTTAAGTTTTCTTTACAAATCCATGTGAAGTTTTCACGTTTTATTTAGATTAAGGATTTCTAAAAGTTTTAAAGTTACATGTTTGTACACAAATGAATTTACACAACTCGGTAAAAACACACAATGATGTCAAACACAACACCAAAAAAAAAAAAGGACAGAGCAGGAAAAACCGAAACATAACTTTAAACATGTCGAAGAGCAGTTTTGTTAAAACTGCGTCGCCTTCAGGTTTCCATTCTGGGGAAATGTAGCGTGCACTTTTTCTGTATTGATTTGATATCATGTGCGATCAGGATGTCCCTGTTCTTACTTTTGATATTTGAAATCACTTTTGTGATTGGAAATAATCAGGTTAGGCCTGGGCGATTATATGATAGTGATCGATGATCGTGATAAATTTCAGTTCGATCATGATGATCAGCTGTGATCATATTTACTCGATCAAACATAGTGGAAATGTGCGTCACAACAACCAATCAGAGTCGAGCTTTTCCTGCTCACTTCTGTAAGTTACCAGAGAAAGAAATTAATCACTGTTGTTACGGCAATTAACAAATCAAAGTCAAGTATTGAGTAAAGCAGTTTTATTTTTGCAGCAAGAAAAGGTGGAGGATTCAAGTCAAATGCCTTTACGAAGAGGGCAAAAAGAAGAGGAGGGCACACACACACACACACACACACACACTGACTCAGTACTGCTCCAAGTGTAAGAGTCGGTGTTTAGGCTTCAGGTGTAGGGTTGGGTATCGAGAATCGATGGGGACCGGGACTGACATTTCGATCCTCCCGGAATCGTTCAAATTTTAAAATTTCGATTTCAAGTTTCGATGTCGGAGTCTGCCGACCGGAAGAAACAGCCGCCACACAACAACGAAGAAGAAGCTGCTGAACACCAACGAGGACGGAGCGTAAGAGACGAAGCCACAGAGAGAGGGAAGAGGGGAAGATAGAGAGAGAGAGTGCTTTGCAACCCACAACAATGCAGCCGCTGTGTCTCTCTTCTCTCTCTCTGTCTTTCCTCGTCCTGGTTGGTGTTCGGCGGCTTCTTCTTCTTTGTTGGTAAAAAGTTTGTCTAACTTTGGCAAACCAATCTTTCCCAAGTAAAATCCACTGCCATGGAAAAGGAAATATGCATCAGTGTTGACACACTCAGGGGTTACTGAAGGTCAGGTCAAAGCCTTGTTTCAGTAAGAACGAATGCTGTCTGAGAACAAATTACAACTTTTTGGTAACTTATCTGTCAAAAATGATGACTCCTCCTTTTACTGATGTGTTTCAATGAGACAATAAACCCCTGTCCCTCTCCTCGCCATTTCATCTCGTCCCCACAGTTTCATGGTTGTGGATTTGTGGTTTGTGTTGAAGACATTAGAGTTTATTTATTTTTGCAGCTGGCGGTTTCCTAACAATCTGGTGTTGAAAAGCAAACAGCAGACTCCCAGCGGAGGGTTGCACAATATCCATGAACAAAAACCAAATGCACAATGTCTTTTTAGCCTGAAACCTGTGCACATGTATGATTTTAGTGTCCAAGTATGTAACACTGGAAGGTTGTTTTCCCATTTTCAGTAAACATAAGAAAAAAAAGCTTGTTCGGGGTGTTAGGTGGCAGTGCAGCCGGGTCGCAGTCAGTCTAGCGAGATTGTGGGTTGTCAGAAACCTTCCTATGAAAAGTTTACAGTCTTCATGTTTGTCTGGTCGGAGCTGACAGCAGTCTCCTGTTGAGCATCTCCATCCTGATTTGAGCACATTTCTCCTCTCCCTCTCCTTCCCCCTCTTCCTCTTCCTTCTCCTCCTCCATCTCTCTCTCAGGGTCTCTATCCAGAGTCCAACGGTTTGATTGACAACAGCATGTACGACCCGGTGTTTGATGCCTCCTTCAGCCTGTCCAGTCCAGAGAAAGACAATCCTGCCTGGTACCTCGGCCAGCCTGTGAGTAATAGACTTTTGGGATGCCTCTCACTCGTACCTGAAGGTAGAAGAGCGTTGCAGTATCTTTGGTGAAAGTAAACCAGAAAAGAAAAAGTAAATTGAGAGGGACATGTCCTCTGAAAATGTGCCTTCGATTGGCATTAGAATATATTATGATACCAACTTTATTTCCAGTGTTTCAAACTGTACAGAACTATACAGAGTAACATGACAGTGATGCCCTTGATATGAGCACACACAGTCGAGTACATGCGTTAAAAATAAACCGAATTCAGCCAAAGACACCAATAATATTTGCCTCAGAAAGAAACCTGTTTGAATCTTCTCTTAAACAGGATCGATGAACGAAACAGGATCTTTGAGACTGTTGCATAAATGTGTAAATTTCATAATGATTGAATCAAATATGTGGTTGTTCAGTGAAAATCATCCACCTGTTTGTTTTTGTAGATTTGGCACACAGCAAAGTACCAGGGGCTGAAGTCTGGAACGTTCTTCTGGCCGGGGTCAGATGTGAAAATTAACGGAAGCTATCCCGACATCCACCGACCGTACGACGGGTGAGACTGACTTTACAATCCCGATCAATGACTTTCAAAAGGATGTAGATAAAGCTTTCAGAAAAAAGGGACACGATTTTCTTTACGGTGGAATAAAAGGATGTGTGAGCAGCCTCTACAGTAACCTCCTGTTCACCACTGCATCTCTTTAGCAAAGTGCCGTTTGAGCAGCGAGTTTTCACCGTCCTCCAGTGGCTCCAACTGCCGGAGAACGAACGGTGGGTTGTTCCAGTATTTCTTCATTTCTGAACCTGTGTTATAGAAGTTATTTCCAGAGTCTAAATCGAGTCTAAATAAACGCTGCCTCTACTTTCAGACCAGATTTCTACACGCTATATCTGGAGGAACCGGACAAATCTGGACATAGTTACGGTCCTGTGAGCGGAGGGGTAAGTTCACGAAGCCTCTAAAATTCAGCTCTTCTTAAAAACACCCAGAAATCCTTGTGAATAGAAGCAGATGTGGGCTCAGGTTCTCACTCTGTTGGTGGGAGTTTGTCAATCATTGTCACACTTTTGCTATCGGCTCTCTCTCCTTCTTCAGGACAGAAACTAAATGAGGCCCATTCGGCTCATAAACGCGCCTCCTCTAACGGGCTGTGGTTATAAACTTCTGTCTCCAATCTCCTCGGCACTTAAAACGTTTCTTCACCACATCATACGTCTCACTCACTGATGGCAGAGTATGCTGTGGAAAGAGTCCTTCAGTATCAAGTAATTCTATTATCACCCATTACAACAGGGGGTATATGCGGGTTCATGTTTTCTATGATTGACGCTTGATACAGCCTATGAGCATTCAAGGATTGCGTAGCTCACCCGGGGAAAATGTTGTTTGAGCCGAGCGTCATCACAGCGGCTCCCTGTGACTCTCCCGCTGAATGCGTACAACGTTACAGCAGGAATTCTGATGAAACCACGGCGGCCTCTTATTGCAAATGATCCCAAATAAGGTTTGAAAAATCAGGATTAAACAAAAGAGGAAAAAAACCTCCTTAAAAGATGAGCAGCTTTGTTTCTGAGACTGTGTTTGTCAATGGGAATATCTCTGGTAAAATAAAACTGGGTGAGTCATGTGTTTCTTCACCATTTACCGTGACAAAGAGTGAAATAATTCCAAGTGAATATTTGCTTAAAAGCTCTCAAGAATAAGAACTTTAAAGAGCCCGGCTCCTCCGATATGCCGGCTGTTTTTTGGCCCTAACCCGGCTTCTCAGATTTCTTTCTTGATCACTGAAGAAGAGGGTGGGGCTCCTGATGTCAGCTTTGTCAACAAAAAAGATCCATGAAGAGGAGACTCACAGGCTGCAGGACGACTATAAGCACTTCTTTTAATGCCATCGATCAAAAACAAGTGTAAAGTACACAGAGCATTTCAAAACAGGTTTTACTGAGGGAGCATAAGTGCCAGTACAACTCTGGTATGCACATTTGAGATCACAGAGGGAGGCCATGTGGATCTAAACGCAGTCTGATGCAGTCTTCATTTATCAGCAAGTGTTAACATGTATCAGCAACATGTAACTTCTCTTCTTTGAACACTGAAAACTGTATATCAGTGCTCGTAAATACTCTTAATCCTTATCTTTACAAGGCCGTCTGACCTTTCTCAGCTGACGTCTCGCTTAAGTAAGAAAGTTACTTACACGAATCTCCAACCTCAGAGGTGGGTTAATGGAAGATTTGGAGAATGTAAATAAGATAAAGTGACCTTAAAGCCGTGACTAAACATGTCAACATTGTTGACTGCACAGAGGTGTTTGAACCTGTATGTGAATCAGCTGTTTTTCTGTTAAAGGTCAGCTGTTACCAAACACCACCGTTCAGTGAACTTCTGAGATCACAGGATACTGCTGGAGATGGAGATTGGAGGCACTAACCCTGTACCCGCATATTATTAACACGCTTCACCCCAGACCAAGACGAGTTTTACCAAGTCAATACTTTTGAGTATTTCGTTCAAAAAGAGAGTTTCTCAGATTTTCTAATATTAACAGTATTTGAAGAAAATATTCCAAGTCTTTTGTTGATTTAATTTTGATTCGATTTTTTTCTGACTGTAAAATATTTCTAATGTACATAATTGTTCTTTAAAAGGGCTGAACCCCTCAGAGGGGAAGAGGAGGAAAAGGTTCACCACTCTGTGAGAGACTGCGTAAGCAAACAGTTCAACAGATTCAGAACTTTGAGGGATAGTAACATTTTGGGACATAATATTAATATCTCTCTGCAAAAAGGCCAAAGTCTGGGGTGACTTCAGGACCCTCAGGTGACACTGCATTAATAACATGAACGACTCTGTAGTGGAAATTTGCATGGACTTGAAATAACCTCTGAAAACCATCCCCCCTGGGTCAGTGCACACAGTGAATATTTATAAACCTTCATTAAACACGAAACCACACAGGGCTTCATTCAACACTAAAGTAATGTATACACAGCTTAACAGTTGTGTCTCTAGAGAGAATAATGGTGCTTATTGCAACGCCACAAGAGCCGTTCAGTTTATACTGACTCTGGCCGTGACTTCCCTTACTCTCACGCCGGCCTGGTTCAGTTTGATGCAGTAGTAAGGCCGTGACCCTCAACGAGCACCAGCTGGGATTGCAATCTGGTAAAAAAAAAACAAGGTGAAATAACGTCTTAATTTCCAAGATCTAATTTCAGTAAGCGTGTTTTCAACAGAAATGTAGTGACGTGTTTTTCTGAGGTAATTCTCTGGGGGCGTTTGAACAGTAGTGATGCAAAGATGCACGACAGCATCATTGATGAAGGTCGCTGATGTAGTGTACTGATGTCTAACAGATGCTTCATGCCGAGGGACGTCAGCAATCTTCATTCTCCTGTTGGTGACAGAGATGCTCTGCAGTCATTTTAACCGCTAAGATGCAAAACCACAGTTAATGTGAACGTGCTGTTATTTATCTGACCGAGTTTTTCCAGTCTCATCTGAGCCGGACATTAACCAAAACACAGTCTGTGAAGAGCCGGCTCTTTCAACCCAGTTTTGGATGTCCTCAAAGGTGGCCAAGTTTCTCCCACACAGCCTTCACCAGTTTGAGTTTTCCGATTTAATACGCCCTCCACCTGCCTGGGGCTGAAATGCTAATGGTTTTCAGCTGAGAGTGTCATTCGTTGAGGGTGGGGAATAAATGTCTGTCTGTTCTTAATAACCTCCTTTTAAAAACTGAAGAGGAAGAAAAGGTCAAAAAACAAAGAAGAGTTTTATGTGGATGACCAGAAAACCGAGACTTCACCCTTGAGTTTGGCATAAGCATCCAAAAGTCTGTCTGTGGAAAACCACCACTCTGCTTTACCAGCTGTTAATAGATGATGAATGTGGAGAAAATGTCCTTTTTGAGTGATTCAGTCGCAGGTCGCCCCCCTTTTAAACTGAAACAGTGTTCCAGACAGGGACGCTCCACCTCACACACTCATGATGGCTTTATCATGTGTGAAAGTAGGGCTCTGCAGGATCTTGTTTAGCCTTTATATCTGGAATTATAAATCAGAATGAACAATGAGTCGATTATAACCGTCACCACTTATCTTGATGGATGCATCAGGCTGTTGCATCTGCTTCCTGTTTTTTCTTGTGCCATACTGTCAAATTGATCCCGCTCTTGTCTGTCTTTGTTTTGTCCCTTTCCTGCAGGTGATTGAGGCGCTCCAGGGTGTGGATAAGGTCATAGGTCAGCTCATGAACGGCCTCAAGCAAATAGGCCTCCACCGCTGTCTCAACATCATCATTGTTGCTGATCACGGTAAATCACACGGCTTTGGAAACACTTCCATGTTTCATCCACGCTGTAGATATAAACAACTGATTCACACTGAGTCAAACTGATTTATCAGTGTTTGTGGGAGATATTCACACTTCATAAACCAAATCAATGTCAGCACAACTGCAAAGATGAATGAGCCAGCTTCTTATCAACTTAGTCGGACAAATCTGTGTTTAGTTTATTGGGGCGTAGCTGCCTGCTGAATCAGACTGGTGTTTAGTGACAACTTGCAAAATCATGTTTTATTGTACTTTCATTCTTAGTGTCTCTATTAGCAGGAAACAAAAATCTTCTATACAGAGAGCACCAGCTTTTTATCAATCAATCAATAGGACTGTATTTATAAAGCACTTGTCATAGAACCAAATGCATAGAGAGAGCTTTACAGAGAGCACCGATGAAAACAGTTCTATCCACAGCACATTGAGGACCATTTTACAAATCACAGTTTTATTTTTCAGGGATTGATCGATGCTCTTAAAATATTTCATACTTTATTTTTGCCAAAGTAGGATACACTGCTGGGATAGTACACAGTTTAAAAACAGCCTGTGCTTTTCTCCATCTTTCATTTCTGTTGTGGTTTACACACACACACACACACACACACACACAAAGAAATCAATTTACACTGTAAATATTCATTCATCTAACGGATTGTTAAGCAGTTGTGGCCGTTTTCTAATCAAACAATATTGGATCATTTGATCATTTTGTGACTGTTAATAATCAGGTCATGATCAGTTTGTTAGATGGTGCTTTCAGGAGGCTCTGTCAGGTGTTGGCTGCCAAAGGTCCTTACACACTAGGACCGACGCAAATATAGGACACAAAATTATGAAATATTCAGAGGCGAATTTTGACGCGCCTGACTAAACACATCAAGCCTGATGCGATTTTGTGGGTGGAAAAAGACGCATCTCGGGTGGAAGCGAGAAGACTGAGCCAACAGCAGACTGAGTGTTTTTCAGTTCTGATCAGACTCTAGTGTTGAGATGTCTGTCTGTCATGATAGCATGAAGTGAGTCGGGGCCAGTACCAGATTAACACATTAAACTATAATCCATAAACGTAAGGGAACAACCGAGACCTAATGGTGCTGTGACAGCAACGCTGTGATTGAGTTTACAGTGAAAATACATATGGTATGTTGTATCTGAACAGGTTAGCTTACGAGCTAAAGTTACTTAGCACAGATGAAAGTTCAAACAAAGACGTTTATCAAACTGTTAAAGCTCACAACCCATCGTCATCTGAGAAATCCGACGCTATGACTCTCCACAAGTCGTCCTTCAGGTCGTTATCTTTGTAATGTTTGTGTCTTTATCAAAAATCACTCTGTTCTCTGACACGTAAACAATCAGCCGGTCGGCCATGTTGGATATACCGGTGAATCAGACGTCGCAACAACACGCAATCTGATTGGTTAGAAGTGGACACACAGTATGCGAAACGATCGACGTGATCCGAAAAAATAAATGCAGCAATATCGCAGAACGGGAAAACATTGCTGATGTGAACGCTTGTATTGACAGGATACGGGTTCGAAAAAAATATATTGACGTCTGAAATAATCACAAGAAAAAAAATGGTCCCGGTGTGACAGGAACTTAAGACCACAGCTCAGCTTCACATTTCTGTGTGAGCTAGGAAGTCAGTTCAGTGTGTCGGTCATCAGCAGTATGATGACAACAATCAACATGAGCTGAAATTAAAGCTGGCTTAATTTCCATAAAAATGTTTTTTTTACCTCCTGAGTCTTCACAAATAAAGTTTGCAGGATGAAAGATTTCATAAAACACCTGTTTGTGTCGCAGGTATGGAGGATACAAGCTGCGACAGAAAGGAGGTGCTGCAGAAGCTGGTAGGAGACGTCAGGGACTACTGGGTCTACGAGGGACCATTCGGGCGTATTCGGGCCAAAAACAAAGACATGGTCTGTGAGTACTGAGTCCATGTACCTTTTTTTCGTTTTCGACGTTTGTCGCATATTGATGACGTAAAGGTCGGATGAACGCGACCTGAGCGTCCACACTGCAGTCACATCGGATACATATCTGATTTATATCCACATACAAAAGAGGCCTGGGTCGGATTAGAACCAATCAGAATTGACCTGTTCACACTTAGATGAAAAAATCAGATATGAGTCACAGATGGTTAAAAGACCGGCCCTATTCAAAAGTGTCATGGCTGACTCAAAGCCAATGACAAAGACATGGTGCAAATTAGAATACACTGATTTACAAAAAGGCATGAGGTGTGAACATCAGAGGTACGGGCAGGTGTGCATGAGTGTGCAGATGAGGAGTGGAGTGACTGTTTCAGACAAAAAGACAAGACAAAAAGAGGAAGCCTGCTTTTCTGATGACCCAGTCACACCCTCCAGCTCCTGTGACATAAAGAAAAACTGGCAGCAAGATCACTCCCAACAGTCGGGGTCATTTCAAAAGCACTTCATACAAAGGAGGTGTTCATCGTGAAGCATAAAGATCAGCGGTATCAAGTTTTCACAAGTTTAATCTTGACTTTATGTGAAGAGACAGAATGATGGATCAACGCTGAAGAAAAAAAACAGGCATCACAGAAAATGATGAAGGGAAGTCCTGATGTTCCACATAGATTCACCCAAGGCGTCATGAAAACACAACGAGAAGGAGACTGATGAAAAAAAAACTGTTGGAGGTGCATTGATGCCGTGCTGCTTTTCAACCACCCTGTAAACCAACTGTTTTTATCCAAGAGTTCAGTGAAAGTCCAAGTGACACAAACCCAAAGGATGATAGATGTTCGTAGCTGGCGGTAATAGTTGAACATTGTGTGAATGTGTGTGGAGTGAAGAACCAAAAACTACTGAGTCTGATACACGCTCAAAGAAGTCTGAGGAGAACAGACAGACCGGTTTCAATGTGATAGAAAGTCAACAGTGAGTCTAATTACCTCTCATTACAACCACGATATGCGTTTCGAAAGTGCACACTCAATGGCACAGCGATCCGACAGGGACCAACCATGCGAGGGAGGCAGAGATCCAAGCAGACGGAGGGACAGGAAGAACGAAAACATCCCTGATACCGGACTGACACTGACGCTATAAACTCTGAAAATGAACAAAAACACATCAAACCCACTCGCACTCATCCGCACTCTGCCCTCTAACCAATCAGAAGCTCCCTCCTGAAATTCTGGCATGTTAGAAACTGTGGAGTCATGAGTGAGTCCTCTAACTTCAGGGCTTTTTTCCCTGACTGTGCTTGTTTGCAGAGCAGTGGGCAGAGGCAGGAAGCGCCTTGGCAACAAACGTTAACAACTGTAAAATGTATCGTCGTTAACCTGCCGGTGCAGTCCTTTGAATTTTAGTAAAAAAGCTCGACAATAAAATAAACCTTTTGCATTTTCAGAGAGGTCATAACTCTGCTCTTGCTTGTCATTCTATTTATGACCACAGTGTTAATTCAGTCACACAGTATTTACCAGTCCTTACAAACGGATGTAGAAGTCATGGCGCAGAGTAAGTCACTGCTGGTTACAATGAATTTTCGGTCACATTAACACAACAAGAGAGAGGTTTAGTTTGGTTGTTTGGTTTCGGCACTCCTGCGGGATGATTTGGCTGTAATGACGCAAGTGTTGACCATGGTTCTTCTCTCTTTCCCAGTGGACTCAGCAGGACTTGTTGCAAACATGACTGTAAGTATAAGACATCAGCATTTCTAACGGTATTAGATCATTTGTTACTAAATGATGACCTGCTCAGGGTTCAGTTTAAACAAATTCAAATTTCTGTTGTTCTCAAAGAAACAAACTCTTCTTACTTGCATTAAAATGTTCGGCTGTTACTTTGTGGTTTCATTTCAGTGTAAGAAGTCAGACCAAAAGATTAAGCCGTACCTAAAGGCTGACCTCCCAAAGCGGCTCCACTTTGCCAACAGCCGGCGCATCGAGGATGTCAACGTCCTGGTGGAACCACAGTGGCTGTTTGAGAGGTATTACCCTGAGTCCACAGTGAACTCTCAGTGTTCCCTCTTGGAGCTGTGAATTCCCTCACTCCCCCGCATCTCTCCCCCTGAGAGTGTGAGACTAATCGAGCTGCGTGTTTCTTGCCAAATATTCTCCTTATATCTCCACTCCAGATGAGGGTGAGGTACGTTTTTGACAGAAGGCTGTTGGCAACAAAGGTGGTAAACACTGGCTAATGTAAAATAGAAGCAGTGCTCCTGGTAGGAGGTTGTCTTTGTCACCGACATGCATCTGGAAAAGTTTATGGTATTTGTACCTGCAGTGCTCTTTGTTGATATAGCAGTGGCTCTTCTTCGGCTCTTCTTCAGGTGACGGTGGCCTCTGAGGACAAAAAGCTCCTGTGATACAGGATAATAATGATCCTTTATTCGTCAAGTTGTTACTGACAGAAACTTTTATCTGTAAAAGCTCTCTTGTGCACAACATCAGTCGGCTCCTTTATTCTCCAAATGAAGCATTTGATGCGCTCTTTCCTGTACCTTTGAATGTGTCTGCTGTTTGTCTGTTTCTTGCAGTGTTTTATTCATAGTCATATCACAGTGTGTGAGCACAGGCAAGAAAACAGATTAAATTCAAAGGCATGTAGAAACGAGGGAAACATGGAAAACAGATCACAACAGAAAAGCGTGCTTTGAAAAAGGAGACGAAAGATTCTGTTCTTTGAAAAGCTGCCTGCGAGGGAGAAAACCATTTGAAACCATCTCCACAACAATCAGGTGGAGTCACAAAGAGACTACTGATGCTGTGATGTCTGTCATTATTAGTCTCCTGCAGGGCTTTTAGGAGGTAGCGTTCTCACGCAATGAGGGTTGAGTCATTTTCTCTGTGGAGGGCTTTTAAACCGCAGATTGGAATCAGACTTATTTTACAACCTTGCCCTCAGACTTAAGGTGTTTGCTGTACCTTATTAGTCCTCTGAGCTCCACAAAGTGTTTCAGTTTCACTCATCTTGATTCTTAAAGCAGTCCCCTCCCTGCAGGTATCCAGGATCTCTGACGTTCTGCTCTGGTGGCACTCATGGCTATGACAACGATGCTGAGAGCATGCATGTGAGTAAAGAACAGTTCTTTCCTGTCAAATGTTTAAAGACCAAACTTTATCACTCCCATGATTTTTTTCCCCAGTGTGTCCCAAGTTCGACTTTTTCTGACTGTAATTAAAGCCAGCGATGTTTTATGTCCCTTTCTTCCTCTCTTTTTTTTTCAGGCCATGTTTGTGAGTTATGGTCCCAAATTTCTCTCCAAAACTGAAATAGAACCATTTTCCAACATCGAGCTGTACAATCTGATGTGTGGTGAGTTGTTTGGATGTTCGTAGTCAAAACACAACCCACACAAAGTTTACAGCTCTCAGGAACCAGAAAACCACTGGACAAAGAAAACTGGAGGCACCCAGACGGTGGTAGATAAGTCAGATAAACCTGCAGAGACCTGAAGCTAGATTTAAGCTACAGTGGATATAAAAAGTCTACACACCCCTGTTCAACTGCCAGGTTTTTGTCATGTAAAAAGATTAAATCAAGATAAATAATTTCACAAATTCTTCCACCTTAAATGTGATCTATAACCTGTACAACAAAATTGATTGATTGAATTTCCAAGGAATTGAATATACCAGGGAACACAGTGAAGACCGTCATCGTCAAGTGGAAAAAATATGGCGCAACGGTGACCAAGAACAGGACGTCTGTCCAAAATTGATAAGACAAGAAAAAAACTGGTCAGGGAGGCAACCAAGAGGCCGACAGCAACACTGAAGGAGCTGCAGGAATTTCTGGCAATTACTGGCTGTGTAGAACATGAGACAACAACCTCCCGCTGTCTTCATATGTCTGGGCTAGGGGGTAGGATGGCAAGATGGAAGCCTTATCTTACAAAGAAAAACGTCAAAGCCCGGCTTAATTTTGCAAAAAGACATCTGAAATCTCCCAAACACACGTGGGAAAATGTGTTGTGGTCTGATGAAACCAAAGTTGAACTTTTTGGGCATCATTGCAAAAGGTATATTTGGTTCAAAATCAACACTGCTCATCACCAAAAGAACACCATACCTACAGTGAAGCATGGTCGTGGCAGCATCATGCTTTGGGGCTTTTTCTTCAGCTGGATCTGGCGCCTTAGTCAGGGTGGAGGGAATTATGAACAGTTCCAAGTACCAGTCAGTGTTGGAACAAAACCTTCGGCCTTCTGCTAGAAAGATGAAGATGAAGAGGAACTTCATCTTTCAGCACGACAATGACCCAAAGCACACATCTAAATCAACAAAAGAGTGGAATAAGATTGAGACTTTGGAATGGCCCCGCCAGAGTCCAGACCTGAATCCCATCGAACATTTGTTGGGTGATCTGAAGAGGGCTGTGCACAGGAGATGCCCTCGCAATCTGTCAGATTTGGAGCGGTTTTGCAAAGAAGAGTGGGCAAATATTTCCACTTTTTATATCCACTGTAGCTTTAGGCAAAGAACTATGTCATAGTCTGTTTTGTCTCCTCTCACTTATGTATTCCCTGAGTCTCTTTGAGGCTTTCATGATGTTGGAGTCAGACGTTATTACTAAGTGTCCAAAAGTTTGCAGAAAGTCAAACTTGCTAAAATGGACATGTGGAAAAAAAGGAAACTAGAAGCTCAGGGTAATTAAACCTCAGACTCAGCAGTTAATGTGCTACAGCCCAGAACGTTTGTGAGCTATTTTTTTTTTTATAATCACTCAGATCTATGCTCAGTTTCAGACTCCAACATCCTGAGAAACCTCTGCCTCCTGCAGCCTTCTGTGTATGTCAGCAAAATTCCTTAATCCACATCAATGTGTTCTGCTCTCCACTCAGACCTGCTGCACATCTCCCCTACTGCAAACAACGGGACTCACGGCAGTATGAACCACATCCTGAGGGAACCGCACTTTACACCATCGCACCCTGCAGAGCTGAGCGTGCCTCTGCAGTGTACGCTGAACAGTCTCCACCCTGCAGACGCCCTTGGATGCTCCTGTCCTGGCCCGGTAGGTATTTCATCATTACACTCTGGAGACAAATCAAAGTGGATATGAGGATCACATCCAACAAGTTCTGTCACTTCCTGTCGATTAAATCAGAGGTGCACGCACACAAAAAGTTTTTTGTCCAGTGAACGAGTTTAAAACGACACAAAGAAGAATTTTGTTGGTCAGTTTCTTGTGGCGATGACTGAACATGCAAAGAGGTCCAAAGTGTGGCCCTGTGTTACCAAAGCTAAAGACAGGCATGAAGCAAACTGCAGTTTATGGGGCGAAACACTTTCTTGCACGGGGGGGAATAGCACCTCCATAACCAAGCTCCTCAGCACTGTGCACCAAATGAGCCGAAAGGCAGAGCAGAGGTGTGTCAACCCAGTTCTCTAGCAACAGTGACAAACATAAACACATCCATTATATTCTGACTAGAAGAACTATTATTCACAGCTTCTGACATGTACATGTATTATATTCCTGCCTGCAGACTGTAGTGGCGCCTTACCTGATTGGAGATCTTTTTTAGGAGGGCGTTACGCAACTTTTTTTTTGACAGGCTTCTGCAGGTGCTTTTCTTTTCTAATGCGCTTCTTCCAGTGAAATTTATACCCTGACTGACTGTTTTAGGTTTTTGCCTCCTGTGAGAGCCTGTGCTCTTGTGATTAAACTGTATTTTTATTGTTAAAAAACCTTATAAACCCACTAATGAAGCTCATGACCCCAGTCAGGGATTGACACTAACTTTTTTCACAAGGAGCACGTTCTCCTAAGTTGAAAATGTTAGGAGCCCACGAAGAACTTCAGGGGCACAATAAAAATTGATCAAATAATGTTTGTCTTATTGGTCAACATAAGTAATTTGAAATCAATTCAAGGTCAATTGGTCACGTGACATGGACGCTTTTGAAAGAATGTTTTTGAGAACATCAACTGGTAATTTATTGACGGTCCCTTGTTTAACGCCCTACGTTGACAGTGAGGGTGTCGAGTAGATTTAACCGCGCTGCTGTTGTTATTCCCGGTTATGGAGAGTGAGAAGACACCGGTAGATCCTCAGAGAATGTCCGTCAGATATCCAACCTAAAACTAACTTCACCGCCGTATTTACAGGAAAATATATCCAACCTGAAACTAACTTCACCGCCGTATGTACAGGAAAAAACATTTGTTACCTTGGCTGATTTTCTTTTTATGCGCACGTGACCCTACATACATTTTACAATTCACCCACATCTATTTTTAGTCGCAAATGTGAGTGAAACAGTTTCAACCATAAAACTTTGAACATGTTGCTGCACACGCCACTGAGCAGTCACAACTGTTGACCTGCTTCATCATCCAAGATGATCTGGGGAGGATCTGGATGTTGTCCAGGTTCAGGTTTCTGTACCGATGCCTGCAGGTCGGTTATTTATGCTGGTTTTATATTTGTTTATATTTTAAAGGTGCAAAGAGATTTTGCGAAACCTGAGAGTGAGTTCAACACCAGGTTTTCTTGGCTCTGCAGCTGTGGTGCTGTAAAGATAAGGAAAATGAACCTCCAACGTAGACGTTTGACGTTACAACATTTTTCAAGCCTAAATTCCTGTTCTGTGAATAGTTTGGCTGATCAAAAACTAACAGAGGTCCTCGTGGCTTTTGGTTAATCCGTCAGCAGTGCAGATGAGCAGAGACACGACCCCCTTCGGTACATTCATGACATTTTTCCAAACCCAGGAATGACCCTCTCCGTGTTTCCTGGAGGTAAACTCTTAATCCTCAGAGGGTCTGACACATCCTGGCATTTCTGTGTGCTGTTCATCAACACCACCTGGATGAAACTCTCATAGCTCCAGTTCAGTGGTTTTTTAACTGTTCTGAGACTTACCCTGTTCTTCTCAAACTTACCTGTTGTTTTCATTGACAAAGCTGAAAAAGTCTCCCAGGTGGATGAGTGGAAAGTCCACCTAAGTGTTAATTCTGCAACGTAAATAACACAAGCATTTGTGTTGTTTTTTCTTTCTCTTCAGAATGTCACTGCCATCAACAGCCGTCTGAATCTGACCACAGCGGAAGGTGAGGAAGTTGCATTGAGTGTTTTCTTAATGTGTGCATCTTCAGTCAGGAACATTTAGTCTACGTTCACACTGCAGGTTATGATGCACAATTGGGATTTTTTGTTAAATCCGATCTTTTTGTGCGGTCGTTCACATTACAACAACAGTGCGGCATCTAATGTGAACGGAATGCGTCCGTGAAGTGACCCGAATGAACACAAAGCACAGATTGCTTTCCACGCCTGTTTGTGTTGTTGCATATTGATGAAGTATAGGTTGGATGAACGCGAACTGAACGTCCACACTGCAGTCACATCGGATCGGATATATCCACAAACAAAAGAGGCCTGGGTCGGATTAGAAAAAATCAGAATTGACCTGTTCACACTTAAATGAAAAAATCAGATATGAGTCACAGATGGTTAAAAAATCGGAATTGACCTGCAGTCTGAACATGGACTTAGTGTCATTTCAGTCAGGACCACTTTTGTCAAAATTCATCATTTATTATAAGCAATCATTTTTACATCGGCGGTATGGCCCTGTTCTGAGAGTTCCCTGCTCTTCCAAGCGCTTACATGGAACGCCACGACTATAAGAGGGGAGAGCTCCTCCCCTCCCTTTCATGTGCATACATGAAAAGCCGAGGCAGAGAAAGCAGCAGCAAATAAATATGATTAAGATAAATACATTAAAATCCCCCCACAGAACAGAGCAAGCATCAGTGACAATACATATAACACTGGTAAGATCAGACACAACATGAACAGGAGGAGCTGGGGTGGAGGTGGGGCCAGAGTGGTTGCAGCAGGCAGAGTAGGCAGGAGGAGCAGTTTCAATAGGGCGCCATTTTGACAGTAGCCAATAGGATGTGTAGAAGGCGATCACCTGAGCTGTCAGCTGACTGAAGGCTGGCTTAAGATCAGCAGACTGTTGCCTTTGGTTTGACTCTGTGTCCTCCTGCCTGAACTACCACTATGCTTCATTTGTGCCCCCTGTTTGGACCTTTATGACATTTGCACGAGTCATACTTTGACTATCCTGTGGAGTATTTCCCTCCCATTTTAAGAAATTCCAATTACAGTAAAGTTGGGTCATTGAGTGTGTAATGTCCCATTGGAATTGAAGTTTGAACATACGCCACTGTCTACCTCATGATGAAGAAGTTTTGTCCACTCATCTTATATCGTTTATGAAAGACAGTCAAATGTTCCAGTTTCAGTTCCTGGCTTAGCCGAGCAGAAGCAGCCATCAACACAGTGGATCACACCATATTGATGAGCCATCCAAAATACTCAGTTTAAATTAGTCGTGTGTAGGGTTGCAAAGGGGCAGAAAATTTCCGGTAAATCTCCAGTAAATTTCCTGAAACTTTCCGTGGAGAGTTAGGCCCCAACTACACGAATGCAGATATATTTCAAACTGCACATATTTATGTCCGATTGGGCCTCCCTACCACACCAAAACGGGAATTTGGAACACCCAAACCGGCTAAATCTGAATCCGAAAAAACAAGTGGAGAAATAAAAAAATATCCGTACAAGTGGATTCGTGTGGTTGAACTTTTACGGATCGATGACGTCAAACCGCAGCTCGCACATGCGAATTAAAAAGAAAAACAACAACAACGATGGCGGACATACAGGGTATTCTTTACGTTTGTTTTGCCCTTTTGGGGCTTATTTCAGCCTTGACAGTGAACCTTGTTTTATACAATTACATCCACCAGTCAGCCAGCTCACAGAAGCGCCTGCTGTGCCCAGTACTTTTATTGGTCACATGGTCCGTCACATGGACCCGACGCACGAGCGTAGCTTCCGCAAACAATGCATGACGCATCACGCTGTTACTATTCATTGGCCAATCAGGTAGCTTTGTTCCTGAATTTTTTTTTAAGCGGCACCAGATAGGATTGAGTTTGAAGGCTACGTGTGGACGCAGATATTTTTGAAAACTAACACGTGTGGACAGATACATTTATTTAGACAGGAGTACAAAAATATCCTGATAAATAAATATCTATATACGTGTAGTCCGGGCCTTAAGATGGGGAGTTTTGGAAACATTCCAAATTGGAAACTTTACATGGTGATTATGGGAATTTATTGGGAATATCAATTTTGTAAAATTCAGATGTAATCCCATGAATTCCCATATATTCTCATTAATTCCTATGGAAAGTTTCCAACTTTGAAAATACGCGGAATTTTGCAACCATCGTGATGTGGTGTTTTTTTTTTTCTTTTTTTTTGTGGCGTTCTTCAGGGGTCTGTTTCCGGTCCGCTCTCATTCCCCTCTCTGTTACTCAAATGACACTCGGCTCTTTAAAGCATCTCTGATGTTCCTCACATCATGTCCTCAAATCAAGAATTGGATGCCTGAAAATGCCGACTAACGATGAAGATTAATCTAAATATTTTCAGTCTTATCTCGCTCAGTGGTGACAGTTCACCAAAATCAGGGTAAAGGAAAAAGTCGTGCATTTATTTCGTCCAGATTTGACTACTGAAATGCACTTTTTTTCTAGCTAGCCCAAAAACCAAAGACTGCAAATAATTCAAAGTGCTGCAGCCAGTTTTGAAACTCAAGCATTTTGGTGTTGTTGTTTTTGAAAAGAGTGATATGAATGAAGGTGTTATTATAATCTCCCATACATGTCTGTAACTGGACTATGTGAAAGAAGCAGATCGTACTGGTCTAGATATCTCAAATGGTGTCTTCAGACCATTTTCTGCACATGGAGTTAGTAAACAACATTGAAACTGTCTGTCTCAGAGTTGGCTGCAGAGAAGAAGCACCTGCTGTTCGGCCGTCCCAGAATGCTGCAGCCTGAGCAGAGTTACTGCGTCCTCCACCATGAGGGGTTCATCAGCGCCTACAGCCACAAAGCTCTGATGCCTCTGTGGAGCTCCTTCACCATCGACAGGCCAGTAAGTAGGGATGGGAATCGAGAACCGGTTGGTGTTGGGAACCGGTTCCAAATGGTTCAATCCATCGACATCATTTCCATTTTATCTTAGCTATTCCCTCAACGATTCCTTTCTTTCGGGTGCATTTAAAAACGGTCTTGTGAGTGCCAGTCTACACGAACGGGAACGGAGACAGAGAAAAAAAAAAACAGATGGTTGAAAAGTCGGCAGAAACGAGCTGAAGCGTGGCTTAATGTTACTAAGAAAGACGACAACAGTGCAACGTTTGTCAAGCAGTGATAACATGCAAAGATGGAAACACCAGTAACATGCTTAAACATTTGTCAACAGGGCACGGCATTAAATATAAGGAGTCACATGTATTCGATGATCTCCTCAGGAAGAATGCACCCCTGCATCCCATCCATCATTAGCTTCTTAAAGTGGAAGAAAATTATCTCATATATAAAAAAAAACACGAGTATTGGATGACGACAACATGTCAAATGGAGCCGCAAACTTTCATTCGGTTTTCATGTGTCTCTAAAATGCACATATAGAGATGTACTTGGGTATGTAAACTGTACAGTAAACTGTCAAGGTAGATTTCAGGACGGCAAATATTCCGAATCAGAGGGCTGTTGTTTTCAGCTTGTCTGAATAGCCTGAATGAAATCATTAAAGGATCACGCTTTTGAATGAATTCAATGGTAAGGAAAACTTGGTTGTTAGGGACCTGATGTCACGCAAACCAGGTAGATGTTATGATGTCATTTGATGTCCCAACCATGTCGGCACTGATGCACAGATTTCTTTGATAGAGGAGTTCCAGTGAAAACAGATCAGAGTGTAACAGCTGCCAGACTGACACCGTGAATTTATTAGGAGTTTGGCAAAACATTTTTTTCTTTTTCTCATCCGGAGCTGATTTTAGTTCTGATCGTCCTAATCAATTAATTTTTTTTGTCGTTTTTTACTCCCACAGTTAAACTCGGACCCTTTACCGCCAGTAGTGTCAGACTGTCTGAGGGCTGATGTCAGAGTTCCAGCGTCAAAAAGCCCTCGGTGTGATCAGTACGACCCTGCTGAGAACATCACCCATGCTTTCCTGTATCCACCCAGTAAGTTTGCATTAGAACAGAGTAACAGTCACACAGCACGTCGCCTCCCCACCCACTTGAACACACATCCACCCACCCAAACTAGGGGTTTTTTTTTCATTTGCAGTGAACATGCCTTGAGCAGCACACCCTCTCTCTTTTGCGCATGTATCTTCACTCCTCATGAATGCTCACTTCCACAGAATTTCACCCACTCCACTCTCCTCCCATTTCATGAATGGAATACTAATAACATGTAATTTCCCTCCTGTTATGCTCACAACAAACCCCCTCCTATTAGTTTCGAGCACGCATTGACACAACCTTTACCGGTATGAAAGGGCCATTTAACCTGATTTGTTATCTTTGGTGCTTTGTTCCCAGGAGACTGAGAGTAAGCAGACACTTGTTGTCATTGGGGTTTGTCAGATAATATGAGGTGTGAAGTGCTCAGTATCTGCTTTCACTGCAGTTATAAAGTTTGTGGTAAATCAAGTCCCAAAAGTCAGCTGTTATATTCTAACCACAGATCTTTAGTAGGCTGACATCAGGGTCTTAAGTTTTATTATTTCCTTTTAACCTCCTAAGACCCGAACTCTTGCAAGGCATGCATTTTTATTTTCTCTTTGATATTTAGGCTAATTGGGACCTGATGAGTGTAAAAACAAAGAATGATCTTTTTACATGATGTAGTTTCTGAGAAAAATGATGTCCACATATGAGGACATTCGTTTTAAATTTTGAGAGAAGGCCCTTGTAGACCAAAATTTAATATTGTGGTCTTGACAACCAAAAATGTGATGTCGACACATGTGGACGCCAGGTCTTAGGAGGTTAATTTTTAAGAGAGATTGTGAACAAATACAGACATAAACATGAGGACACAAAATGTAGACTTCAAGATTGTTTTATGGATTTACTCATGATTTCTGTGAGAACAGTCCCTCAGATGAATTCACAGTCAGTTACACAGACTACATTAATCACAGGTTATAAAACATACCTCAGTTAAGTGTGTTACAGGACAGGACGCTACTTCTCCTCCTCAGGCCGCTCTCACATTTCTTCCCACTTGTCATCATTATGTCATCATTTCTGGAACAGAGACTAATGTTATTGCCACAGTGGACTTTGGAGGTTGATATGCATAAATGTAAATCAATAGTCTGATTATACTCTGGACACTGATGTGAGTCTGTGTCAGATTGAGGCTTTTAATACTGAACAGATTTGTGAAATGCCGACAGACTACAAATTCTCTTTTCTTTTCATTCTTCAACACAAACCCTCATCTTTTAAAATCGAGTCAGCTTTCCACAGTACCCACTTCATTCAGCCGTGTTTGTTCAGGTGAGGTCAGGGGGAGACCGATGTCCGTTAAACACAAACTAGAAACCCAGCAGGTTTCAAGTTTTTGGTTTCAAAGCAGGTTTGTGGGTCCGTATCATTGTCAGTTTGAAAGTATTAATTGTTACTCATCATTTAAAGGTTAATCTGGTCTCAAGCTCTCAAGACATTGATTGGTACAAAAATAGAAAGGGGGTGTGGTCTTGACCAGAAATCCAACAGAACTTCTACAGGAACTCTGCTCTCTCAGTCATCCTCCAGTTAATCAGTGTTTCTGAAAGTGATTCACCATGTGAAGCAAAAAGTCAGTGAGGATGTAGAGGATCTGGTTCTCAACATGGAAGCGATTGAAATTCAACCTTTTCATCCTAATTATTGACCTGTTTTCAAGGGACAGTGATTCTAACTGGTACTGATAAAATGTATGATCTGAATCGAAATCACTAAATCCAAGAAAGAGTTCAATTTGAACCAGATTTATTTGAAAGGAGTGCAAAAACAATATCAGTTCAGCTACAAGTTTGGGAGCAATGGTAAGCTCATGCACTCCAGAGTCTTGTCTGGTTTCTCTTTGACTCCTTGAATTATGTCATGAACTGGAGATGATGAAATCACCAAAGCGGTGGAAGTATTTGATCTATTCTAGCACAAACAATCCAAATCTGGCTCAGTAAGTATTCAAACAGTATTCAAACATTTGAGGTCCGGTTCTGTGATGTGGGTCAGACGGTTTTTCTTGTTTGTGCTGAAAATAAAAAACTTGAAGTCCACATATCTGATAAACAAATGCTGCTGTATGTGTTTAGTGAATCTCTGCCCCTCAGCGGGTAATAACATTAGGCCTGGACGATATAGAAAAAAAGCATATCGATAAAAAATAAATCATATTGATCGATATCGATAATTATCGATATAATTATTATAATTATTTAACATATATTTTAATTGCAGCCCTGGATGTTTTATGCTATTGCTTAATGACCTACTTTTAATAAAGAACACACAAGCACTGAATTCAAATTCAAACCTTTATTCAACCACCTTTTTTTTTTTACCACAACTGAAAGTTTTTTTTAAAAAAGAACTTAAAAAAAAAAAATCAACTTAAGTGGCCTGAGTGACGTCAGTAAATACTGACAAACATAAAGACTAAAGTGACCAGAAAATCTGATAAATAAATATTTAAATAGTCTTTTGATGAAAATAAACAAAACAAACAAATATATAAATAAACAGAATAGCTTTAGGTGGGAATAGCATACTACCAGTTTTAACTGTGTGGGAAACTGCCCACAGCCTGGTGTCTGAACACTGAAATATTTCTCCTGGGGTCGGGAGATTTATTTTTTTTAAATATCATGTGATTGACTTAATAAACAAACTAAGCACGAGAAGCAGGACTTATCCACGCCGGTGTTGTGTCGTAGAATGCACCCCTGCCGAATGCCCCCCCTGCTAGTAGCCATGATCCAAATACTCGCGTCTTTGTAAAATATGAGCTCATTTTCTTCCACTTTAAGAAGCTACACCGGAGCGTATTTCCTCCGCACCCTTCTCACCTTTTCAACCCCTGACCCATTTTCATGCCTGAAGCGCTGTGTTTGAGAAATACTTGCGGCCGGGCACTTCATATCGCGGGTCGAGAGTGGCTAGAAGCTGGTCGAAGCCAGGCTTTTCAACGGTAGTTATTGGCAGTATGTCCCTCGCTATGGAGCATGTTACTGCATGGGTGATGTCCTTATGCCGCTCGAACGCTTTGTCGTATTTTGGCAAGAAACAAAGTCCAGTTTGGTCTGCTTCACTTGCTTTGTGCTGGTGCTAACAGCGGTTCCAGAGGATTCCTCCGACGACGACGACGTGGAGCCGCGGCGCGGCCGACACAGCTCGTACTCCTGCGGGTGCGACCGGTTTAGATGGTAAAACAAGTTGGTTGTGTTACCGGACTTGGTTTTTACTAATTCTCTGCAAATTTTGCAAACGACCGCTGTTTGCTTTTTGTCAGACTTCTAAAAACCAAAACATTGCCATGTTGGTGAACTACTGAAACCTTTTTTCGGGACAATTTCCTCCGCTTCTCCTTGCTGTTACATTATTTCTAATACACGTGCTGTCTGTTGTGGTTTGATAGGGGCTGGGCTTGGTGCCGTAGCGTACCTGGGTCTGCGTTTGTGATTGGTTGGGAGGAAGTAATGACTGTAGTAAAAGCTACATGATAGGCTATGATGAAAAAGAAAGGGAAACTGTGTTTTTCTATCGAACTTTTTATCGACCCGTTTTTTTTCTATCGCTCCACACGTCTATCGATCGATATATATTGTTATCGAATTATCGTCCAGCACTAAATAACATACTCAGTATTTTGAACCGCTGTTGATGGGTTCCTTGTTGTGATTTTGCAGACCTAAATGTCACCGTGGACCAGCAGTTTGATGCCCTGCTGATGAGTAATGTTGTGCCCATGTACCCCGAGTTTAAAAGTGAGTAACTGACTTATATCTAAAGCTGTTCTGCTCCGACTTCCTGTTTTCATTTTACCTCTTTTGTCATGTTTTAGAGATCTGGGACTACTTCCACGACACACTGATGAAGAAATACGCGGATGTATACAACGGCATTAACGTGGTGACGGGTCCTGTGTTTGATTCCAACTATGACGGCCAGTTTGACGCCCCAGAGCAGATCCAGCAGTGAGTTCAATCAGCCGCCTCTGTTTTCGGACAGTCTTCTGCTCCTCTGAGAAGCTGGTTCCAGAGACGGACTCGTGGTTCAGTCCAGATATTCAACATTAATTCCATTTAATAAAGATCAATATGCTTCACTTTGGTTTTCTGGTTAGAAACCACCATGAAGCTGGTACACCACCCTTCGCTGATGTTTTTGTTTCTGTTTGACCTCAGTTTTGTGCCTGGCACCAACATCTCCATCCCCACGCATTACTTCATTGTGCTGACAAGCTGCAAAGACTCAGCCATCTCTGTATCAGCCTGTGCCGGTGAGCTGCAGACTGTATCCTTCCTGTTGCCACACAAGCCAAACAACGCAGAAAGTTGTAAGGTAAGAATCTGCAATGCCGCACATCACTTTTTAGGCTGACGTAAATATGACAAATCAGATTTCCCTTTAAGGTGAGATAACCCTCCTACTAACCACCAAGCACACAGAGAGTCTTTGTTTGACTTTGCTCGAATCCACCTCCCTGTTCCTTAGTAGAAAGTCGAGGACAAAGCTATAGTGTCTGGTGTTCCAGTGTAATGTCCTGATGTTATTCATATTCAATGGAGGAGTCAGGCCTCCCTAAAGTAATGGATAAGGCCAAAAAAGGGAAAGAAGAACCGTTTTAAGAAGGAGAGTCTGTGCCCCGTGGGTTTCTGGACTTCAAAGCTCCTAATTCTTCCCTTTAAACATCTTTGACTCAAGTTTCCATTTACGGGTCTAACTGTTTGGATTCAAACACTGACGTGCTGCAGGTGGCTGTGTTACTGGCCCCTTTATTCTCTGAATGCAACAGTTTAGTCTGTGTGCGGCTGTGTCTCAGAAGAACGGCATGGCTAATCAAAAGAAAGGTTTCACCCTCCAGGGAGCATGAATATCCTTCAGGGAGTCAAAGGCTTCACTGTAAAATCCAGAATATAGATCATACAGGGGGAGCTGAGGCAGTCTGCCTTTAAAGAACCCTAAAGGTAGTCTCCATGCAGCAGTGGAGCTCGTTCAGGCTCCATCTGTTAATCATCTTCTGGTGGTGTCGATAGTTCTGAAGACCAGGTCCTCTGTCTTCAAGACTTATGTCACCCCCCTCCACTTAGGCTTAAGAATGACAGTCTAGACAGTCTCTTGCTGTCAGTGGTCTGGTTTTCTTTTGTTCATCATGGCGACACATCGTTCATTTTAGTGTCTTTCATTACCCATCAAAAAATCCTCATTGCAGCTTTAAATTTAGAAGTCCGTCATTATTTTTTAACACCGAATATTACGGCTGATATTTCCTCTTGTTGCTCAATAACCGAAATGTGAGGATGACTGAGTTCAGCCATCAGGAAACCACAAATAATGACAGAGTACATATTGGGAAAGGTTCGTGGTTTGGGCCCCCCTTTGTAGAGCTGCTGAGGTCTCATCCTGGTCTGCTGTGGAGAACAAGAGTTTCTTTACTTTGGACAAAATTACCCGAACCAGAATGTGACTGACCAGAAATTGTTCCATAAGTCCAAAATGAATGTGATCTGGTTCACGTCAGAACTTTGAAAATAACTCCCTCATGGGGACATTTCATCAAAAACATCTTTAGATCTAGTTTCAAGAACAGATCAGAAAACTACAAAGTCTGGTGATGGGATGAAGTAACTCCAACAAGAGCTCCTATCCCAGTGTTAAAAAAAACTGGATTCATCAACCTCCACACTTCAGTCCGTTTTATCGATCATCATCACAAACCTTCAAACGAGAACACAAAAAGGATCAGTCACTCTTTGTTTTGCTCCGACAGAGTACTGAGGCTGAATCTCTTTGGGTTGAAGATCTCATGTGGTTTCATCAGGCACGGGTCAGGGATGTAGAGTGGATTGCTGGATTGGACTTCTTTCAGGGCAGTAATCGACCAATCCCAGAGCTGCTGAGGGTGAAGACGCGCCCCACAGCTGCTATTCAAAGAAAACAGTAAAAACACTCATTACCACATCAAACACATCCTGGTCTTTAATTTCTGTGGACCTATGAACAGAACCTGGAATCAAACACAGCCCTATTTATTTAATTGTACACCGTTAGTTTTATTTTTGTGTGATTGAACCTTGTAGAAGTAAATGAGCATTTGTTTCCTGTTAAATCTTGGTTGTTTTTTTCTGTATATAAGAGTCACATTTCACATTAAACTTCAATAAAAGTAGATCTCCTGGTTTCATTGGTCACGAGTTTGACCCTGTAGGACTTTGAGACCTGCGATTACACAGACGTGGACACGGTTTGGAAAAACACTGAATGTATGGTTTGCTTAGGACTTTTGTGTCTGATGTGAGAGATGTTGCTGAATTCTTCAAAATATGCAAAATAAATACCCTAATAATTAATATATGTTTATATATATTTAATAATAATACTAAATATGTTAAATACCTCTGATAGAGACCAGTGTGCTCAGACTATCGAACAACAGCTGGTTTCAGTTGTCCTGCTGCTTCATTTGGAACCACCAAACCACTAAATCAGCTGTGAGACAACGTCATGTGACTCCTTGGAGGGAGACTGCGAGAAAAAACAAAAAAAAAACACTGGGGGTTAAATGTCAGAAGTATTTACTGCTTTCAGAATACAGTTTTATATCTCAAAGAAGCACAAGGTCAAGTCCATTTTGGAGAGGTTTCACAGGTCGACTTTGACCCTTAACCTGTCTGCAAGCTTGGAATGGTAAGTGCACATGTCAGTTTTTGTCTTTTTAGTAAACTGAGCAAAGGTTTCCTTGAATTATTCATGTAAGAAGGAAAAATAACAAAACTACATAGGGCTGAAGAGAGATACAAAGCTAGGGTTAGCTGACGTTAGCCAGTTACCCTCTAGCTGACCTGAAATAGTGACTACGATTGACAGGGTTAGCTAGGTAAGAATTAGAGGTCAACACATCTGGTTTTACCATAACGGACTAGAAAGACTTTTAAAACAATCCCACCACGTATTCAGCCGATTTTGAGCAGGACATGAACAAATAACTCAAGAATATAAATGTTGAAGATGAGCGGTTTTTTTTTTGTCACTCTCATTCATATTTTACTTTCTACAGTTGACTGTTTGCACCTAAACAAATGTTTCTCTTAAATCTAGAAAACTGTGCAGTTTTATTAAGTTTCTGCAAATTCATCTCAGGTTTCATGATCTCAGAGTGACTGAGGTGGGCTTCGATGGACAACATTTTAGCCATTAAGGTAAGTCGTTTTTTCTTTTTTTTTTCCACGGGAAGAAGCAGTTACCATGAAATTATCATGATAACTGCTCTCTTTGTATGTCTGTACTATGCTGCTGTAAATTTTGAATTTTCCCCAGTGGGACTATTTAAGGAACATCTTATCTTATAACTTTAACTCTCCAAATGTTATGTAACAATTTTCAACCTTCACTTGGTTTTTCAACATCAAATGAGGGTTGAAGTTCACTGCTGAACCTCTGAGGATGACGTTTGTTTGATTTTCAAGAACCGACTTGAAGACACAAGAAATTTGTTTGTGCTCTGTAATCCTGGTGAGCTTAGGTGAAGAAAGAAACTCTGGTTTTCTGCCAAAGAGGCATAAAGGATGAAACCATCTGTTGAAGCACGAAGTCAATCAATCTTCGACTCAACACTAATGGTTGCAGTACCTTGTCAGTGGAGGATTGCCCCCGGGCCTCCACTCTATATTCACGTCTGCACGCACCACTTCAATTACAGTAGAAACACCATGAAAAACTAAACATTACCTCAGAGAGGATCCAAGGGAAGGGAGTCGCGGTGAAACGCTGATACTCTACTCTCGCAATAGAAAATGACATTATTATTAAATCACTCAGTCCGAATTGTTTGGATGACTTTTAACATCAAGTGCAATATTTTTATTTTTTCAAAGACCAGATCCTAGTTTTTTTAATGTCTATTTTTATCAGTTTCTTTTTTCTTCTCTTTCTGCCAAGGCAGAATTCATGACCAAAATGTAGAATTAACATTAAAATGTAGAACTTCTCTTCCATCTGAGGAAAAAGACAAAAAGAAAAGAAGAAAGTAGGAAATATATTCAGCCTCCAGATACTGTGGAGTCTTCCTGTCCAGCAGACTCAACAAGCCAGATGCTGAACAGGAACTGTGTCTGAAGTGAGCCAAGAGAAATTTTCTTCTTTCAAGGCTGAAAAGCTAAACCAAGACAGGTGCCAGGGGTTAAATCCAAACGTTTGAGAAATAACGTCTCCCCGAAATCAAACACAGTGTGGTAAATAATGACAATGACTCCACCTGTGTTCATTTGAAATGTTGGTTTTTACTCAGATCCCCCTTTCTCTTTCCCTTCCATTGGCGCTGATGTGTCACTGAGAGCAGAGACCGACCACTTTAAGTCCAAAAAAGGGACTTTTATTCCCCGGAGGACGTGTGCCATCTAACCCTGGCCTTGACTCAGTGGCAGCATCAGTCATGTTCCAGTCAGAGGCAGGTGCTGTAGTCACACTCTGTTCACAGAAGCATTGCCTCCTTACGCCCTGGAAAGTTTCTCTGATTAAATCTGTGCCATTGTCAGGAATGTCCAGTAGCTTTGACCGAGTCAGAAAGTAAGTGAACTTTACACATGAGCACACAGTGATGGGGTGTTCGGGAAAAGGAGTGAGTGTCTGTTAGGTGATGGGAAAATGCTCAAAGTCAGGAGGATTAATAATATAATAAATAAATAATAATAAAAGTTTATTTTTTCTACAAAATATAAAAATGTATGAAAAATTGATCATGTAAGAGAAGATATTTCTTTCTACATGATTAGATATTTGAACCTCGCTGCTGGGATTTTATTAAGTCATTACAGTTTCTTTTCTTGAAGTGTTCTCGCTGATTAACTCATGGTATTATTCCTACACATCTAGATTACTCTTTTATTTTTCAATCCCTATATAAAATAATCAAACTCACATTGACCTACTCTTCACACGCTGACCTAACGAGGTCTCCATGCTTCCCACAGTCCCTCTCATCAGTGTGTTTACATAATAATCATAATAATAATACATTTTATTTGCTAGGGTGCCTTTCAAGGCACTCATGGTCGCCTCACAGTATATAAAACACAATAAAGAACATTATACAATATTTTAAATAAAAAATTAGAATAAGATTAAAAGTACATTAAAACACAAAACATTAGAATACATTAAAATAAAGGAGGGGAGACAGTGCAGCAGATCAGAAGGAGTGAGCGAGTCTCAACAGATTTGTTTTGAGTTATGATTTGAGCAGACTAAGAGATGTTCTCATCCCCACAGAGCCACTTATTGCCCACACTGCTACAGTCATATTCAGAGGAAGGACTGATGTAACACTTTGGTAACACTATGGTTACATGTAATGCCTGTTCATTTGGGAATGATGACAGCAGAACAGACTGGAATGTCGTCTGTCTGGGCTTCCTGATAACAGGGTTAGGGAGTTTATTTGGGATGACCTTCTGCCATGGTTGATCAGTCTTGCGCGTGTGTGATCTCTTAATGCATGGAGGAGTAAATAACAGTTTTTCCACTGGATGGAGCAGCTTTCAATGACTCCAGCTGGTGTTTTCTGTGACCTGTACTTTCAGTTTATTTTTGAGTAAAGTAAAACTGTTGTAATACAAAAATATAGGGTCTGAGGATTTTCAGGTGACGTATTTGTGTTTGAATTGCTTATCTCGACACTATTTTTAAAATACAAGGCAGCATATTCACACCCTCCTGTACGACGGGGCTGAAACAAGTTTTCAAAGAGAAAAATTCCCAGAAACTCCGAAAACTTGCCTTTCATCAAGACTCGATGGGGGTGAAAGTCAGATTATTGCAAACAAACGGTAGATATCCTCTGAGACACTGCAGAGCTCCCACAGATGGCTGAATATCAACAGGGATCAGCACTGAAGCAGAAGGAAGCTTGACGTCCTTCACTTGAAGCCAAGTTTCATTTTTAGACAGAGCCCTCATCCCAATTAGCACTTTGTCTCAAATCCCTTAAAACCCACAGCAGGGCACATGTTGATCCCAGTCACCTGCCTCTTAGCGGTCAGCTCAGGCCAAGGTTCAGTGACAAAGTCAGGCAGCTGTGCTCCTTGTACCCTCCAGACAGTTTCATCTCTCTGTTGAAATAACGATTAAAGGAGTGGGCAGAGAAAAAGTGAAAGTTCGGGGAGTGCAGAGGGTTATAGTGAAAGTGTGACAGGGGAAAGCAAGAAGAAAATTATCCCTTAGAAACCATTATCTGCTTCAGTAAATATTGTTGTGCTGTTACCATGGCAACAGAAAGCACTTTAAAGTGCTAAGAAAAAGCGTCTTATCCCAGTGAAAGTTGCTGCAACTCTCAGGATTGCAAAAGACCCGACTCAGCCAATAGTTGGTGCACGTTTTGTGTCTCTGCTTTTGCCGTTACCATGACAACGGGTTCTCTGATTGCCAAAATAAGCAGGCCTGTGCAGTTGATTTGTTTTCTATTTCAGGAATTAAGATGCAGTCTGCACAAAAGAAGACAGCCCAAATCCTGTCTATGTCCAAACACTGCATACTTACGTTTTGTTTTGTGCTACGATGAAACCAAATCTAGATCTCAGTCTCTGATACTGACAACATGCCAACTCAGCATATGCACATTTCAATCTGGTCGTTCGAGGGGAACAATAAAGCTGCCTGTGCTTTTCAAATGAAGATGATAGTGCACACCTCTGAAAAGGAGACACCTGTAAATAAAAAAAAAACTTTAGTCCACCAGATGTCAGCACTCCACTGGCTGTGGTCTGGTCTTAAATCATAGCCTGTGAAACAGGGCTATGTCATAGATCCATGTTCAGTACTACCTCTTACTACTCATGCAGTTTTGTCCCACAGGGCCTCTCTAGTTTTCATCACCAGATGCCAACTTCCCTCCCTTTTTTTTAGTCATCCTGACCACTGTGAAGACATGTGTGGGCAAAAGCCTCATAAAAATCAATTCAATCACATTATAATATTTTTAAAAAACTCACTAATTAAACTGACTCAAAAACTTCCAAAGAAGACAGAAATTAGACGTTAAAAGGTAATAAAAGTGAAATGACTAACACACTTTTTACAGTGTACAAATATAAAGACAAGATTGCCAACTTTTTTTTATTTTTTAATGTCAGCCGAGGAAAGTACCCTGTTTACATTTTCAAACAATATTCACAATGAACAATGAATCGGAATCTTTAAATAAGCAAGAAGAGATTTTTTTAAACAGAAGACAAAATTACATAATCAAAGTTGTCTATCTGATGGTCTTTTTTGCCTTTTCATGTCATAACAATCCATCAATATTAACTTCAAACATTCTCAATAACTTTCAAAAACTTCTCACAGGAACTCAAAATAATAAGACAAGATAAACAAAGAGGTGAGATGGTCATCTTACCCCCAGCATGGGGAATGTCAGTAAAGCTACTCTTTATTGGGGAGTCCTGTTTTCAGGGCCTTTAGTCAAAAAAAGTGTTTTTATCATTAGAATTAATGGGAAACATCCTGAAAATTTAAATGTACTTCTTTCTAGTAATTCTGACCCAGAGAGAAAATTGACCCTCATTTCCCCAGACCCGTAACACTCAGTCATTAGTATATTGACATAATATGAAAAAATAGAAGTGAATATCGTGAATAAATTATAAATTTGAGATGTCTTAAAAAAACATACGTAGTGATAAAAATAAAATAAATGATAATCAGGCAGAAAACTGAAAATTTTGGGAAAATGTGTCAAATATCAAATTTTTTTCTGTTTTTCAGTCACTCCAAATGAACAGAATACAAAAATAATATTAAACATGAGTCAGACCATACGTCAAACCAGGCTACTTTTTTTTTGTTTTCAAATGACAGTAAGTGTCATCTGCATGATGCATACAGAAAAAGTACTTCCAAAGTAACTCGTGGGTTTTTTTCAGGGGCGTCCACACTGTTTATAAAGGACGAGTGAGGATGTGAGAGCACCATCCTTCTCCTGACAGGACACAACAACGCAGAACGATGGTGAGTGAAGAGAGAGAGAGAGAGAGAGAGGCGGAGGGGAGGGAGGGAGGGGAGAGGGAGAGACATGCCCAGGCTTCTCTCTGGGTTCAGGTGTTTGTGAGTATTTTGGCGGTGTTACTGCTCCGATTGACTATGCTGGTGTTCAGGAGGTCAACTAAAGGGAAAGAAGATCCTTTTTCAGAGTTTGGAAGTGTTTCTTTTTCTTACCTTGTTGTTGTCCTCGCCTCTCTCCGTCTTCTGTCGTTGTTTTCCTGTTTTTCTGAACCAAACACGCTCCCACAAGTCTGCTCTTCTCACGGATTTCCTTCCTTCCTTCCTTCTTTCCTTCCAGATGCTGACAGCGCTCCTCTTCCCGGTGATATTCCTGTCCATTCACTCCTCGCTGGTCAACGGTGCCCCGGAGCCGGTCCCGACCTTCACCGACACGGACCCGATCACGGGGAAGTCTCTCGTGTGCGAGCGCTGCCCGCCCGGGACCTTTTTACGTGCGCGCTGCACGGAGACGCAAAAGAGCGAGTGCGCGCCATGTCCGAATGGTTCATTCACTGAACTTTGGAACTACATCGGTAAATGCTTGAGATGCGGGGTTTGCGGGCACAACATGGTGGTGAAGACGGGGTGCACGGCGAAGAGGGACTGCCAGTGTCAGTGCAGGCCGGGGTACTACTACAAGATGAAGTACGACATGTGTCTCCGCCACAGCGAGTGCCATTCCGGTCAGGAGGTGCTAAATGCAGGTAAGCTGAAGGACCCAGAGGAAAGAGCCTGGGGTAAAAATCGGCAAAAGAACGGCTCGATTATTAAAATCGTTACGGTACAACTAGTCTTCGGGTGTTTACATGGAGCAGCAAGATGTTTCAACTATTCCCATTGTAAAAGTCCAGAAAAATCAGCCTGTAGTTGAATAGATCAGACAGAAGAGCCTAATGTGTATGAAGTATTCTCGGTTACTAACCAGGTTATTAATGCAGTGTCACATGTGCAGCAGACAGTGCAAGGAGAAATCAGCTATCACAGCATGCTCTGAGCAAGCCCATCCCTCCAGTTCACCAAAAAAATGAATAAAAGTACAAACTGTGATCAGACTGAACCAGACGATTGTATCAGTGGCTAATTTTCATCACATCATTTCATCTTCTTGACTGACCTGGAGCAGAAATTCTAAGTCCACTTCACTTGTCCTCCTCCAGGTTCACCTGATGAGGACACAGTCTGCAGGACTTGTCCAAATGGCACCTACTCTGACATCGTCTCTGCTCACAAGAACTGCACCGAGCACAAAGACTGCGAGGCTGCAGGGCTGCAGCTGGCGCTGAAGGGCTCTGTGTGGCACAACAGCGTGTGCATGGACTGCCAAGGGTCCACATCCAAAGGTAAGGGCTCAGAGGGGGGAAGACTTTAGACGGACGGGGGGAGAGAGAGAGTTAGAGGTTAGAATCTCAGAGTTTCTCTCTGAGAGACGATCCAGAGATGGTCAGGAGAGATGTAGTTTGACATTTTTCTAACCTGCAGCAGGTGGGATCATTAGTGATGTCACCGCCGTCTAAGAGGAAATAATCAAATTAAACAAAAACAGTCAATTTAGAACCCGAACAACCCGAGAACCAAGCAATGTGAACTAAGACTTAGAGGACCAGAAGAAGAAAAGCAATCGCAGATGAAAACAAAGCTGAAAAAAGTGACAGCTGACAGGAGTGAAGGAACAGTTTGAACCTTAAAGTCCTCATTTCTTTTTCCACTCCTCTCCTCTGATCATTTTCCTGGTTTCTTACAGACGGGGCTGAGTACCTCCGAGAAATCCTCCCTGCTTTCTTTGTCCACCAGAAAATGGCCATCAGAAGGCTGCGCCAGATCCTGCGCAGGCTGCTGTCCGAAGAAAATAAAAGACACGAAGGAATTTCTGGACTTTACCTCCCAGAGCTCCTGGAGCGGATCAACACTTGGGTTTCCTCCGCCACTGCGGCACACATTCGCCAGCTTCCTGCGATTCTGACAAAAACCGGAGCGAACAACGCAGCAGAGCGACTACAGAACAAGCTGCAGAGAATCGACTCAAATGTGGCTCTGCTGTGTGGTTTGAATAATGTGATGGATGTACAAATATCCAAGTAGGCTTAGTGCAGCTGAACTGCAGCTGAAATCAGGAGGTACTCTACAGTTACAATTACAGAGTAGATAAAAAAAACTGAGAACAGCTGGCTGGTTAAATGGCTCCTTCAAACTGTTGTCTGCATCCATCCCAGTTAACAGTCCTCCTTTTTCAGTTAACATTCCCCCTGTCTTTGTATTTTTTTAATCTCCTCTTTTCTTCCTCAAACTTGTTGAAACCACCTCCCTTGGAATGACCTGCTGTCCTGTCTCGGTAACGTTTCTAAAAAAGAATTAAAGATTTTATTATTAGCATTACAAAGGGAGTTTGTTTTGGATGGCACTCATTTGAAGTCAGGTGACTGACCAGGATATTCTGATGTAATGTAAAGAGCATGTTCATTGCCTATTTTGTGAGTTTTCCATCTCTGTTTCTGATTTCAGCGCACAAACAGTTACAAAAAGTTTAACCTTAATGTACCCGACATTTGCTGCAAAAGTACTACTATTTAATGCAACTTCAAGTCCGAATTTTGGGAGTTTATTTGTGTGATGAAATCAGAAAGAGACCAGATGCCTTGTATCTATCTACCTCTTTTCATGGCTGCATTTACTTACAGTTGCAAGAGCGGTTCTGCATTTTGTGAGCTGAGATCTTAATTTATTTTCATAATATATTTTGTATATAAATTTGTCCGCTTTTAAATACACTCAAATAAATCTAATCACCAATTGGATTACTGTTTTTGTTCTTCTGTATATCCTGATTCAAAGAGAGTTTGGGCACTATGTTAAAAGAAACACATTTTGATGGTTTGTAAATCATTTAAACTCTGTATTTAATAAAAAAATAACACAAAAACATTTCAAACTGACACTGAAGATAGCATTTCATTAGAAATTAAACAGGTTTAAAAAAAAGTTGAACAGGGATGACAAAAGAAGTAAAGATTCAGCGCTCTGTGAGAGACTGTGTGAGCTAACAGTTCACCAGTTTCAGGATAATGTTTCTCGGAGTGTAAGGGCAGGAACTGGAGCTTTGCTTCATCTAAAGTACATAATATCATCTGAAAGGGTCACTGCATCAAAAACAGACACAGACTCTGTAGGGGAAGTCACTGCAGGGGCTCAAAATCACCTCGTCTGAATCCACAAATGTGATTTAAAACTCAGTTGTGTATGGAGGAAACCATAAACAAACATGAGCCTGAGAAATCCAGGAACCTCTCTTGGTTCCAGGTCCGGTGACCCGACCGTTCCGGGGGTCTCGCTAATCAAAATTTAACATTCGTTTTAGAAATCATGGGCGTCACATCCTCAGGGTCACTCATGACCTGATCTGGGGGAGTGCTCTGTTGGTCTTGGTCCTGTGGGTGGGTGTCTCCAGAACCGCTTTAATCTGGTTTTACTAATTTGTTCCTTTAAAACATTTCACTCACTGCTGGCAAATATGTTCAGTCAGTACAAGCCTTACCTTGGGGAGTTCCTCAGGGTTCAGTCCTGGGTCCTCTGTAGTTTTGCTTTCTCTCTGCGCTCACTAGATCATCTTACAACACAGAAGCTCTGAAAGACGGTGACATTCAGCTTTACCTGGCTTCAAAACACTAAACGTCTCTGATTTGTTTATTTACTAGTCGGCATGAATTATACAAAACCTTGTAGGAGGACCATTTTTCCCCGTGGGGCAGGGGCTGGGTCCTGCTGGAAAAGGAAATCTGTAGATTAGTGTTTTAATCTCACTTTATTTGTGACTCTCTACTCACGTGTCTCAGCACTTGATCGTGCACAGAGCATTTCAAAGTCCGAGAGGACTCTGAGGCTGTCTGATCAGAGACTCTAGATCCTGATCCGAGCCTTTGAGTTTGGAGCTGAGGACTGCGGACATTTTTTGTAGGCATTTGAGGGGCCATTCGTTTAGCCCAGCCCTTGTTTGGTTGTTTGAGCGCCACATTGTTGTTAACACATCCATGGAAGTGGATGATGAAACAAAAGTGAACTGATTATTAGTTTGACGGTGTTGTTTGGTTTGAGGTGGAAATCTGATCTTGTGACAGCCCTGATAGATGAATATATAAATAAGAGATGAGTCAAAGCGTGGACAGTTGTGTGCTGTGTGTGTGGGTTTGCAACACGTCATGGTTATCAGAGCGCAGAGACAGATGTTGTCTCCTGGTGGACATTTGTTTGGGTGGTTTTGTTATTCACCGCAACCATGTGACCTAAACAGCCAACGCCGAACAAACAGTATTTTCCACATTAGCACTAAATCTCTCCAGCGTGGGTTATTTGTGTCAGATGGGGTCACCGCTGTCCGTCAAGAATATTTTATTCTTATTAAGGGTATACTTTGACCCATCTGCAGCGATGATTCAAATCTGCTCAGTCCATGTGCAGAAATCATAGATCCGGAAAACTTTACTCTTACTGTGATTTCAACATAACATTTCTGAGAACAAGAGAACCTTTAAAGGTCCCCTCTACATGTCATATATATTTACGGATATGAAGGCTGGGAACTCGGGGATGTCCCCTCGGAGCTTCCTCTTCCTGCACCCCCAGATTAAACTCGCAGCAATATTTGGTGACCTCAGCTTTTAATGTTACTTTTGTTTTTTCCAGCTGAAATAGAATCTGTCTAACTTCCTCTTAGATTTCTGTAGAAGATGTACACACACAGACACACACACACACACATATATATGTACGTATGTATATATATATATATATATATATATATATATATATATATACATATATACTTTTTTTTTTTTTGGTGCCACCTTAAAAATATGACGAGGTGACTAACTTGAATTCTTTTCTTCCCTCTGAGAGGAAAAATCTTGTCAAGCATCTGTTTTGTCTTTTGCATGACTGGTCTTGTGCTGATTTCTCAGAGTAAGAAATTCAACATGATTTGGTTTTTCCATCACAGTCACAGGGAACGAGTTCACAAGAAACAGAAAAGCTTTATATTGAACAGAAAGGAAATGAGAAATGGGCAGCAGAGAGACCTGCAGCAAAGAGTTAAAGGAGATAGTCCAAACAGAAACCACTGAAACCAGGACGGTCGCTCATGAGCTGTGGTGGTGCTCCAAAACAGCAACTTTCATTCACTTCCCTTATTTTTCCTCTCCCGCTGCTGGTTCAATGGCAGTCAGACTAGATTTGTTATAACTGTGATAAACCGCTAAAAAGAGCGTCCTTGAAAATGTCTTTAAAAAGGGGTGTGTCCTTTTAGAAAGCGGAAGAGTTAAGGCAGACCACAGCTAAAGTTCATTTTTAAACCCAGGCAGACCACAACATCAAAGTCAGTACATCAGCTGATCTTAATGCCAGCTCATGTCAGCGGACTGCTCAGCTGATAAGATCCCTCAGTGCATCCAACTGGCAAACATCAAAACAGGTTTGTGTTTCACCGCTTCAGTCTGACGACCCTCGCTGCTTCTTCTGAAACCCCTCTCCACCCCATCTCCTCGTCTTTATAGTGTGTCTGATCTCACCCGTATCTTCGATTCCTCCTCTATCTTTCTGGGCTGACATACGCAGACTGCTTTTCTCAGGACCCAGACAGACCTCAAAGCTGGGTCTCCTTGATACAGACTTTGTGCAGCTTTATAAGACATTTGTAGAATTAGAGTAGGTCAAATGTTTTTAACTTTTATTTGATCAAAAGTTAACACTTGCACAAAGATGCCTTAACTTTTGACCTTTTATTTCTAAGAAAGCTTTAGATAAGAGACGAGGGGAAAAGTAAATGAAACAGAAAGCAGTGATCGGCACCTCGAGGTCTTCAGCTCGATCAGCTGAGCTCATGCAGCTTTCATTGTTTTGAAATGAGCAGAACTTCCTCTTTTTACCATGACTGACAGCAGGACTGTTGTTGGGCCTTGCTGCATGAGGAAGTAGTCATCCATCCATCTTTTCTCCCTTCTCCAGGCCTGACCGGAGTGGTAGCAGGTTTTGAAAGTTAGTCTAGGTATGGGGTGTCTAAAAGGGATCCTGAGGTCGTCCCCCAAAGTAGACTTGTTTATATAATTAAACTGCAGAAATCTGAGAAGTAGTGGGACGGCATCTCTCCAGCGAGAGGAAAATTGTGTGATCTAAAAGTGAACCTGTCGTGTGTGAGGTTTCCTTTGTTTGTCAAGGGATCAGAACTGTTCATCAGTCTTGCCCTGTTTGGGCTTCAGTCCAGTGTGCAGATGTCAGTGAAAGGTCTGCAGTATGGATGGCATATGCCAGAGTCCTGAATCCTGCACCTCTTAATGAATGTAAATAAGCATGAAGACTATGCGCAAACACCAACACAACACACTGGGATCCAGCTTCCAAGGTTTCCTGTTTTCACTGTGAAACTAGGATCTATGTGGAGCGTAGAAATCCCATGTTGCAGAGCCATGCGGAGACTCGAGCTCACATGTATGTGAACCAGGACCACTTTGGTGTAGAGTCAGAGAGGAGCTTTAGATCAGGCTCTACTTTCTCACAAGCTCAACACTCTGGAGCTGCTCTCTAACTCATCCATGCTGTTGTGCGATCTCCAGCGGAGGAAAATCCCCGCATGACTCCAGAGAGAGAGAGTTTTTCTCCACCCTGGTGATTCCTGCTGGGGTGGTGGGAGTGTGAGCCAAGGGTGACTGCTCCCAAAGAAAACAATTTAATCTGTTGTTTCTGACTCCTAGAAAAACCACAATGACCTTCGGTCTGTCTGCGAGGGGGTGAGCTCTGCTGCACGTCCTCCCACACTTTCTCTCCATGGTCAGTGTCCTTGAGAATGAAAACAGAAACAAACATTTGTGTGTTTGTGCATTTTTGCAGTCCACAGGCTGAGACACTGAGTCATGATTCAGTGGCAGGTTTGCTCCACAAATCTATCAGCTCTGTATTTCAGATAATCTCTAAAATAACCAAACCAGACGAACAGGAAACAGCATGTGGGAGTACTTCCTTTGAACATGGGATCTGGACCAGTAAGTTGGTTTCATTAAACTTAGAGGAGCCATCTGATCCGCTGCATCGATGTGAAATTCAGTCATTATTTGTCAGCATTGATTTATCAGAGTTGTTGTATTTTGTGTGCTTGTGTTTTAGAGTTTTCACAATCCTAGAATCTAGTCGGTGCTGCTGCAGAAAAAGGACCAACATGAGCACACGGTGAAGAGTAATGAAAGGCAAAATAAGATGTGACTCTTTCCAACACAGTCTGGAAACGAATAGTTAATGATTAGTGATTTTTTATTGATTATTAACCCAGATGTTAATTTTAAACCTCTGACATCTGTGCAGAGGAAAAGGACCATTGAATTCCCAACCAGGCAGGATGTTGAATTTCCTTTTGTGGATGAAAAAAGTTCTTCTTATCTTATTTCTTATTCAGCAGAAGTTAAAACGTGCACACGGATCAAATATTGTGCAGGGACCTGTTTAACTGGGCGCAGGTTTAGCCGTGAGCTCGTTCAGCAGTTCTACTCATGCCTTCTCCGTCACACTGGTCTCTTTACTTTATCTAAAGAAATCCGTTTTTGGTGATGAGTATTCAGGACTTGATTTGAGACTGTGGATGTCTGACCTCTGCGTTTGAGTTCCTCTCAGATTCTCAGAGGTCGGAAGTGGAATCTTTTTACCTCATGGAGACTTTTGGCCACATCATCTGTGATTTTCCGTTCTGTGAAAATTGAGATAAAGGACTGGAAAAGTTACACTTTTGAAGTGCGTAGGCTGAGACCCATTGTCCTCCACTTCTCTTTAGCTTAGTAGGAGTCTCGCTTACATGAAGGTACTCTGACTGTTGACATTAACACAGTTCCTCACTGTCCTGCTTGTTTCCTACAAAAAGGGAGAAATATTACTGCTGAGAAACACGAGATCATGATA